CCTTTACTTTATTCCTAAACTCAACCACGTGCTTTTGTTGACTAAACGTGACCAAGTGTGTGTGTTGCTGAAGGAAAAAAAAAAAGACAATTTGCTTTGTTGTACCAATGTTTATTTTGAAAGAGACTGTATGCAAACGGCGTCCCAGAACTTTAACAACCAACGCACCCATGGTACCTTGCATGTCACATCTCAGCATGGTAACGATGTCAAAGTGAGAATGTGTTGGACTGGGGACCGTTTGCACTAAAACCTTACTATTTAAAACTGAACTGAAAGTGAAACTTATCAATGCTCCTTTGAAAGCCAGGCTCCAATACTGTTTTTTTTTTTAATAAAAGTTGCATGTGTATGAGAAGCACTGAGCATACGACTGAGACTTGAGACTACTGCGCAAGTTGTGCAAAAGTTTAAACAGATGTTTTGACATAGTTTTGCTGTTGTTAAACATGGTCCTTAGTCAATCAATAAATCACTGTAGCCTTGTTTCCACCAAGCAGTCAGGTTCAGTTTAGTTCATTTTGGTGCGCATTAGAACGGTTATTATGAAAAGTTGTGGATGGTACCAATGGAACTGTTCCATGCCATCCCCATTTCTTATCACCCCACTGTTGGAGTACCTCACACACTGATCCAGTACTTAAAGGTGGAGCTGTGAATACTGCAGTCTGTTGATTGGTCAATAGAGGATAGTCACTCTGCTCAGGGCTGAGTTGTGGCTGGTTTTGAAGGTTACGTAACCACTGTTCATACTGCGGTAAGTTTTACATGCATCAGTAAACTACAACTATAAAATGAGAGGATGTTTTGCTGCCTCTTAATTTTTTCTAGTTAACAGTTAGCAGCTGTAGACCGAGAAAAAAAAGACTTAATTCACTGGGCTGACTGCTGGCAACTTTTAAGGTGAAATGTTTTCTTGCATGTTACTCAGTGCATGAGTTGATGAGATGAATCCATCAACACACCTTATGTTTCAATGTGACAACTTTGACCATTACATTTGTTTTTATTGTCTCTCATGGATGACATACGCTTTAGATATAATTGGATCCTTTTAAAAAATATACTAAATTTGACCTAATATTTTAACTACTTACTTTCTAATCCTCACTTGGAGAAAGAAAACATGGCGGAGCGTCATTCTGACAGCAGTAAATCCCTGCTTTTACCTGACAAGGAGTCAATACATGAACCCACTATTTTTAAATATCCCATTGAGAGAGACTGTCACTGCGGCCTGTTCTTTTTTTTGTTCTGAAAATATTGGCGTGCAACCCTGTTATGTGAACGATAAACCAGGTGCAGACTTCCGCATCATTGGTGAAGAGGCAAGTACAGTGAGAGCTGGACAGAGCTGTGAGTAACAATACTGCCGCCTACATTTAAGTGTACTGTCTGCAGTAGAAAGGGTTACTTAAGGTTCTAAAGGTACAATACCAAAAGCTGCATATGAGAAAAATGACGTTTTCTTCACAAATTTAAGGTGCCATGGCCTGACTGACTGATATCTTTCCCTTCCTTCGTAAATATCCGTCTGTGATAAATATGGTGAGGTTAATTATTTAGCGCACTGCTGCCAGAGCTTTACATCTGTCCCACGGACAATAGGCCTACACAAAAATAACACATGGAGGAAGATCAGCTCTGCACTCAGGATTTCAGGTAAATATATTTGGATTACTTATACAAAATAATAAGACTAATTTTAATCTTTGGTTTTAATTAATACTTGAATGAGCCCACTGCCGTGCTGGTACAGGCACAGTGTGGCCTCATACTTGTGCCTGTATGGAAAACTACTGTGAAGGTGTAGATACACAAACCTGACAGTCATGAATGCCCCCCCCCCCGGCCTCTGACATCCTTCCCCTGTTTGTTTGTTTCTCATATTCTGGAAATAGTCGGAGGCTGCTGTTGATGTGTGTTTGGGTGTAATACTGGGTGCTCACCTTACAGTAAACATAGTAAATCCTGTGAGGACAAGCGGAGACAGTCAAGAGCCCAACCTGTCCTGTGGCATGTGGTCCTCTTGGACACACCCAGTGCCGGTAACCAGGGGCACTGTGCTCCCATAGGAAGCCCTGTGTGTGGCGTCCTCCGGTCGTGACCAGGATGATGAAGCGTTCCTTCCTTTCCTGTTCGGAGGGGGGCATTGTCCCAGTGAGCAGACAGGCTGCCGACACCTTGTCCTGGAGGAGGAAGTGAGTCTCTCACAGTCCAAGGAGGACTGGAGTGTCCAATCCAAATGGACCATTTCATTAAGGTTTGAGAATTCAAATGGGAATAATTAAGGAGCGTTTTGATTCTGTGAATCAACTTGGTCAGAGTTAAGAATAGTCTGAAGCCTCCGGTCATACTTGTTCGTGCCAGAGGTTCCCAACATGAGGGCCAGGACCCTCTGAGGGGCGGCAGGATAAGTCTGAGGAGATGATTACAGGAAATAAAGGTGATTTTTTTTTCTTCTATTATAAACTACTTAAAGGGATAGTGCACCCAAAAATGAAAATTCAGCCATTATCTACTCACCCATATGCCGACAGAGGCCCTGGTGAAGTTTTAGAGTGCTCACATCCCTTGCGGAGATCAGCGGGTGGAGCGGCTAGCACACCTAATGGCAGACGGCGCCCCAGACTAACATCCAAGAACACAAAATTGAATCCACAGAGTACCTCCATACTGCTCATCCATAGTGATCCAAGTGTGCTGCAGCCGCGACATATAAAGTTGTTTGGAAAAACGTCATATGAACTCTGTTTTTAGCCTCACTGTAGCCTGTAGCTCTGACTGCTTCTCTGTGCTCTGCGCTCACGTGTGCGCGCCTGCGCGAGACCAGCGAAAGCATGAGCTTTGCTCACCTGTGTTTACATCACGTGACATGTGCACCGCAAGGGGAGACAACGTAACCACAGAGCTAAAAGATAATTTGCACTACGCTCTTTTAGCAAAGGACAGCCCAACATGTCTGAAGACTTTGAAATTGAGGAGGAACAGCATTTCTTTGTTGAGCCGTATTTGTTTGAGCCCCAGTATACGGACGGAACTCAGGCTACTGGACGAAGCAGCCGCCGCAGCTCATGAGCCTGACCCTCAGCCAGCCGCAGAATACCGGAGTCGAGCACTGGAAACCTGGTGGTGTAGTTGTTTCAAATGCAAAGCAATGCCAACGGGTGAGGAAAGTCTTTGCTGCTCAGACTGGGAATTGGCGATGCCTGCACTTGAGAATCTGGACATCAGTACTGACGAGACTGCTGCTCTTCAGAGATCACCGATCACCCTGAGCGCGCGCACACGTGAGCGCAGAGCACAGAGAAGCAGTCAGAGCTACAGGCTACAGTGAGGCTAAAAACAGAGTTCAAATGACTTTTTCGAAACAACTTTTTATGCCGCGGCTGCAGCACACTTGGATCACTATGGATGAGCAGTATGGAGGTACTCTGTGGATTCAATTTTGTGTTCTTGGACGTTAGTCTGGGGCGCCGTCAGCCATTAGGTGTGCTAGCCACTCCACCCGCTGATCTCCACAAGGGATGTGAGGACTCTAAAACTTCACCAGGGCCTCTGTCGGCATATGGGTGAGTAGGTAATGGCTGAATTTTCATTTTTGGGTGCACTATCCCTTTAAGTGCAGAAACCCTGTAAAACAAACATCACCCTTTGGTTGTACAGCTGACAGTGAAACCTGTGATAAGGGGTTGTAAGTAGATGTTGCTCACATTCACACCTACGGGCAATTTAGAGTCACCAATTAACCTGCATGTCTTTGGATTGTGGCAGGAAGCCAGAGTACCAGGAGAAAACCCACGCTGACATGGGGAGACGACAATGCTAAGCACTGCACCATCGTGCTGACTGAAGAATGAAATAATGAAAGAAATAATGTTTTGTCTTTTGAGTGACGCCATAAATCATATTGTTTTTCAGCAAAACTGATGCAGAGCACACAAAAAATAGACACACAGGCACAAGTCCCTTTTACATTGCCTGTTTAAGGCGAGAATATCGCGCTGTTATTCAGCTTCATTATTCTGTATAAAGGGTACAATTGCTGTATGGGGAAGTTATCTTTAAAAGACGGCAATGGAAGTAGCAAAAACTTGGCCAAAATGACGTCTGTGTTTAAAGTGTGAGCCACTGGGACAGGAATGGTTTCACATTTTGTGAGCACGAGAATTAAAAAACAGTAAATAGCAGTTAGTGGCTATCTCAAAGAAGAACAGCGACTGAAAATGTCAATGAGGTTCTGAAGCTCTTTACTCTCTGAGCAGAGGGTGAGATCAAATAACAGGGACAGTAAATGATTGATAACGCCATGTTATTGTTTATAAAGCGCTGCCTGATACGTACATTATATGCCATACTAGATGCTCATGCTGTTATATTAAACATCACTCCTATCTTGTGTCTTTTGATTTCAGAACACCAGTGCTGTGTCAAAGACTTTCTACCCGTCAGTATGTGTTTCCCAAGACCTAAGCTTGAGCCAAACTTTGATGGCACACATTTGTTACAGCTGTATGTGTATTGTAGTGCTGTCCCTTTTCCCTTCATTGTAGATCTGTGCAGGTGTGCTGCATTAGTTAGCGAGGTGCACTGCACCCGGCAAGGAGCTCCTGTGCCAGCAGCAAAGAAGAGAGGCCTCTGGTGTGTGGACTGCTGGTCCTGCTGCCTCTCAGCGTGGGATTTTTGTTGTCTTGTTTGTTTGTTTATGTTAATAAATTCCACGGATTTGAGGGTTAACATAAGATGACTTTTGTGGTTATTTTGGGTCAGTGAAGTTTTTTTTTCACCCCATAGGGCCTTAACAACTGCACTGCACCTCGTTAAGTAATGCGGCACACCTGGGCAGATCTCCAGCACAGAACACACACAGCCGTAACACACTGGACAAATTTAAATTCTGGTACTAAATGGAAAGTCAGGGAAACAACAAAGACCATGAATGAATGAGTTTGATATTAATAAATGTGTTTCCTCAAACAGTTATGAGTCGAGACTGCCAGTAAAGTATAAATATATAGATCTTTATTCATTTATTTTCTTCATATGCTCAGTTAACAGTGTTGGGGAACATTACTTTCATCAAAACTAACTTGTTACAATACATGAACAAAACAGAAAAAGCGAGGAGGTCTTATTACTCAAGGTTATGTGTGAAGAAATGCAATTAGATCCACTGAATGTTACTGTGATAGCAGTGATAAAAATGAAATATAAGACAGAATTACAAGATGTGAACAAACCTACATGACACAGATGATGTTAAGCTGGTGAGAAACACTACAACAAATACTGCCATTGTTAATTTCCTACTACAGTATGTACTAGAGTTAAATAAAAATAAATCAGAAATCTTTTAACATGTGACCCTCAACACTGTTTCATAATAATATACCTTTAGAATACAAACAATATACGTGATATAAAGTATCAGTGCATAATCACTTCCTCTCCACATGAACACAACAACTTGGTCACAATCAACCATCATCTGGGAATACACAATATCCACTTTATACTGCAGTTTACTCACTGACAAGCACAAGCTAGCTGCGTTTCTACAGGGGTGTGTGTGTACACTAAGTGTGGCCCACAGTACTTTCACTACATCTGGTATTACACACAAGGAGATTTTACATGGTTAGAAATAACAACAGTGAGTTTCTGTAGCCTGCCCTGCAAGCTTTACTAACACGTAGCACAAGACAAAGGACGGAGGAGAACATCCACATACATGTTTCCCTCAGCTTTACTATGAGTGAATACAGCAGCACAAACAGCATATACGTCTGGAGTGAAGTGTTGGGATGTTACATGTTGACATGAGGAAGACTGAGCTGGAAATCCTTTGGTTAATCTTTAATTCTGAATCTACATCAACAAACAGAACTGGTTACTACGTGACAGTGTTTACAGTCTAAATAAATACTTTATACTAGGGCTTCTTCTGCTCCTATCTTCCTATAAAAGTCTACTTCTAACTCAATTTGTACATTAAAAAACAAAACAAAATAAGACTCTCTTCACACTTTCCTTTTAGTTTGACCAAACAAAACCATCACAGGAGGAGGAATCTGCTTTTCCAGTAACTCTTCATTTAAATGCTGTAACATTAAATCTGACCCGTCTGGTCTCACTCTCAACTCTACCCTGTTTCCTCCATTAACCTCCATTAACCTGTGATTTTCCATAAACTGAAGAGCTTAAAAAAACATCCACCTCTGCCTGACAGAGTCACTCTGGGTCAACCTGAGTTAGTTGAGCTGATATTTTTATGGATTTAAAGGAGCAATAACAACTCGAATAAGAGACTTTTTTCATGATTAATAATAAATGTGATGTTGTTGTCCATCTGCCTTTTGCTTTGAACAAACTTTACTTGTGGTTACTTTACAAAAACATCTTCTTTTCAAGGTATACTATGCAGGATCCCCCTGTGTCATCACTTATGACCCTCTAGAAGTGTGTGGCAGTGTATTTTTTTGCAGAGACTCTGCCCTCTGCCTGTATTTTTATCAGCCTTAATAACATCACGACAGCTGGCATTGTTTTCACCTCCTGCCTCTGTGTGTGTGTGTGTGTGTGTGAGATAATGGCAAAATGTAGTACTGGTGGTAACTGTCACAGCTGGAACTAGCACAGAAGCCATTTTAAGTATTTTGGCAGGTGTTTATCTGTACGTCTGCAGACAGATTTTGTCACAACTGTTCAGGTTGCAGTCATGAAACTTTACAGGTGTGTAGCCAAGATCAAAAAGAAGGCTGAGTTTGAAGATGGGTGAGCTCAGAGCAAAAGGGCTGGAAGTAGGGAAGGGGCCACTGATCCCATCACAAGATGGCCTTTATTCTTATTTTGCTGTGTTTGGGATATTCCTAGGCATAGCGCATAGGTGAGGTCAGGACTTCTGTAAGCAGCACAAATCCAAGATGAAGCTATGATAATCATGAACACAGGGCCAAATAAACAGCAATAACAGCGAGGCAAAACGCCAAGTGAAATAGTCTCAAAATGAGAGTAAAATTAGGGCTGGCTTTTACGTTCACTTGCGAGCACTGAAGGAGAGGATGGGGATGAAGAGCTACGGGGAGTTGACCTGTTTTCTGTTGGACATGTACTGTAGATGCCAGCAGTTAGCTTAGTTAGCATGTTACAGGTCCTGCAACAGTAGCTTGCAGTGTATGTGCGAGCAGTGTAGAGGAGGGAGGAGGGTCAAGTGTTAATGTTGTGTTTATAAAACAGTAACCGACAATTCCTGCATAGCATACCTTTAAGTTTTTCACAAATTACATTCCAGTTTTCACTTTTTTAATAAAGTTAAATGTATAAAAAAAGTCTCAATAAAACCTTGAAAAGCTTTAATTTTCTTTTCTTTTTCTCTCTGGGCTCTATTCAATATAATCAAAGGTTGTAGTTGAATCCGATTTGTGGTAAAGTGGGAATCATTACGTCTAGTTTTCACAGTAGATGAAAGAAATACCTGAGCCTGTTTCCAGCTGTTTGACATCACAGTGAATGTGGAACGGACCAGCAGCATTAACGTCAGCCTGCGTCTGAAAGCTGGAAAGGAATCAACAGTCGGCAGGATTCCTTTTGTTGCTCAGCAGACACCTGGAAGTTGGAAGCTTCAGTCGAGCAGATTCATGATTTGTTTCAGAGCGTCTTTTCTAAAAACGTTAAGAGGGAATCTCATGTGTGTTCCTCTCAAACGTTGCTACAGTCCAGAGATAAGAGTCAAAACAGTGGAGAACAAAGCAAAGGCCTTGAGGCTGTCAGTCCCTTTCTCCAGGGCCGGAGCAGAAGGTTACACAGGTGGGGTGGAGTAGCGCACCACATAGTTGTAGTCAGGCGGCGGGCTGTGACACTCCAGACTGTCGTCCAGGGCAGAGTCGTCCAGACTGAAGTCCAGAGGGGGGACTGTGGGAGGATACTTCTCCTTCTCTGTGTCAGTCAGCACAGACTCTTTACTCTTGCTCACTGCCTTCATCCTGAAACACACAGAGATACGGCATAAATATAACAGGGAAATAACACCAGGGCTGCTGCTACATGATTCAGTTCAACTCAAAATACATGATTTCAAGCAGGTTTGTAAATATAAAAACACACAAACTGTTACACTACTGCCTCCAATGACCTCACTGACCGTGAACGAACACAACCAATCAGAGCCGAGAAATCTCTACCGCAGCTGTCAATCATGTCAATCACTGACAGATTCTGTTGTTGCATTTGACGTATCTTTTTATATTGTCTGGTTTCAGCTTCAGACACAAGAATTTGTTTTCTTTGCTCTGAGTTACTGTAACTTGAAAATTCTTTGGGCTGGTTGGACAAAGTATGACATTTGAATTTGTCACTTGGGAAATTTATAAAGTTTTTTGTTAATTAATGAAATAATTTGCGGCGTAGTTGGTGATGAAAATAACCATTAGATGGAGCTCCAATATCCCAGAGCTTCTCCTAATTTGTCTGTTTTCTGTCTGTTTGTCTGTTCATCGATGCAGTAATGGAGGTAATGTGGATAATGGATATGACCACATCATCAGCTGTGCACAATTAACACTCCTAATTGCAAAAACACTGACAAACAAACACAAGAGACACAACAAAGCAGGGACATCCTGAGTACTCAATGTATAGGGTGATCACATTGTTTTTTGCTTTTTAAAAGAAATCTACATTAGACAAAATTAACAAAATGAATATGCAGCACAAGCTAGGTAACATTAAATGTGTGTGTGTCATAGCTTATCTCTTCAGTCTGTGCGGATCTTTTCTTATGTAAGCTTTTTTTTTTGCGAATACTCAGTATTGAATATTAATTTAATATAACTGCTCGGATATGGAAATTACTTAAAGGCCCATCTCTGATCCTGACTGAAAAATGGCACAGGACCTAAATTCTCCGCAGGGCTTTTCTCAGTGTGTGCTTCACATAACATTCGAAGTCCCAATGCATATATTTCTTAATATTATTATACAATCTTTCAAATTATTTTTATGGCATAACTTTTTATTTGTGGAAAAACTAGACTGTCAGGGAGGAAATCAGAGCAGTCAGTGGGGATGTGCACTCTAACTCAATGTACAACGGAGGTCTGTTTTGCTGTTCTTCGATTTGTTTAAAAAAATGCCCCTTGTGTGAAGCTATCGAACAAACCTCTCTTTATTCATATATGATGTAATCAATCATCCTGAGCCTTTCTGCTTCATTTGATGCTCAGAATATGAGTAATTGCCTCTTATTGTCTTTGGAGGTTGCTAAGGGTTTCCAGAGCTCCTCTCTGGAGGCCAAAGGGTCACCACCCAGCGGGAGTAAAGTGACGCCGCTGTGCTGGAATGTTGTCCTGATGAATAACTACCTGATAAACCAGCCATCAAAAATACCTAACAATGGTACAGTGTTACCTTGCCAATGCCAAACACAAGGTGGGGGCACAACTGGCGAGTGAGCAACAAGGAAATGAGTCAGGGTGAAATTCCCTTTAACCCTCAGCTGAAACAATCGGTGGATGAATTGTTAAAGTTTTATAGGATAGTTACATGAACATATTTGGAGTTTAGACTGTTTTAGCTTTTTGTATTTTAATGTTTTCTTTAATATTGTTCAGTCAATCAAAATGTATGCTACTGTTTAAAAGAAGTTATGCAGGAAGAGTGGTGAAGGCCAAGAGAGCAACAGGTGGACTTCAGCTTAACAAAAGGAGCACAGCGCTACAGCTAACAGGGGGGCCCTTGTAAACCCTCCTAAGTTCAAAGGTGGCAGTGATTGAATGGTTGTCCAGCAAGGAAGTCCTCCCCTCAAAATGTACATCATTCTCTGCATGCCTCCCTGCGTTTATTCTCGCTGCCATGCTGAGGCCCTGATGACACAAGCAGGATGGTAACGAGTCCTGGTGGCTCCTACTTAAAAGTTTTGTGAAGTAAAAGACACTAGGTATGTTTACATGCACACTAATATTACACTATTATTCCGAATATTCTTAATTAGATACAGGTCACGTAAACAGCATATTCTGTTTAAGACATGGGTTATTTCAGTATTATTTGTGTTTCAATAGCATTCTTTAGACATGTATACAGTGCATTCAAAATATGCATCTTAATTTGTGGTTTGACCACTGTTTGCAACACACGGCATCTTGCTGGTTTGCGGTCAGCTCTGTCAGTTGTCATGGATACGCTGTACACAAATCAACAGTTTGCTGAGGTAGTGATGCATGCTCAAAAAAGATGTCCACATTTCTGGTTGGAAGAAGAAACACACCTACTTTTAAACATGAAGGTGTTTGGTGATGTGCAATATCGTAACGCTGACATTTTCAAAGAGGTGGCTGAAGGAATTAAAGTGGGAAGCTATATTTGCACGGTCGAAATATTCACTGGTAGGAAAATCCTGTTTTGATGCAAAGAAGCAAATGGCACAAGCGGCTCCAGCTGTTCCACTTTTGAATATGATGACGTGATAAATAACATGTTAAAGGTCCAGTGTGTAGGATTTAAGGGCATCTATTGCCAGATGTAATAAAATATTCATAAATATAAAATAGCTCTAAAAAACAACCATATTGATTCACTTCACATTTGCCTATCTACCCCTGTACCATATATACACACATACATACAGACACATGCACACTCTTAACCTCGTAACTACCCCCTCCTACTGCCAGTGACACAAACACCTACACATGCCTACATATACCTCAACTACAGAGTAACCAGCCCTAAACATCTGCCATCATTTGTTTAAAATCCACTGAAACTAAAATTAGAATGAGCTGTTTTAACCTACATGCGGAGCAAGTGCTCTTCCACAGTCCACCATGTTGCTCTACACTAGCTCTCTACATGCTTGGCACATGAGGAGTTTAAGTTCTGCAACCGCACTAAATCCTACACACTAGACCTTTTTAATCAGAGTATCCACAGCTGTATGTAAACAGGAATATTAATGGAACATTAACTTTCATCAGCCATGTAAACAGCTCAGTAGGAATATTGTCTTTTTGGAATAAGGGCAAAACCCAGATTGTTTTTCTGCATGTAAACAGTTACTGTAAGTGGGTGTGGGTGTCTGTAGAAAGTTTGGTGAGCTGTTAATTAATTAAAGTGCTTTAGAGAGTGTCAGTAACTCTGCTAAGTGTGTCTCATAAGTTGTTTTTTTTTCCCCGGCAGTTATAAGAGCTTTTATGTTCGTTTCGACTCTTTCCTCTTCAGCTTACCAGAGATTTGGGAAACATATGAAGATTTGCTTTGGGACAATTAACTTTACTGCTGTTCATCCCTTAAATCTTTTAAGTGGAGGCCGCAGAGCTTTGAAGGAGTATTAATAGTTGCTCCTGTGCAGGGAACAGCAGAATAATACCACAAGGTTTAAAGTGTAATTACTGAGTTCAGAGGTTTGACCCTGTAAATTAACCCTGCCACTAAGCTGCTGTAAAGTTTATATGTAAGCCTTAAGACACCTTCAGAGACCCTCATAAGAAAAAGATTTAAGGAAATTTGACTCTGATTTGACTTTATCCCCAAATAACCCATAAAGTGAGAACACATTGTCTCAGTGTTTTTTCCCCCCTTCATGACAGTTTTATATACTTGTCCTGGCAGGATCCACATCTTAAAGTCATCAAATGATCCCCAGGATTTTGGAATATAGACTTTTAGCCAATGTCACTCCTTTGAGATAACAACATTTCATTACACCAAACAGCCATGACTCATAAGTTAAATCAGAGTGGGAGGTATCTCGTTCAGGACTCTTTTAGTGAAAACAAAGGGGTTTTAGTGTGCGCTCTTAAAACAGGCAAACCTCAAGTGACGCATCCACTCTGCTTTTGTGCTCGGTCCTTCAGTTTGTCACCTTCAAGCTTTTTCCCTCCCACTTCTCTTTTGTGCCACCGACCCTCCTGCATGGCTTCTCCAGACAAAAGGGAAAACTAGCTACAGACCTCTTTTAGAGCCAAAAGAAATGTGTGTGTGTGTGTGTGTGTGTGTGACAGTTACAGCGTCTACATTCCAGCACAGCGGGGAGGTTTCCAAGCAGGTATTTTGCAGTCTTGTGTGTGCTTATTTGTCACTTGTATCCTGAGGGGTGTTGTGTGGTGTTGTTTACGTACGCTAGAGCCATGATGCTCAGAGGTCGGCCTGCCAATGATTCGAGGCGCTTCAGAGTCTCCATGTTGTCAGACGACAAGCCCATCCCACTGTCTGAGTGACTGCCCTGATGATGACAAAGAGACAGACAGACAGAGAGAGAATAATTTAAACTCCTTCATTGTTATCTGAAATGAACAAATAATAAATATCTAAATGTTTATCTCTATAGAACCTTTAAAAACCAGACTTATAAGGTTACTCACAGGTGCACAAAAATACAAAACAATGAAATACAAAAAGACACTTAGGTAGGGCTGCCCCATGAAAGTCAATAATTCTAATCATCATATGGAGACCCCTCAGTCGACTGAGATTCTTCAAGTCAGGCAATCGTGTTTTTTTTGTCAGTCAGTGTATTTCTGGAGCCGTTTCGGTCCTAAGATGTAGCTGTAGATTGAACGCTCCTCACTTTCACGCTGCTCTCTTGTGAGAACAGGTTGACTCTTTACCTGGTCAGGCTCTGAAATACAGCATCTTCCAACATTTACTTAGAAATAGTGAATTTGCAGCCTACAGCAACTTCATACAATATAGTCTCTGGCTTTTGTTTTTTACTTAGTGTTGGCAACAAATGTTGTTGCACAATTCCAATCCTTCAATCATGTACTTAGCACGCATTAACTCGAAGGGCTTAGCTTATATTGTGTGAACGTCACTGTCACCCTGAGCGCGCCGCCGAATCCCGTTCTCTAACTCTATATGGAAAAAATCGAACGGATATTTGAATATTTGCATTAAATAGCCAAATCTGATTTTGAGTCCAGTACAGTAGTAAAATTAAATCAAGTATAATCAGCAACATCAAACAGAGTGAGCGAGACACTAAATTTGACAATTGAAGTAAAAGTATTCAAAAACAACTATATCTGTCTAAAAAGATATCTGTCAGTAATTTAGGTTGGGGTTGATTCTGTTTGAAATATGATCATGATTAATTACCACAACTTCAGTTTTATCAGTATTCAGTTGTAAAAGTCAGAGTCCTTAATGGCAGCAGTGCAGGAATCCAGATTGTTAAGCTTTTCATAACTGAATGAGACGTGTTACTGGCATAAACATATTAGGTCACAGTGTTTAAGTGACAAAAAAATGGCCAAATGGCTGCAGATAAACGAACTAAGACCGGGCCAATTAGAGAACCTTGTGGGACTCCATGTCATGACATGACAGGCAGTGAAGAAATAAAGGTATCACGATCCGTTAGGTACATAGAACTGATTTTAAATAAAAACATTTATGTGACAGAGTGAAGTTTCTGTTTAACTGTCAGAGCACAGATTGTCTGTTTCTGGTTTAGGTCCAGAATGAATAACTCACCTCATGGTTCTCATTAGTCCCGTCCTCCATGGTCACCTCATCGAAGGTTTTCACACTAGCAGGACGGATCTTGATGTTCCTGGCAAGAAAATATTCCAGGGTTAGTCTCCAAAATACCCCTTCAGTTTGAAGAATCCTTTGATTACACTGGACCCGAGAGGCAAAGTTCAGCAACAAAACCACAGGAACATAATCACTTAAATCAACAACATGTCGCATCAGTGACGTTGCACTTTGAAAACACGCCTTGTTTACTTTGCATTTCAACACTCAAGAGGCTAAAACGACTTAAACGACTGCTTAATTTAGCTTAAAGGCTAACTGTCATTACTGCTTTTCAACACCTCCTCAATAAACACACTTGGAGGAGCTGTGAAAACTCAAGAGCTCAACAAATATTATTTTAAGTGCACATAAATCTTGAGGCTGGCTGTATCGTTTTTGGGGAAATTCCTCACAGGAGCCACAATACCGAAAGCTCCCTGGCCATCAAGCTGCTGTGTGTACATTTCTTATCATGTGCTAATCAGGACTTTCATTGTCCTCAGGTCAGACTTAACTGTTCGCCTCATGGAGTTTAGTCTGAGTGCGACAAGAACAATAATTGTTTTAAATATTTTTCAGTGCAAAGTGAGGAAATGATTTCGGGCATTTCCTTTGCAAAACAGACTCGGGTTGCCTTTAACAGTCTGCGGATAGGTATACATGTCTTTATAGTGTGTTGATTTATTTCCTTTAACGAGTTCATAGAAGAATGTAACAGATTTGAGCCAACAAGGCTAACAGTCACAGTCACACAGTTCTGTGAGGCTGCACTTAGGCACAGTGGTGCTTTGAGTTTAATACTAACATCAGCCTGCTGGCATGCTAATGATGACAATGATAACATACAGCTGCATCCAAAATTCCATACTCACATGCTATTTAGTACATTAAAACAGCATGTGAGATTTTTTTAGAGTGTCCAAGACCTATGACACCGACAAAATATAAATTGCAAACTATTTCCGGGTACAAACATTAGACACTAAATATCCCACAGTGCAATGTGGTAGTGATAAAAACAGACAATGGTGGAAACTGATCAAGACAACTCTGTAATGTCAACAATGCTTCAATATGAGTGAAAGTATAAGATTTCACTTTTTTATTTGAAGGAATACTTCACCCACACAATGAGCATTTGTAGATCAATTCATCATGTTGTTTCCTTGAATTTGTGATAAAAACTTTGTTATTCTCATATGCCTCCACGGAAAATGGCAACCATATTGATTTATTGATTGAGGATCATGTTAAAGAACCATATCAGAACACCTGTTGACAAACTCTCTCACAACTCATGCAGGATAATCCAAGTCTCATTTATCCAGTCATATTCTCAATACTTCCAAGAGTGTTGCAAGTGTTTTTATATAGTTTTGCTGTTTAAATGTGCCCCCCAAGTGATCAATAAACTATGAATTATGAATGTTTGCTGTTTTCCGTGAAGGCATGTGAGAAAAACAAAGTTATCTTTAGTCATTCAAGCCTACACAGAATGACTAATTGATTTACAGATAGTCATTTTGTGGGTGAAGTATTCTTTTAAATTAGTTCAGCCTATGTTTGGCATAGGTTACCATGGTTACATGTCACCAATCAGCAAGGAGGCTCTCAGGAAGTGACGTGGTAATTATAGCTCAGTGCATTTGAAATGATATATACTACTGTTTATTCATGTAAAGGTATGTTGAATGATTGTACACATTGTGTATATAGGGTATAGTATGTGATGTTGGACAGCAAAGGTTGATGGGAATGTCATTAGTCTGTCAATAAAAGTACTAGACAAATTAAAATTTGGGTCTGATGATGGTGCTAAATGAAAAGTTAAAGGAGCACAAAAGGTACTACAGTTTATCTTGAGAGCATCCAATAGTTTAAATACATCATTGAAGAAAAGATAAAATAGCAATATCTGTCCAAGTACATAAGGGTTTCAGGTGTCTGTTTTATGTAAAGAAGAAGAAGTGCATAAATGATCCATGTTCTCACCAGGTGCTCCCTGAGTCACGGTGGGAGACAGGTCGTGTGGGCGTCTCCTCTGAGGGCACTGTGGTCGACTGGTCTCCCACCTTTGCCAGCAGGGCTGTGTTGATAGGTATGTAGTGCTTCCCCTCCTAAAATCAACCAAACAGAGACACAAAATATAAGAGTGCAGCCTTATGCCTCCATGATGCAAATTATAAAAGAGACGAGAGGCTCATGGGCCAGTTCTGTGTGCAGGCCATACAAACACACGCTTCCATGGGTCGTGGCGAGCAGCCAAAGAAACTGAGGTCATGCCTAATAAATCCAGTACAATGTTCTCGAGGCTGGTGGAGGCAGCAGAGTCTGTGACCAGCCTTCCTGCACTGTAACAATAGCTTTATTAATAAGAGTCGAACCCCTCCACTGTTTTCTCTGTGTCCAGTTTGAACTTTTTCTCATGCAGATAGTTTTCACAGACTCATTTGTAATATTACATGCTGTAGTTTTCATGTGATGTCATGTGTGGCCTTGTCTTTATCTCTTATTACTCCACTGTACAAGTTACAGTCCTGTGTAGTCTTTGCAGAAGAAGTGAAATATAATTCCTTCTCTTTGTGTGCCAATCTGTCTGTAGTGATGTACATTCTGGACGAGATGCCTGCTCTCCTTAGTTAGTGGAAGCAGAAACACGACTGTGGGCATCTTATAGATCCTGATGACTGAAAATAATCCCCCTCTTGTTGGGGCTCTCGCCAGTTTCCTGTCATCAGTGATAGTTATTACTAAGCGCTCCACTTTCTTCAGTTTCCATCCATCTTTTTTTTTTTTTTTTTAAAAACAACACTTTATTATTTTTTCACCACTTCTGTTTTTAAAATTTCAGTGAGTCATGGAGTTACAGTCTATTTCTGCTTTAGGGAGGTGATGGTGAGAGCTTCAAGTACATTGTTCATTTTCAATTTGAATTGAGACGAGGACTAGAGGTCTATAAGGACCCATCTGATCTGAAACAGACCTGTAGGAAACCTAACCAAACCTAATTTGTTTTCTCTTGAAAAGCATGGGTGTAATCAATCCAATTAATGGTGGCTAAACTCATCTAGCTGCTTCAGGCCACATGCACACCTATACAATTTCATTTTAAATCAGAGTTTTAAAACAAAATCGATCTCTGTACACACAAGTGTTTTAGCACCATTTCAGAATTATTTTCTGTCAATATTAACAAGCCTGACATCACATATCATTTAACCACTGGCATGCAAGTGTAACAGGAAGCAGCTCTTCTACTCTGCAGTTGGCTACAGAAAATACAACAGAGATTGCAAATAATAAGATCAGAGATTTCTTTGCTTGGACTGATGACGAGATGGAACTGTTAATGAAACTAACACATGAGTATGGCAGGCAAGGCGGCAGAAAACAGATCATTCATTGAAAAGGAAGCCATGGTGATGGGAAATGAGCACCCACACAAGAGGGTATGTAGACCTAGCCATAATGTTTTGGCTTGACATGTTGTGACTAATAAGGCTCAATCAGGAAGCGGAAGTTGGCGTCTGCATCATCGTTTTCTAGACTTAAACACAACCCCATACTCTTCAAACTAAAATGTGGTCAGCAGCATTTCAAAAATAGCGTAAAATAGCAGTAGTTATGTGTTTTAAAACAAAAACCTATCAGTGTGGATGCAGCCTCAGTCTCTGGGTCCTCGTATTGTACATGCTGGCTAAATAAAACAGAGCCATCTTTAATGTTATTAGTAACACCTGTGCTTTTCCTACTAGGACAAAATGTCTGCAGTACAAAAGGCCTGTTGGTAAAGGTGTCATTTCCTTTCAGTGTAATATGTTTGCATAATAATCAAATGCAGATTCTTCCTGTGGAGCATATTTATTGAACTGATTAGAACAAACAGCTGTTAAACTTTCATACAGTCTCATAAAATTTACAAACTTCCAACAGGTTCTGACAATATACAGCATTTAAACCAGACAAAGTTATCCTGCGTCACACTAATAATGCCATTGTTTTCCATGTGTTTTGAAGTGTGGTTCCTCTTACAAGACTGATGTTGCCATTTCAAAGGGATCCAAGTATTTGTGTTGAGTGTTACTTCCCCTCTCAGTTACTCTAAGCACCCCCCTGGGTGAGATGCCGCTCTGAATCTTCTTTGGGCTGCAGGACTCTGATCAGCAACGCTGCTTCCTGAATATTTGCCGTGTTTGTGACTCATTTGGGTGACTAATAGTGTAAGTGTTTTGTGAAGCCACAGTATGGTCAGAATTCCCAAAGTATGTGGGGACTTGAACTTCAACTAAAAATTTAGTTCCTGTATTTGTCTTGCCGAGAAAACACATTCATAAATCTTTTAGTTTGGTATCATCATCAACGTTTAGTTTGAGTTCCCCACAGCTGCTGTTCATTAACTGCTCACTTCTGTTGAAACAAAACTATGACACATCATACGTAGTGTTCAATCAGTGCACACTCTTTCTTGTCTATCGTACCTGTTGCACACTGGCCTGAAGCATATCACCCAGCCTTTCCACCAGCTCAGTGAAGGTCGGACGCTCCTGTGGCTCTCCCTGCCAGCAGTCCAACATGGTCTGATATCTAAAAGTGAAGAGAACAACACTTAACACAAACTGCAAGAAAGATACATGCAAGCCTTCAGTGCACTGGATGCCAAGAATCAACAGACATTATATTCGGGTTGATGTACTGTGACAAAGCACCTCTCAGAAGAAAACTTCTCTTTGGATATTCGACCATTCTCTGTTTTCTATTCACAGGTGATCCGGAGCCTCTGGGGCTGTATCTAATTCTCTTTTGGGTGCGAGAGTACAAAGCCTCGCTCAGGTCTCTGACAAGCTGTCAAAATCTCTACACACGTGGGAAGACTCTGAGCCTTAATGTGAGTTTCCATTGCAGTGTGCTGTCTCGGTTTGTGGAGGAATTTAGGAACAGAGCTCCACGGCTGCTGTTTAAATTACGTTCACAGCACGTTACTGATTGGGATTGATGGGTATGATGGATCCCTCCCCAGTTTCTGTTGCAGCAACCAATGCTTTCCCTACACATATCTTTGCAGGAGCAGTGTGTAGGAGTTAGGGGGAATTAGTGGCATCTAGCGGTGAGGATTGCAGATTGCAACCAGCTAAAATTGCTCCCGGTAAGAATTCCTTTGGACTTCTCTGTTGCGGAGGTGTTAATAACCGAATACCTAATTATCCATAAAGGTCTCTTCCTCTCCAAAACAAACAGACCAGGTGATTGAAACTAGTAAAACACAGAGTAAGGAAGTTTCACATAAAAGGAAGGTATTTCTAAGGACAGGCTGCTAACTACGCTGGCCCAAGCTAAAACGTGAATGGTCATATCTAGAGCCAGAGTTTGGTTTGTCCATTCTAAGCTGTAGAAACATGGTAGTGCAACATGGCGGACTCTGTGGAGGAGGACCTGCTCCCTATGTAGATACAAAGGCCTCATATTAAGGTAATGAAAACACAAGGATTACTATCTTCAGTTGATAATACACCAAAGAATACACACTTATATTATATTTTATTTCTGACAGTGTATTTCCCTAAACCCTACACATGACCCTTCAAGTGTTATGTAAATAAATCCATTAGTTAGTAATCAATCTGAAGTTTGAGGACTTGTAAAAGCAGATGGTCTGCTGCTTCCTTACTGACCCCCCCTCCTCTCCATCTGTGTTTGTGTGCAGGGCATCTAAACCTCTCTGCTCCTGGCTGAAAGAAACCTAGCGGCTGCTGTGATTCCCACGTTAATGAGCGTGGAGTATACTCGTCCAGGTGGGAGCCCTCCTTATGGTGACAGGATGTGGGGAGCATGATCACAGTCTTTAAGCATATCATTGAGGGGGGGTGGGGGGGTGTAAGTAGACACATTGTATGACTGCACAATTTAGACCACATTTCCTGCCTAGTACGCAATGAGAATAAATAGCCTTCCCCCGCATGTTTGGGGTCTTGAGGGAGTGTGGTGTTACTGAGGTGGTGGCGGCGGCGGCGGCGGGGGTGGAGATTATGTGGAACTTGTCCAGTTGGGCAAGTGTGTAAGGATGGGAAGTGAGCATCCTATTTATTGTCCTCCCACTGAGGAGCATGTTTTCTGAGCAGCATCCGCTAAATTCCTCTGCAATGCATCAGCACGTAGGATCTTATTAACAGGCGGAAGACAACATTCCTGATGAATCAGAGCTGCAGTGGTACAAATTATTTGCTCAACACTGCCTGCAACCTCATGTGCTTTTCATCATTCAGATATTATGAGTTTGAGGTGAGGGTCAAGGTGTCAAAACCTGGGCTTAGAGACACACGTGATCAACTGCAGACCTCTCCAGGGGAGTTCACCCCACTGACTCTGAGTGTATTGCTGTGCATCCCATTCACACTGATATCAGCAGCTTTATCTTTGCTTTAAATTAGTGGCAGGCCTCACATAAGCACGCAAAATATATAATCTGGCAGTTCCATTTTTCCGAGATGGAACATATGAGAGATTCTTGGCACCAGTGGGTCTAGATCTACAGATCTTCTGTTCTGACTGCACGCTGCAGTCTGGATTAGATTTTGTCTATCCCCTCCAATCACTGTGTCCTTTGCGAAGCTGATAAATTCATTCAGTTAGCTTTACTTGGCACGAGCTGCTTTAAAACTCTGGACCTTTTGATATCACATCATTATTAAGTAGAAGTGCAGCATTATGCTTTCAAAACAAATAAGATTTGTGGACTATATGAGTCATTTTAAATTAAAAGCAGACATGAGGTATGCACACATGTCGAAGTGAGCTGCAGAGCTCAGGCTGGGTCTGGATCGGCTGTACATCACACAAAAGAGTCAAAGTATTCTTATTACAACAAAAGTTTGTTTAGCTGCGTCACTGACTGACAGCACTGACACCAAAGAAGAGGACTCTCTGTTCTCCCACAGATATTTATGTCCAGCACCATCCACCAGCCCCTGCTCAAAATGAGCACCAGGTCTCTGGCCTTCCTCACTCAGGGGAACTTGGACTCCACATCATGCTCAGTTACATCTGTGCCACTGTCACTCAGAAAATGCTTCAGAGCTTCAGTAGCTAATGTGTCTTCCTGCAGCATTCAGAGCAGTATTACCCAGGATTCTTATCAGGCACCTCTGACCTGCTGGTGCAACTCTAAAGAGGAAGAAACATACAATGCCTCCTCTTTGCTATATATCGATATGAGTGGCTTTTACTTGCAGCCTTTATTTTCTTGGCCTCTGTGAGGAGCTCGTACAGCTGGGAACACGTAGCCGGCTGGCTGGGGTACACAAGACTACCCGGCCGTCATAAAGATTTAAATAGTTCAAACAATAAAATGTTTGCAATCCTACATTTTCCAAAACGCAGCTTTTAAGGATAGGACGGAAAAATTAAGTTAATGCTCCCAAACAAAGTTCACTACAAAGTTCTCTGGAGGGGGACAGCATGCAGGTACGTATTTACTTTCATCTGCTGTTTACTGAAGAAATAGTTAAAAGGGATTCTCACATTTCAGAGGAAGAGTATTCTGGTGCTCTCATCCTGGTCCCCTCTTTAAGCCTGCAGCAAAATTCTTCGTCAATTTGGACGCCAGGATACGGGGAGGCACCTGGGAGAGGAAACAGGGGGAAAGGTTCATTACAAAGTTATTTGTTGGGCATAAAAAACACCATACACAGTATATTTGTATGACTTTACATGAGATGGGATGAGATGATGTGTGTTGCCTTTTTACATGATACTGACATTGTAAAATACAAATGTAAGATATTTATAAGAAAGTGTTAGCAGTCTGTGTTCGGCCACATAATAACGACAGCGTTAATATTTGGATAACAGCTGAGGTATTTTAAAGGCTCCAAAGTAAATCCTGAGGGTGCCATTATTCACAAAAATGTTCTCAATAATGTACGTTTTAAACTACTGACACATATTGCATGGAAAGGTTTCTGCAGAATGAAGCACAGTAAAAGAAGGAAGAAGCTTGTGAGAGGTAAAGTAATACATCACATTGATAATTTTGTAATGAAAATAAAATCAGTTGTTCGTATTTTAGTGCACCCTGTTTATATCAGAGAGGGTAGGCTAATAAGGCCCTGACACACAGAGCCAACGGTCGGCCGCCGACTAGAGACACCTTGCTGCATTATAAAATACAGTTCAACAGCACCACAAGCTACAGCCTCCAAAATGACCATAAAGTTGAATAAACACCTCCCTGAACATTATAGCTATCATGAAGTTCTGATTTATTGCAGGTTGCATTAGACAGCGTTAGTTTTAGTGAGGTGTACCTAATGAACTGACACATGAGTGTAGTTTATAGTGCACTGGAATACTTAGTGTGTCTGGATAAATGACTGAATGTAATATCAACACCAGTCTTGGGCCATGAGTAGAAAAGAAACAACTTCAAAAAACAGTTTTAAAGAATTATTATGCACAATGTGCAGAAATTACAAAGACAACACCTGCCCAGTCTCTGGTGCATTCCTGATCTCCTACTGGGAACATTAAACTCCCTTTACTGGTGAGTGAAACCACTGCTGCTTTCCAACACCTTGGAGAATTGTGTAACAGAAAAAAAAAAAAGAAATACATTGGATTTTTGATTAGATCTGGTTGGATGATGTAAGTGAGGACCACTCATGGTATACAGTGAATGTGTAATGTTGTTAAATTTGCTGAGTCATGAAACTGTCAAATATATCACCCGCCAACCATAACTATCTTATTTACATTTGAACTGTCATGTTGGTAATAAAATTTGAATTTAGAGAGCCAAAGGCTTCTTAATGCTTGGCCCCCTGTGAAAACATACAGTAATACGCTGAACCGGCTTCTATACAATATCGGATTTTGTTAGTTTTGGAATATAACGCCTCATTTTATATTATCAATACAATTTCCTAGGTCATAAAAAATATTTTTGCTTGCTTGAATCCCCAGACAAAATTAAAACACCATCTTTGTGGCAACACACATTTATAGGAAAACCACAGATTGAGCTTGGCAAAGTGTTCGAACAACTAAAGAAATAAAGCTTACTGCATAAGTCAAAGAGACAATCTTGGATTTGCAGAGAAAACATTTCAAATCCCAAGTCTTACTGTTCACATGGTCATATTTCTAGCTGCAGCCGAAGTGGACTCCTTGTTCCACGATGTGACGGTTGGTGTGTAAACATGCTGTTCACATCATGTACGAACTTAAAAAAGGAATATTTTCCTCTACATTTTGGCCTCTGGACCACTTTAGGTCACAAAAATGGAGATTTTTTTTAAAGTGCCTGCGAAGGTGTAGAGCTCCTATATTCTTACATACTAACTGCAATAAACGGCGATGAAATCTCCAGTAGGTGTTTTCAAATAGGTAACGTTAGCTTGTACACTTTACTACCTGTGTGATGAGGGGAGACAGCTGAAGACACCAAATGTTGGCAAGCATTTGGAGTCGTGTTTTGGCTCTGGTGTGGACAGAGATATTTTGTAAAACAAAGGTTGTGTGGACAGAATCATGTTTTAAAAAAGAGGGCGAAAATATCGTTTTTTCAAAAGTATCTGTACACGTACAGACAGACTGTTAATGAGAATTTTACCTGCTTAAACCGTACCGTATTGTATCCTATTGTGTGTTATAATATCTTATTGTGATATAGAATATCTGCATAGTCCAAAGATCTTACCTATGTTTTATGACGTGACAGAATTTTCTCTAATAGCTTTCTCTATTTAAAAGTACTCTCTTGATACAGAGTATTTACAGTATGACTAACACCACACAGGCCTGGTTCACTTTTTGGCGTCAACACTATCCAAACAAGCTCTGGAAATTCAAACCCACAAAACGGAACTGACACACTTTTGGTCCGCAGAGCGATCTGAAAAACATACTTGGGTTACCCTAAAACTTTTGACCTCCAAACACGATCGGGTTGCAGAGCTCCACTTGTTTGCCATTTTTCTTGGTCATTTTGTATCCTTGTTTCCTGATTTATTTTTCAGAGGCCCCCACTAACACTACCCAGATGTGTAAGTGTTTCTTTAACGGAAAATGTGGTGAGAATGTGTCAAGAGTGAAGAAGAGGGAGAAAGAGACTAAAAGAAAGAGGGAAAGACAAAAGGGAGAGTGTAATAATGACGTCAGTGCTCTTTACATTTAAAAGAATATGCAATTTGATACACTTTTCTTTACACTGCAGCGGGCGACGACACCGCATGGCAGTGATTCAAAAGTACAGAATGGCAATACATCCAACTTTGGTTACACTTACTCTTATGTTTCCACTGACTCCCATGGTGACATTTAAACATACAATATTTCATGTTGAGTCCTGCTATAGAAACATGTGGTGAGCTCTGTGCCACGGTGCACAGGCAGTCATGGACTGACACACAATGCAGTCTTAAAGGCTGCAGTGGTTTCACAGCAGGGGCACACTTTTACACTGACCAGGCTGCTTGGTTACAGTGAGTTTGTGTTGCCAGCTGGGGAGAAACGGGTAATTTAAATAGGAGGTGTTCTCTCGTTTTAATGTCCCATGCCTGTTGTAAAAATCACAGCCTAACTTCACTAATGTTTGAGTGGCATGAAAATGGTTTTCTCAAGCTGAAAATGTGAGCTCAGGCCCTTTGTCCTAAAGGCACAATACACAGAAGAAGAAGACAGTTATTGCCCAGTGCATCTGGTGAGGCTGCATAGCCAGGGGCACCGAGTGAGTCCACCAAGCTGGAGCTCTCTTCTCACTTAACATCTCTGACACAAGAGCGCTATGTTCACAGTGCAAATAGACTTTAACTTTCATGATGAGGTAAATGTTGATTGCGCAATGTAACAGCTAAAAAATGATGACACCATCAGTTTCAAGACTGGTTTCCTAGAAGCCTCGCTTTCACCACGCAATTCTGTTGGGCAAAACAAAAAGAGCCCTGCTGCTTTCACTTTACCTGGAAATAACGGTATCCTTTAATTATAGACAGGGGCATTTTTTTATTTGTTAGTATGTCGGATGTAATATTGAGAACAATTCACGAGACAGGTTTCAACTTTGATGAAAATAAATCATGGTGAGCACCAGAACTTGATACTTTAACATGTAAGTGTTAGTATTGTATTTAGTTTATTTTTAGATTTTTAGATGCTTTTACAAATTGTTTATTTTATGTGCCATGTTTTTGCGCCCTCTAATACACTGTTGTCCATGTAGAAACACAGATGGCGCAGTCAAAGTTAGAGTGACGTTATTGCAACATGCAAATGCTCCCAAGTGCTTATTTTTTAGGGCATGGCGGCTGCGCCCTGAGAACTTTTGGAACCCAGCAATGCACACTGCATGTCATGTGACGAGGGACAACCAATCACAGCTGGCAGATATCTTTTCTTTCTTCCATAAATATCAGTGTTTTACTGATAAAGGGAAGAAGTTGATCATTTGAGTGCAGGGCTACCCAGAGCTTTACATCTGTAAGACGGACAACACGCACAAAAACAACACAAGATCCAAACTCGGGATTTCCCGTAAGTAAGCTGTGATATGGTGCTGGATATGGTCGCATAGCAACCTCAGATGCAACCTGGCTCCATGCCCTTGAAAGTTATCACAGAGAAGGCAGAAAAGCAGCACTCAGCTACCGCCGTGGCATGTGTCGCAGCCCTAGGTTTTCATGTGTGATTGTTGCAATAGCATTAGGGTTCTTTGTTCCCCTGTATGTTAGACAGTGCATGTGAGCCATGACACTTACCCAGAGAGAAGATCTCCCACATGAGAACACCAAAGGACCAAACATCACTCTGAGTCGTGTAGATCTTGTCAAAAATGGCCTCAGGTGCCATCCACTTCAGTGGCAGTCTGGCCTGTGCAGATATTAAGATAAAAGAAATCATTTACTCCCTTATCTCAGTGGTGTGGACATCTCACTAATTACACTGTCACATCTGTGAAGAGCAAGTTGGACACTGCCGTGTAGGTGATTCTTTTGATTTAACTATGACTTATTTAGTCTCTAAGCACGTCCCCTGTACTTAGTATTCAAAGAAAAACACTGATTTTAATTTCTTTTTTTTTTAGATTTCCAAGAACTGCTGCACTGACTCAGCTCTCCTTTTTTCTGCCAAGTCAGTGATAGCTTATAGTTTCGCATGTTATCTACTAATGAAAAAGCTGCGAGCAACTTTTCTGTAAACCAGTACCAGACAGACAAACCAGACAAACCAACACCAGACAGCTGGAAAAAGACACAACTAGATTTGAATGAACTTACATCTCCTTTGCGCACATAATCCGGGTCTTTGTAGATGTCTCTGGCAAGTCCGAAATCACAGATCTTCACCACGTTATTCTCAGAAAGCAGGATGTTCCGTGCAGCCAAGTCACGGTGGATGCACTGATGAAAAAAAGGAAGAAACAAAGTCTTATTCAATGCGACATTTACATACATAAGTTTAAAGTTTTCTGTGTGTAATTGACCTTACAGTGGTGCGCTGCATGCTTTAAGGCATGGAGGAGGAACACATGGTCAAGTCATCAGTGATATTACAATGGGAGATGATGTGTTCCATATCCAGGCTACGAAATGGTCTGTAACGGATTATTTACAACAATGGCTTCATTCTTTAATCAGTCCCGTCCGGTCTCCCCAAAATTATGAATGACTTTAAAATGGCCGAGTTCTAGACTGTTATTCTTTGGAAACACTGGGGTAATGGGGGAGAGACCATACAACGATTAAGTGCTTTACACTTAAATAAAATAAAAAATTCACATTGTTTAAGTCGTCGTCTGCTGTATATTTATTTATTTATCAACAAAAACACTTTCAGCATGAACTGCATGCACAACAACTTTAAAAGATTTGGCTACTCTATACTACACTCTAGACCACTGCTTCCTATCTGGTGGGTCGCGGTCCTGAAGTGGGTCGCAGGTCCAATCTGAATGGGCCGCAAGTGACTCGCAAACGTGCCAAGTTTATAAAAAAACACACTGTATTTGTAAGTACAGTAAATTTCCAGCACAGAGCTTTTATTTTGAAGTGTTGTTTCCTGCTGTAGAGTGAGTGACTAGCCGACAGCTTCTTGACAGAGACAGCAAACTAGCTCAACGACATGGCCAGATGTAAGTATGACGCTGAATGTATTAAACTGTGGGACCTCAAACTAATGACTAAGGAGAAATCTGGACCCTGAGGCTGGACCAGTTGGGAACCATTGCTCTGGACAACACTATACTGAGTAACGTGCCTGTTCGGAACAGGCTAATTTCTTGGCCTCGTGTTGCTGCTTACAGCTTTCTCAAGAATATTTCATCCAAACAACATCACACTTGGCACTGCGCTTCATTGGGTCTCGAGCAATACACCTGCCATGACAAAGATGTGTCCCCTAACAATGCCGGAGTATACGCCAGCTAGTTATTTGGGACTGGTCTTTTTCCTGTAACAAAAGCATTCATTCTGAAAGTTACATCGCTGATGCTTCAAATATTTGAGTTAGCTGCAATGCAACATTTACAGTCTTTCTCTCATCATCTGTTCATATACTGTAGTGAGTGACTGAGAGCGAGCTATGCCCAGCTTGCCATTTGGCGGTATAACAGTTATTTGGAGTCCCCTCTCATTACACTTTACAGTGTGTACATAACGCACTACTCATAAATATGTCCTGTGATCTCAAGAGCTTGCACTTGACGGTGTACTTCTTTGAGTCCTCAGCAATGTAACCGCAAAATGTGAAGTCGATAAACGGTTGTCGAGATTACTGAAGGAAATACATCTTCATACCGACAGACAGAGACTCCTTTCATTTTAGTTACATAACATAATTTTTTAAATAAAAACACAACTACTACAACATAGATTTAAAAAAAATGTATACACAGCTGTTTAGAATAAAATAGGTGTCTGGAGTGATTTGTGTGAAGAAGAAAATACCTTGCGTGAAGCCAAGAACTCCATGCCTTTTGCGACTTGGAAACTGTAGCAAATTAAATCTTCCAACGTCAGGACCCTCTTATATAAATCCTCAGATTCTGCAAAAGAAAAGAGCACAGAGTTTTCCCACTGCGATAGATTTAGATGTATATGGCCTTTAAATTTAGAGGAATCATCCTTCTCATCTGAGCGTGATTTTAAATGCAGTCTGTGTGATCGGGAGCTCTGTCAGATAAATCAAATAAGATGAAACAGCGATGATTCTCAAGGGGAAACTGCAAATGTAAAGTCCAGGACTTAAACATATCGTCTTCACAATGCATCCTGTCATGTACGTGTCTCCTCCTACACGCTGTTCTTTAAAACATCCTTTACAGATGAGAGATGAAAACAAATTACAATTCCTCCTCTTTTTCAAATGTCAGGTGAAACGTGTGGTTATGGGCCCAGCGTGCTGTGAGAGGAACTCACGAGGAGTCCTTCCACTGGCCCCACCTGAGTAAACAGCTAATCAAACCAGAAATAACACATCAGGAACAACATGGCGGACTTGCAGTGTCTGAGCTGGAGCCACAGAGTAGAGCAACACTCAGGTCAGGACAGGAAATAAACAGACGCCTCCCCAGACTCAGTGGGGTGACAGTGGCTCCTGCTGCAGTGATTGTACTGCTGAACAGGAGGAGGAAACGTCCCATCAGACTCGGCTAGAAAACAATCTGAGGGGAGCTTTCATTCCTGGGCAGGAGGGATGGAGCAGAGGTGAGGGGAGGGGAGAGACAGCAGGAGGGACAATTGGAGGGGGGGAGGGGTGCGGGGGTTGAAGGGAAGCAAGACGTGCTTTTCCTTTACCTTCTTCCTCTTCCTCTGAGTCGCAGTAGCTCTTATCTTCGATGAAGCCAGAGCTGGCCGAGCTTCCGGTGCTAGCCACGCTCTCCAGGCGGCGCTTCATCAGCTCGCTCAGCTCGCAGCGCGATCCTGATGACACCACCTTACCGTCCTGGCTCTGACCAGCACACACATATATCATGTTAAAGTGAGAGGAGGTTCAACGCTGCTGCTGACATGCACGGAGCTCGTGGCCAGAATGATGAGAAAGCAAGAGTGCCTGAAAGTCTAAATCATGCAGCTTGTGACTCACCTTGTAGACGAGAAAGTCATCTCTCTTGCCTCTCAAATAGTTGGACAAGTTGCCGTATTTGCAGAATTCCACTATCATCATCAATGGGCCTGTTAAGACAGAATATTTCTGTTTGTTCAAATGTTTTTACTGCGAAGCAGAATTTTCAAAGACAAGAAAACATGGTGTTACCATGCTTCTTCTCCATATAAATAAACATTATGTAAAAGACATCGCAAGAACACACTTTAAAATAAACACTGCGTGAAACCAAATGAACTTTGAGTCATTTTTAAGGTACGTCTTTGCCATATTTCTTTTCTGTAATGTGACAAAGCCCAACCATGTTTCTTTTCCTAAACCTAATCTACCTAACTTTATACTAACTCTTTAACTTTACATTAAGTATGTAACGTGATGACGCCATTTGTGGGACACTCATTCATTAGATATCATATGAACAGTTGTGTAAGCACACTGCAGTCTAGGAGTAATTTTATGTATTTCTCTTAAACACATATCAGAACAGTGGAATAATATTAAATAACATGGTCATTAATAAAGCTTACCTCCAGGCTTTGTGCAGGCTCCCAGCAGGTTGACAACGTTCAGGTGATGGCCGATGTGGATCAGGATCTTTAACTCTGACATCAGAGCTTTACGCTCATTTGATGTAGCGCCTCCTGTAATAATGTAAACACACAGAGAACTTGTTTAGCGTTGGTTGGTGTATCATTTAACACGCTGATATAAACTTGCAAAATACAATTAGATTTTCATTGAGTTTAAATATCCTCTTTGAACGACTGAGTTTTCACTGTTAAGAAGTTAGGATGGAAGATGAAAGAAAAAAATGAGCCCACCTCACAAAAAGATTCAGTTAAGATCGTGCACGATGGAATGATATTGGAGATAATGGAAATGAAGAAGATAATGGAGTGAAAAAGAAAGCAAGCCTACTCAGCTCTGTTCTTATGTTGAAAGATATTTTCATTCACAGGGAGGCACAAACTTTAAATAACACTCAAACACGCATCACAGAAAGTTTTATAAAATCCAGACGTGTTTGATTCCCAGTGAAATCTAACTTTAAAACTGACATTTGCACTGAAACCCCCAGTTATTTAACCATTATTTGTTTGTACTTTAAGAGATTCTGGTGCATAATTAACAGCTCGTTTGCATTTCCTTCCCACTTTTGTCTGACTTTTCCATTATGGCATATTCTGAGATATTGTTTAATGTAAACTGTGTCATCTTACAGCTGAAACGCAGCTTTAAGATGCATAGGGATTTACTGTATTAAACTATTGTTGTAAAAATAAGTAAAAACAAGGAAGCTAGTTTAAAATTTAAGTTACTATGTCTAGAATATCATATGTCTCATACAGAATGACAAAAATATACAAAATTATTACACCAAAATGTGTAGAGCTGCAACAATAGGTCAATTAATTAACTTCAGTTATTCGCTAGAAAATTAAGGTGCTATTATTTTGATTATCAATGAATTGTTCAATTAATTTTTCAAGCAAAAATGGCAAAAGTATGATATTTCTAGGTTCTTAAATGCTTTCTTTCCCCTTACATTATGGTAAAATGATTTTTTGGGGGTTTAGGAGTGTTGGTTGGACAAAACAAAACATTTGATGAAGTCACTTTAGGCTCGAGGATATTGTAAGAGGCTTTTCTCACTGTTCTCTAATGTCTTATAGTCCAAATGATTAATTAATTAATTGACTGAGAAACTAATCTACAGCAGCCCTAAAAATCTGAACATCCAGATAATACTGTTTTCTATTTTTCTTTGCATTTCAAGAATAAATTCCGTCTTAGCAGTTTGCCAGTATAGTGACAAAGTCGAAATAAGAACCTGAACCCTTGTAGCTGGATTACTGCGGAATTTAATTTTGAGAGTTCATTAAACATGACTAAAAAATAATAATATTGCTTTAGGCCCAGCGATATGAAGCGGCCTCTGATGGAGGACATCCTCAAAGATAAATGCCAAATAAATTAAAACGAGTGGTGCTCATATTACATATATGATTTTGATTTGGTAAAGCTTTAACCTTGAATTATGAAAATCGAGATTTAGAGGGCTGTTTTATGTTGCTTCGACCAACCGGATATTTATGAGCTAGAAGCTAAAGCAGCCAGGGAGTCTCCCGCTAAACCACGGTCAATTTGAGGAGACCTGCTGCTTTCCATTAAGTTTGACCTACGGCTAACAACAGCCAGAGTCTGTTCCTCTCACAGTGTGTGATTTATGCTGAGACATGATTAATGATATGACAGTGACCAATACATCTAACCAGCTGGCCCATTTTTCATGATGCATCATCATCATATCACCAGTCACTGATTGCTCTGCAGCTTGCTCATCTGGTAGCATAAAAAAGGTAGGTTTTTGGAGAATTAGGTTTTATTCACATACTGCATTAAGCTGGGGTGAATGAAATAAGTAAGCATCTGTCATCGACTGTTTTCAGCTTGTTGGTTTTCCTGTTTTCATGTTTGCTCAAACATTTATGGTTCATTGTGAATATTTGGAACGACATCGGAATGAGACTGTAAATGATTCCTCTTTAAAATCAAGACCGGAGATGGAGGATAGTTTCCAAATGTTGGAATTTCTAAAATGTGGCAAAAATAAACACGTTTAACGGCTTATTTTGCATCTTAAATTTTTGAACTCTTCTTCACCTGCAAATTTGGGACATTCTGATCCGAGCTGTCACATCTGCATGCGCTCAATCTCTTCATCAAGGACAGGGTTAGAGGTCTAAGCCTTTACCTCTAACTGCACTTTGCAGGAACAGACATTGTATGCTTTACTTTGAACCGATGCGCCATACAAACACTAACTACAGGCACATGTGGTGCTGTAGCTCATGAGTCTGTAATGTGCACAAGAAATAAATCCTCTGCAGAAATGACAGAAAGCTGTTATTCATCTGCTACTTATACAACAATAGATACTGTGACGTTAAAGCTGGCTCGTCTGTCATGAGCGCTGGTACCTCCAGGATGAAGAAAGAGGGGCCACAGGGGCAAACTACGATTATGTAGAAAGGAACAAGTGGTTTTCTCATTACAAATGGTTATTACTTTCCATCAGTGAATGGAGTTTTTGACATCCTACCTTTTAACATTTTGACGGCAACAGTCTTGCAGGTTGAGAGCTTGTCGATCCCAAAGGCAGAAGCCTCCACCACTTTTCCAAAAGCTCCGTGGCCAAGAGTTTTGCCTGGCAAAGGGAGAAGGTATTTGATAAGTGGGATGACATTAGAGTTTCCCGTCCCTCGGGCAGAACAATCAGATTGGATTATTCCCTGTCAGTCAGGCTATGGGGCTGTAATTAAAACAATATGCTGTCAGGCAGTTTCTCCAGAGAATTTATGGCTCACTTAAGACTGGATGACAGCGCAGGTCACTGATAAGTAATGACCCTACACAACAGCTGCAGAGAGGGGTCACACCTATTCCATGTACCTTAATGTGGCTGTGTGTATATTCTCACCATGAACCACTTTTAAAATGAACTTCTAACCTTTTGTTAAAGAAATCATGCAGCTTGACTTTGTGTCTGAGTGCTGATATTCAGTCTCACTGCTCTCGATAGTAGCAGAGATATCAGACACATTGATGTGAATGACAGTAAAATAAAAAATACTAAATGACTCCATTCATGACAAAAAGAAAGAAAAAAGAAAATATGAAAAATGGTGACCTGTAAAAACAAGCAGCAACCTCCAGGTCTGAAAAATAAAGTCAATGTGGAAGTGCCAAAAACTGCAGTTCCTCCAATGACCATTTGAGGCTGGCTCTGGAAGCAAGTCCCCATAGACCCCCATGTTAAAGTGCCCAACTTTACAGCAGAAATAAACATGTTTACAGCCTGGTACGAAAGACAGTTTTGTCTCTATAGCTAATTTCACCCTTCATGACAGCTGTACAGTGGGTACATTTTTATATAACTCACCCGTTTAAATTTTATTAAGGCTTATAGTTATGCAGAATTAAGGGTGGGGCTGCTTTGAGTGACAGGATGTGTGAGCTGTCATTACTAAGACTCAGATCCACCACTCACTCCTCCACAGCTCCACCCTCTCATCCACATATGCTCACTTCCTCTCCGCAAAAATCCAAGATGGCAAGGGCCAAAATGACGAACCTGAGGCTTCAAAACGGGAATTCACAAACTAATGGGTGATGTCATGGTAGCTATGTCTTTTATTTTGTACAGTCTATGTGTAAAACTGGCAACTGTGTTTAACTACATACTGAAAGTAATGTATTTAGCTTCTCGGTTAACCTATTTAAAATTTAGAGGAGGTAAAGAAACCACATGAATGCAATATCATTTGAAACTTTTCACCTCACAATGCATGCTCACCTAGTCGCAGGCGGTCACGGGGAAACTCCCATTTGTTGCTGTCGTACTGAAGAAGATCATTCTGCTCCTCCAGGGGACACTCATCAGGGTCAATGATGATCGACGGACCCATCTTATAGTGTGCTGGTTGCTGAGGGTGTTAGAAGACAAATGTGAATTTCATGATTATCCTCAAAAAGTTTTCGACAATTAGGGCAGTGCCTGTTTTGAATTTCAGCCTGCAACTTTTTTTGAGAACCACTCAACCAAAAAACTTTACACTCAACTTCCTTGGGAGTACACACGTCATTTGCTAACAGCTAGCTACTTGGGACTAGGCTATATCCGGGAACAAAAGCATTCATTATGAAAGCTATATTGCTCATTCTTCAAATGTTTGAGTTCCCTAAAATATCTTTCTATCTTGTCTCTCTTTATTCATCCGTTCCTGAATGTGCAAGTGGCGGAGACCGAGCTGTACCCAGCATGCCTTTGGTGGTATAACAGATCTATGGGACATATTTATTATCCATAGATCTCATGAGCTCGAATTTGACACTGCACTTCCTTGGGTCCTCAGCAATACACCTACTACGTGTCAAGTTGATTGAATGAACAGTTATCAAGAAAAAAGGACAGACAGATGGTGACTCTTAGTCACACAAATGTTACATTAGTGACTATTTTTTTAAATGAGTACATTATGTTCTCCTTTGACTGTACATATAAACATGAGCTTACCACTTCCCCATTTTCAGGATATGTTGAAATCATAAACACTGGCTAAATTTGTCCTTTCTCTTAACTGGATTTCGTAACAAGCGTGAGTCAGCCACTTCTATAAAGTCATAGGAGCTAAATTAGTAGAAACAGGAACCGTAAAAAAAAAAAATAATAAAAAAAAATGCCATGACACACGAACTTTCCACATCTTGGCAAATGCTAATCTCATGTGATTTCAGAGATGAAGAAGCAAGGTAATGTCTTACCTTTCTTAGCTTGCGGATGAAGAGGATAAGCATGAGCCAGAGGAACGTGGCTGCAGCTCCCGTACACACCAGAATGATTACCTCAACATTTGGCTTCCCTTCATCCCCTGGAAAGAGAAGACCCGTCATCAACTACCAGACCTCTTTGGCAAATAATCACTGTGTACTTTTCATGATCTCTTAAATTGTCATATAATATTGACAGGGATTTGTGGTGAATTGTGATCAGAAGAAAACAGTCTGTTACAAATTTCCGAATAGAGGGTCTGAGTTTTGACTGGAGATGATTGGAAACTTCTATTTCACGTCATTCCTCTGTTTATTTGTTTCTTCCTAAATTTTCTCTGAGAGAATGTATACAAAAAGGAAGTGGAAACACACTTTGGTATTTATTTCGGGTTTGTTTGGGACATGCATACCACACTTTTTCCTATAATATTTTCTTCCAAACGCTGTTTTTCTAACCATCCATGTCACCACACTAAAACCTCATATCCCTTAAATCTGCACAGAGTTTTTGTCCCGCTCTTATTTCATGCGATCTTTGACTAAACAGCCGAAGCAGAACATGAACACTGCTTGTTGCTGGAACGTCTTTGTGGTGCAGTTGGAATGGATAACAATAACTGTAGAATATGAACTGAAATTCTTCCTCCTCATCTGGGATCAGGTTTGGATATTTCTGGGTAAACTAAAAACTATGTCTGATTTCCCTGAACAGTTTCTGCCAGTTTAGGATATTTAATCACGTAGTATGTAAATACAATTTAGCTGCTTAGATTCATTAATTTATTTTTCCTCTTTGTTATCCATGGAACTACTACAACAGGGGTCAGATTAGGAATATAATCTCTTCTCATGTCACTCAAAATGTTGTATTTACTATGTATTTACCTTGCAGATCGATACAGGCATGCATGCAGATACAAATATATATATGGATACATATAATGACATTGAATACGACTAAAGCGGCGCTCAGACTCTACAGGAGTATAACTGATTTGAAAATCACGTTGCATCCTGCATGTAAGGAGAAACTTCACAGACGTTCTTCTCTCTATTGAGATTATCGTGCCAGAGGGAGCATGAATGCACCACCTCACGTGATCTCATGGGGAGGCAGATGTAAACAAAATTGAGAGACTGGCAACTTGCTGTAATGTTAACAATGCTTCAGTGAGAAAAACAAAAGTAGAGGGCTAAAGAAGTCTGGATATGAAAATGGAAAAAACACATATTGTCTACTCCTCAGTGAGAACTGGAGTTGAGTTTTGTTATCGGTCAACAGTAGTATGCTCGCTAACTTTAGACTCAAGGCCTAGGATGTTTACTGGCTAGGCAACACCGTCAGCTGCTTAGATAATCTAAAACCAGATTTCTCCTCCAATTGTCAGGAGGGGTGATTTGAGGATAAATTGGCCAAAAACTCATGTAGTCTGGACCTGGCTTATTATCAATTAAATTGAATTACTTGTTGCTGTACAACAAACAGTACCCTCTGTCCTTGGATTCTCACACTGGATAAGGAGAAACTTCCAAAAGAAACCTCCTTTAACAGGGAATAAATGTGATGTTTTTTCCTCTTTGCTCTTGTAGCTGAGTGTACTCCATGTTTAGGCAGGTGAGATGGGGGAAGGACATGTTGTTTGTTGAATATGTATAAAAATATATATATTAATCTAAGTACACGCTTGTTAAGATATCCCAAATAAAATTATTTAAGACGAACTTCAAAAAAAATTCCAGTTCAGCTCAACGTGGACACAACTGGGTGCATGATATCTCTCCTGCACTGCCATCCCCACCTTCACATCTCAACAAGCAAGTCAGTTTACATGTAAAGGTACACATGCAAACACACGTTAAGAGACATGTCTTCCATCCCAGCTTTCTACTACTGTTTGTTTCCAGCCCCTTGACTGCTGCAGCAGTCATTAGTGGACCTCTTAACACTTCCCAGAGGTCATGTCCTCAAGGTAAGGACCCTCAGCCAAAGCCTTGATCATAAAACCCTAGAAGGAATTCACTTGGCATTCCTGGCTGCCACGAATTTTTTGTCAGGGGAAACTTTGCACACTAAAATCAAAGCAGAGCTGTTCGTGGTGGTGACAAGAAAACATGAGGCAGAGACGGCTTCTGATGACTCCACTGCTTAGGCAGGTGGTGATTAGCTTATTTGATCTGATCTGTAGCCAGATAGACAGCAGTGCAAAGACTTGACACTGTAGAACCAGTATTGTTTATGCAGCAGGTTAGAGTGTTGTTGATGGTTAGGTGTCTGAAAGACTTACCGAGCACAGTAACAACAGCACTTGTTTTCACAGTACCCTCGACGTTACTGGCTACACACTCATACAGGCCCTCGTCATCTTTCTTCACCCTCTCGATCATCAGAACGCCGTCCTCTTCCAAAGTGATACCTGCAACACCCAAACTCACAGTCAGCCTGATAAAGTTAAAAAAAACATCTGTGGCATTTAACACTTGTTTTTAGCTTATTTTGTGCAGGTGCAGGCTGGCAGTAGTGCAAAAGAAAATGAAATGTTGTTTTCTTGAGGCACATGAGCTGGTAAAATAGAGAATAATTTAATTTCTACAATGATTCAAACACTGATAGCCAGAAATTATACTTTCTGTGGGAGCTCAGGATATCAAAATTACATGAAAAGATTTAGCGCAATTATTTTCTCACAGTATTTGGAGTAGTGGCATTATTGTGTGCAAGTAAAAGCAAATATGATTACCTGAATACAACTGAATGCAACTTCAGCTTAATCAGCAGTAGGGCTGCAACTAACGATTATTTTTTCATCGTTGATTGATTTGTCAATTATTTTCATTTCATTTCATTTCATTATTTTCAATTTTATCAGTTGTTTGGTCTATAAAATATCAGAAAATAGTAAAAATATCGACCAGTGTTTCCAGAAGCTCAAGATGATGTCCTCAAATGTCTTGTTTTCTCCACAACCCAAAGATATTCAGTTTACTGTCACAGAAGAGTAAAAAAACCCAGAAAGTATTCACATTTAAGATGCTGGAATCAGAAAAATCACTCAACTCACTGGCCTGGCTGTAGGCCTATTGGAAAACTGTCAGCGGCTCTCAAAGATTATGACGGCTCCAGCTGCTGATTATGAAGTCCTACTAACAATAATGACAAACTACTAATAATAAATTGTATTCATTCTTCTCCAGCCCTTTATCCAGTTTGTGCATTGCTGTGCCAGGATTGTACTGGTGCCACTGATCATTGAAATTGAATCGGAATACTTGTTACACCCCGGTCCTGTGATTAAGGTTATATTTTCTGGTTTCCAGTTTGTCAGTGTTAATTTCCTGTTTCATTTTGGCACTCACCTTTGTGTCTTGTTTCATATACGTCACTCCCTGCCCTCGTGTTTCCCACCGTTGTGATTACCTACCCCACCCTTAATAGTTTTACCTGTCCTTAATTACCCTTCCTCCCTTGTGTGTTTAGTCTGTCTGATTTTCTCTGTCTGAGACAGTTTGTCGTTATTGTTTCAATAAGTGTTCCAGCTTTAGTTTCCTGAGTTTCTCCTGGTTATATTTGACCTTATTTCTGTTTTTAGGACTGTCATCCTGCCAGGCATTTTTGGATATGTTTGTCTGATTTTTTGGACTGTCACCTGTGTACCTAACTTTGTTTTTGTCCAATAAAGACTTTAACCTTTACTCTTTGTCTGTAAGTCAGCATTTAAAGTCCTTTTTTGATTTTGCACTGCACAATAATAATAATATTTTAAAGTTACCTGGGCCTTCTTCCACTGGTATGCCATTTTTGTACCACATGATGTATGGACGAGGAACTCCCAGAGCAAAGCAAGCCAGCGTCAGGGTGCTGCTACTGTTCACATCTTGATTAGTCAGATTCTGACGCAGCCAGGGGCGTTTTCTCACTGCATAAAACAAAACAAAACAAGGTTGAATAAGTTACTGTTGCTCTGTTACTGTTTTGTTAACACTGCGACTCATCAAGTATTGCAAGATTTTGTTCTTTGTTCCTGTGTGCTAACTTACAGTAACATGCCGGATTATCACATGCCCACAGAATGATGGAACAGTCAGGTAATGTACCTAGATTAGTCATTCAGCTTTTCATATCCTCCTTTAACTCACCGTCCACAATAACTGCAGCGGCCTTGAGTTCAACTCTCTTGTGGAGTTTGTGTGCTTGGCACTTGTAACCTGCAGTGCTGTTTCGGGACACATTGTGCAGATGGAGAGAAAGAGAAATGGAGTAGCGGCTGATTTGGAGGTTCGAGACGTTGGAAGTGATTGTTTGATTCCTGGAATCCAGCCACAGCAGATCAGTGTAGAGGTAGCGAGCTGCCCGGCAGGTCAGAGTGACGTCATCCCCCTCGATGGCTGACGGGGGTTCAATGGTCATTTCTTCAGGGCGATCTAGTGTGACAAGGTAGACAAATAAGATAAATCGACATTCCAATGATGTTGAATCATCCTCAGCTTCAAATATATTCATTGATGGTGATAATGGGGTCAACTGTGGTATGAATAAGATCATTTTACAGGTGTCCATGTTGTTGTTATACAAACATGAACAGATAGGTATCCTGCTGGCTAGATCTGATACTGGACAACAGTTTTGGACACAAAGCTGCTCGTTGAAACGCCAGGAATGTCAAATTTGCAGTTATTTCCTGTTTCATCACTGTTAATTGAAAGCACGTTGGCGGTGGACAGCATGGCTGATGGTGCCGCCGCACTCATCCAGTTGGAGAGAAGCTGAGTCCGGGCCCCAGGGGAACCAGACTGTGCTTGTTTATTCATTGCTGGAAAGCATTCGGTGTTCCGTAAGAGGAGACAGCTGTTATTACAATTGTGTCCTCTTTTTTTTTTAGCAGCATTCCATCTTTCTCCATCTCACTCACCTCTGGAAGAGAGCAGGAGTGCTCCTGGGAATTCTGCCACACCATGAGATACATTTTTGGTACTTGGCATCCCCTCAATTATGGGTTCACCTACATCCATCCCTCGCCAAAAGCAATCCTTCAACCCTTGGGAGATGTGATTCACTTGGCTCTTAAGGAAACGTGATTCACTTTGTTGCAAACTGAACTGTGCTTGTGTGCAGTGACACATCATCCCTGCTATCATTACATAACTGTCTCATTGGACATTAATTTGGGAACATTTGGAAATGCTCAGATGCACATAAAAAAGTAAATTCTCAGAAGGCCTACAGAGAAAGAGGAATGACCTGCTGGCACCTGAGCAGGAATGCAGTTATTCATAGCTGTTTTTAAACGCGTGCCGTTATAGCACTCCATATGGCTCAGACATGTTTGCCTCTCTTCCGCCCTCGAGCCGCTCAGCTACAGAGGAAGATGGTTTCAATTAATGCCCCCCTCTGGTTACTTTATTGCACAATACAATCTGCACATTCCTTCCCTGTTCTTGCAATTCATTACACCGTGTACTGTACGTGTAGATCATTTGAAAGAATCCAGCGCATGGTATAGTGCGCTTTGCAATTCTTGCAGTAAAACTCAGCATATTTCAGCGTGCACTTTCACCTGAGCATTTAAGGGACAGTTTGATTTTTTTAAGTGAGGCTGTTTATTTATAGTCAGTGTTACCTACAGTAAGTGGCAGTCAGCACGCCCCCAGTTTGGAATAGCAGACAGAGTACTGCCACGGACACTAAGCAATGTACTGCTGTAGACGGGGGCAGCAGGAAAACAATTTTTAGCCACAGAATAAAAGGTCCATCTAAAAGTCCATATGAATTTAAGTGTACATTATATTTAAAATATTTTCACCATGCCATCAGAGAGCCATCCCAATGACAATCTGCTTTCTTTGGAGCCACCAGACTCCTTTGACAAAATTTTAATTGTAATTGTAAATTGTAAATGTAATTTTACCTCACAGAACACAGGAGTTGCTGGTCTACTGCTGCCTCGATTGGTTAGTTTGTCTGTGTTATTTTGGGACTGTGGTGATTACGAGTCACACAATAATACAAACGGACAAACTGATCTAACCCGCAGGAGACCAGCAGCTCTCGTGTCCTACATGGTAAAACTTCTGTTTTTGTCAAAGGAGTCTGGTGGCCTTGAAGAGAGCACAGACAATGGCTTCAGTTCCTCGTCAGGATGGGCTGTCTGGGGGCAAGGTAAAGCGTAAAAAATATTCTAAATATAGCGTACACTTCAACTCATATTGTTGTTTTTTCGATGGCTAACATAAGTTTTGCTGCTGTCCCTGTCTACAGCAGTGCATTGCTTAGCTTCTGTGCTTGTACTCCTGTGTGGTTCTCTTAAATTGGAGCATGCCGACCGACATCTACTATATGTTGATGTTTCAGCTGTCTTATTCTGGTGACCCACTTACCATCAACGTAGAAAGGGATTGTCAGTGTGCTGGTGCCATCTTCATTCTGGGCCACACAGGAGTAGTTTCCTGACATGCTGGCCTCTCCGATCACCAGTGTGCTCACAGTCTAATTGGGATAAATAGGGCAACTATTACTAATTGTTCAAAGCAGAATAAAAAATGTTGACAAAAATCAAATGCTTAATATCACAGTGCAGAATTCCACTGAGACTTTTCCTTAGGATTTCAATCACCATCAGAGCTGTGAGTCATCGTGAACCAGTAGGTGAGAGGTCCAGAGCCTGGTCTGTTTTAGACTATCAAGTGTGTCACACTAATGGAAGGATACATCTGGAGTTTAAAACCCACTGAGTCTCCCTCAGACCTGCGCTATAGATCTACTGCGGGGCTCCATGTCCATTTCCTGCAACGCACTTCTAATGCCACACTCAATTTTGTCATCGCACCAGAGCAACGTTGTAATGGCTTAAATAGACAAAATAATAAGTGAAACTTGGGCGAGGGCCAGACTGTGAGGGGCTCTGTTCAATGTTCATAGTGACATCTGTTTTCTTGGGGGCAGTCAGCGACATCAAAGTGAGTGAATGATGTGGGTGTATTGTCTGGGTGAATGCTGGCCTATACTTCCTGGGCTTGTAGGAGCTATTGTGCCGACACACAGCTGTAGCCATGAAACAATTTCCCTGTGCTTACAATGCTCACCATACAAACACTCAGGCAGTAAAAGAATAAGTGTTTAAAAGTTATATCATATTGTCCAATTCATGCTGCTCTGACACTTGTCAAAACACTGATGGAGTGGCCTTATGGTATTATGTTACGGCTATTACTCACCATGATGTAACCCGAGCTGGAACGCAGTCATTTAAACAATTGTGCACAGTTCCTAAGAGGTGACCTGACCAGACGCACTGTGACCTCTCTGCCCATGTCTTCCCCCTGTGTTTTCCTTATATTATGACCCGGGCCAGTCTCCCTCTCTACTGGGCCTTCTGGGGAGCTGCTCAAAGGCCCAGCCCCAACTACGTTCTTATTCACGGGCCAGCACGATTTATGTGGGGTGACAGAGAGGAATTCACTTCCAACAAATCCCTCTTCTTTTAAACTGCTGCTTGTTATCATTGACCCTTAGTCCTAACCCTCATAAAGCACCGGCGTTTGGCCACGAGTACTTGTAAATAAGTGGTGCCTCCCTATTTATGTCAGAGACATATTAGAGCTGATGCCCTGTAAAAATGTACAATTACTTTTTGAGCGAATAATTGATATGATTGTGAGATTCATTCTGTGCTTCATCGGAGGAGTCAATAAATCATCTCGGTATGCATCAGAAACACAAGTGAAAAAACTAGAACAAGCAAAACTGTTTGGATTGAAAACGATCACTGACTCCATTTGAAAACCTTTATGCCAATGAATCTGTGCCCTAATTTGACCCGGGCTGCTGTAATGGGTTTCTTTAACCTAATCCCATCAACAGACTCTTGCAGCGGAGGCCTGCTCTTAATTATGTTTAGGGTGAACAGTTTTAGTAACAGGCTCCCACAGGACATTAGCAGAAGTGTCTACAGTTTCCCAATTTGTGGCATGTTTTCGGTTTGCATGGCAATGTGTGTTTGATGTTTCCTGAGAAAAGCTGATGGGCTGGTAGATCCCACGAGGGGTGGGAATCTCTAGGCACCTCATGATCTGGTTATGACTCAGAGACCTATGATCTTGATGCATCAAGATTTTTTATATGTATACATGAATATATTTTCTCTCTGTGTGTCTATGTGGTACTTTAAAAGCATAAATCCATAATTAAAATAAAGAGATGAATTTACTTCCATTATCTTTTATAATACAACAGGAGTAACAAAGGGAAGAGAAGCCTTATCAGCCAAGCTTAGAACGTAAACACAAAGCACATGTTTTCCACCTGTCACATTTCACCATCAAATTGGTTCAGCTGTAAGGAACATACAGCATGGTCTAAATTTCTGGTTAGTGACTCTTCTGCATCGAGACAATCTTTTAAGAGAGAATTGCGATGCATCTAAAAATCAATTTCCCCACCCCTCGATCCAACATTGATACCTTAACCTTTTGAGGTGTAAGGAAACTAAATGTGCTTAAATTCCAGACTATTTCTATTTGCGTAAATGAGCTGTTCTCATGATCACATCCTGCTTCTATAATTACCTCATGTACAATTAGAGCAGTATATAGCTAACAAAGCACAATTTTCTTTCCAGCTGTTTTTCAGTGTGTAGTGTGGCTTATTTTCACAGATAATGGTGTAGGGAAGAATCTATAAAAGTCAGTTCTCAGCTCTTGGCACACGCATGGCTTAAGCCATATAGCTTTTGTACTGTTTAAAAGGCTTAATTCCAAGAGCCTCAACAGCCGAAAAGATTAACTGATGTCAGAATAATAGATGTTTCTTTGGCAAGGCCTGGGATGAAGCCGCAGCTGGTTCATTTACAGGCCTTCTTCATCTGAAAAAACAGTGAAATGGAGGGTGTATTTCACTCCAGTACGGGGAAATGAACTGTGTCTGTCAGTTATGGGTGCACCATTTCAAAGTGCGGGAACAATCTGGCAGAGATCTTGCTCCTTATAGAAAAGCGTTTGTAGCACAGAAATACCAATGCAGTTATCCAAGTATGTTAGATTTATGACACAAATATACAGTATTTATCAATATACCATCTTCCCTTTTAGATGCAGCCCCTCATGTGCGTGAAATAAGTGATTTCCCATATTTTTCTGGTCATTTTTTCCGAGAATAAATCAAGCCTTTTAAAGAGCAGCAATGAAAAACAAGACTGATTTCTTCAAAAGGGACTGCTGAGGTCCTTTTCATGGGTTTTGGTCACAGTTACATAAGTCAAGGCTAATGCAGACAAAATGAATCATTTTCAGTGAAGAGAAGTACAGCATCTCTGCCAATAGCAGGAAAATTTGGAGGATTTATGGATCTCAGATGTTTCATCCAACTTTCAAGCCCCCGGTCAGAGGAGATTTCTACGAGAATCTGACCTATCCATTGGCCATTCTCTAGAGACAAGACACCTTCTTGAGCTATCCTTTGTATAAAACCTACTGTTGAGTTTGTCACTGCTATTTGTCAACCACATTTCATGGTACAGAAAGTATGTTACAAGTACATCTGTTGTTTAAAAAACATGTGGAAACACAGAGAGTGAAACCGCATACCTTGTTTTTCCCTTTAACCAGTTCAGGCTTGACGTTTATGCTCTTAATCCAGTTGTGGGAGTAATTTCCCCTGTCACCAGTGCTGACCAGGATTGGTTTGGTGTGAGCAATGCAACTGCAGGACAGAAAAAAATGTGATAAGACAATCTACTCATGCACAGACAGATGCAAACAATATAACAAAAGGAAAAAAAAAAGATTTTCATGTTGTTTAATTGGGAGCCTTGGTGTAACATTAAAACACATCCTGACTAGATCACACTATCTTCTTGCAAAAGCCCTCATTCTAAAAGGCTGATTTTAAAAGACCACTGAGACTGATCTGGGTAAAGTCCATGTCTAGACCAGCTTGTCTGGGTTTTAAAACCGAGAGAAAGCATTGATTTGACCCCCACCCCCAAACCCTTCACCGCCCGTGGCGGGGAACAATCAGCCTGATGAGAGGAGAGGCAGAGGAGGAAACAGCAACAGCGACAGGAAGGGCTGTGCTATGCGTCACCTCGTACAGGAAACCTCCCACCCCCCCGACACACATTCTGGCCAGAGGAGATAAGGTTGCTCCTAAGACCTTGGTGGTCAACAAGGGACAACTGATAACTTCTCAACCTGGTTATAAAGACACCCCCATATTTCTCCCCCACTTCACTATCAGCTTCATTCCACATCCAACATAGTAAGCTGCCTTCACCTCTAAATCCTCCCCACACTGCGTGTTCCCCCTCCTCTCCAAACTCCCAAAGATTTAGATGAGATATGATCTTGAAGGGCTTCATGGTGGATTTACAGTGACAGGTACTTTACAGGGTCAGGGCTGTATAAAACAAACATTTTGCACAATTGGCCTCCCACCAGGCTATAGCTGTTCCTTTGTCTCATTAGCTGCCTGCCACTGTTCCCAGTGCCAGCCCTGATTATCTTTAGGCCTGCAGAAAGAGTAGCTTTGACCCAACGAACCCTCTGCTATTATTTATCATAAACCTGGCAAATACAAGTGGGTTTTTAAGGTTATTAATCAATGAAATAACGGAGGCACTGGTGGATCAACACCATCAAAAAATATAACACAATTATGTCTCTTTCTTGTGCGGCAGTCCACAGTGTTGTTTTTGTGAATGGTGTTGAGGCCTGATAACCCAAGGGTAATGGCCCATTGTTTTCCTGATCTTACGACTCGCAGGTCTCCTGCTGTCATTGACGAGCCAGGATCTCAGGGAATGTTCATCTTGTTTGTGGGTTCACTACCAGGCCGGTATTCATGCACAGTCCCTCAGTACTGTTTGGCTGTGTAACAGCTCTGGGAAACTGAGATTAATTTATCTCCCCCATGTTTCCCGTTCATCCTACAGAACCACTGACCACAAACAAGAGGGCAGTTCTCGAGGGCTCTGTTTCTTTGATTAATGTGTCATTTTCTGGGCCACAGTCAATTCAGTCCATGTAGATCTGTTTTAAAGTGGGATCCCCGGGCTGGGCTGGTGGCTATGGACCCCACACCCTATCTACTGTTAAGTCTGTGAAGCTGTTTGTCTGTGCGTTTGTGAATACAACTCCAGTACCATGGTGGTCCTTAAGTTTTTGTCGTCCAACATTGTGGTGCAATTTGTACAAATGATGTGCAACCAAAAACCTAACCTAACCTAAACAGTTACTTTGTATTTGGAGGTTTAATGTTTTCTGGACAAAGAGAAACTTTAGTTGTTAGGAGCAACCTGAATCTTCTGTAAACTGGCTGCTAAATCTGGACATACAGAACACAGCAGGTAAAAGAGTGAAACACAACACTCAATCCAGGACCAATACACGGCAGAACGCTGATGCTGAATCAGGTTATGTTGGGTAATCATGACTGATGAAATATGTGCTTAAAATCAGGAAAACATCCCCTTTGATACGGCTCCAGTTCTTCAAGACTGGAGGAAGTTTACAGCAAATCTAGTTTAAATATTTCAACACTTGGAACATAGCAAAATGGTGACTCACTTTGTAAGTGTAGGGTCTGAGTGACACGGCTGCCAGAGCCAGGTGATGTTTGGCGAGGGCACCCCGTAAGCAGTGCAGGTTAGCTGATGCTGTTTACCAGCCATGTAGGGCTGCACGTCCACAATAGCGAGCTCTGCCTCTGAAATAGTCGGCTTCACTGTGAGAGAGAAGTGCACATAAACACACGTAAGTACATGGGCACACAAAAATACAGATAGACAGAGATAAAGAGAGAGTGACAACAGGTTAGATCAACCCTCGGTCAGTCCAGCCCACTGTGGAATCTCTTAATGTCTTTATAATGAGGGATGACAGTCATGATGGATAGCCATGAAAAAAAGGTGCCATTGACACCAGTTGTCCTTTAGATGTTGTTTAAAGACTGGCAGGATGATTAGCTAGCCTGGGGGTGTAGGTCAAGGAACGACCCCACTGTGGCCCATGCTCAGGTCAGTGATTCAACTCTCAACAACAGACAGAGATTCCTGAGGCACCTCAGGAGACAGTTCACTTCACTTAGCCATTCTCTACATTTTGAACAGCTGAAACAGTCAGACTAGGGCCACTCATATTCCCCAAGACACTTTAAGAACTTTCATCTTCCATATTGTTGGACCTCCCCTAATCAATATTCATTAAAACACAGAGGAATCACCTACCTCCATCACATCTAAAACATAATTTAATTACCAAAGATTTATAACACTTCATGAATTTCATTGTCGAGTCCAACTCGGACCAAAGATTCTCGACGAGAAGAATTGAAACTTGAAACTACTTGCAATGTGCCAGTCTACAATGTTCTAAAAACCTGCCAGTTTACACCAATGCAACTGGATGATGGTGTATTGTCTCCATAGCAACGACTCTCTACTGTTCTAACTTGAAGCTTTTCAGGTTTACTTTGTCGCTGAATGCAATTTGCGACTTCTTAAAATATGAAAACAAGAATGAGGATAGTGATAGTGAGATACTGGCTACAGCTGCATTTCTAGTTGCAATGAAATGGTGAAAGCATAAACAAAACGACCTGGGCCACAGGAGGGCTGTGTTCATAATAAAAATGACACAATATTTTAATATCCTGCACGACTAACACATATGTGAAATGCACACGTATAGCCAGCAGCGACCCACCATCAAAACCATCACACCATGAAGACAGAGACCAAAATACATGTCAACAGCCGTGGAGATGTAAACGAGACGGGCTCGGGCTGTTGGTGGACAGCATGTTTGCTTGCTTCGGCAATATGTAATGACTTTGTTGCAAGCTGATTGGCTGTTGAAATAGGTGACGTGCCTTACATTCTAAAACTAGCCACTGGCGGCTTAACAAGCTGAAATGGAGGCGACACCATCTGCCGCCCTGAGTCAAGCTGAGACGGGCCAGTTCACACTGCTGCCAATTTTTTTCTGCAATGCTCTAAGTCAGTTTCATCTCATCGCAAATGTTTGGTCTAAACTGGGCTTAATGCATCTCTAAACATAGACTTGTATGTAAATTGTATATTTCTAACATTTTTTTTTAGTTGCAGCTTAACCTTATATTAACCTTAATATAATGCAATCTTCATTTTGTATCTTTTTATCTTTTATACTACGACTTTTGATATTTAATAGGTATCTTCATAAGCCATTGTTGGCTTCTAACCTCTCCTGCACAATGTTCAAACCTTTCATTGAATTATTAATGTCTTTTTACATTTGTGTGTATGTGCAAATAAACTAAAACTAAAGCTACACATAGTAACATAGCTTGGCAAACCACTAAACCTGCACACTCTCTCTCTCTCTTGCTCTCTCACACACACACATTCATAATCTGAAGCACTCTGACAGCTCTAAACAACTGATGAACAAAGTCTGAAATAGTTCCATAATTGATGCCAGAAATCTCTCTTCCCTTTATTTGTCTCTGTGTGTTTTATTTTTTGTCATTCCAATAAATTAAAGTTTTGTGAAGCAGGACAGTCAAGGCCCATAAATAAAGCTTATACAAGCCAGAGGGGGGTTATTTTTTACACTTTTTGGCACGCTATAGGGATTCCTCGATAATGGTTAAGGAATGCAATGAAAATAGCTCTGGCCCCCCCATGACAAGCTTGAAGTAACTGACACACTTTTCTCTGTTCTCTATCACAAGCAGACTTCATCCAAGTCTCCACTGAACATGCTTAAACATTTATAACCTCCACTGCTCACAGTTATCAGTCATTTTCACAAAGTCATCAGAACAATGAATTGTATGCTCACTCTTTGTTTTTCTCAAGCTGTACACATATTGTACGGACTGTGTTGTTTATATGAGCTGTACTGTATATACACATGGTGAGGATGCAAATAAATGCTGGCGACTAGGGGGGGGTCTGAAGCGGCTGGAGTCTGCGTGCAGAATAGAGCCCAGGCCATTTACACACTGCGCCAAGCCCCTTCAAAAGAGCCCCAATAATCAACAACAGCTGCCCCTGCTACGTCAATCCAGCCCTGGAATCAACAAGCCCCCAAATTCCTCTCATACTAGAGCTGCTACCTGCCGTCCAGTGAACTGCAGCTACAATGCTGAGGCAGCCAAGGCACTGCTTCATTTCCTCAGGATCAGCAGTCATTATCAGGTTTATGGCAACAGCTTACCATCGACTGCCAGCGTGTAGCTCAGATTCTTGTACAAGCCCCTCTCTTGGTTGCCCAGGCTTATGGTGAAGACCCCAGCGTGCTTCTGCTGCACATCAGTGATGATCAAGTTATAATGAGATATCTTGTAACAGGTGGAACTCTTGTTGATAAGGACCCCATCCTTATACCTGAAAATTGGAGGCATGGAAAAGTTTTTTTTAATCAATGAAAAAAATAATAACAACCAATGAAAATAAGTGAATGGAAAACTGATGTTCAAAGTTATAATGCAGAACAATAATCAGCAGTTTTTATTGTGACTGTAATCCATTACTTACCATTCTACCGAGTCTGGTGATGGCAGCGCGTCGACCTTAGGCTCAAACACAAGCTTCTTTCTGCCTTCTTTGACAGTCACTGTACTAAGTCGCTCAAGCTTATAGGAGACATTGAGGAACGGATCTGAAACAAAAGATTAATGACAGACATTGGAATCCATCCATAAGTTAAGTTATCATCATATAGTTGTAGCATCTCCACAGTGACACAATTATTTTTATTTCTGTAATAATTCAGATGTATTTTTAGACTTTGTAACAAACTTTAGAGCTAATGGAAGACAAGTTTTGAATTAGTCACGTGCAGCCTGTTGTGCAGCAGCTGTGTGTGAGTTCACACCTAACAAGTTATAATGTAAATTATTGTGATTTATGCATTACTGAAATCAAAACGGCAACATAACTCGAACAAGTAATAGTTAAACATGCTCCTAGTGCTGGTGTAAATTGCAAAATGTCACAGAATTATACTCATTTATGGTATAACAGCAGTTTTTCTGCCACACATAATCATTGTGTTCATTAATTCTTATTATTTTGCAACACGGTAATCCAGTAAAGACCTAATTTATCGATGTGATATCTGAATATGGATCAAGCTTATTACAATGTGCTATGATGCCAAGTAGCTCATGAATTTGCTTTCCCGGGTTAGTGAAGGAATGGCCCGCTGTACTTTTCTTTACTCTGTCTTTGATGTGCTTACCCTGATATTCTTACCATAACCCTAACCATTCTTACTACGCTTGCCTAAACCTAACCAATCTAACCAACAAAAGCAACGAGTAGGGCTGGTCATTCATTCGCTGTCCTAGGGAAACACATACAGCTGGTGCAACCCAGTGCAGATTTTTAGTCCATCCAGAGCATACTTACGATAGACAAAGACTCTTTTTGAGACATCTTCGTAGTTTGTGGGCTCAAGTTCAGCTCTGCAGCGGTACACCCCTTTATCCTCCATAGTAATGTTTGGCAAAATCAAAGTCTTGCTCATCCATAAATCCTTAGCAGGGTGGACTTCGGCCTTGTTCGTATAATGACGATTTTCCTGAAGACAAAGGAAGTACCATAAACTCCACTGCTATAACCTATGACACTTGCTTTTACACACAGTTACAACTTACTCTCTTCTTTGGAAAATCCCATGTGAAGTTGATTCTTCCATTATAGGAGGTCACACCAGAACAGTTGAGTATGAGGGTGTCTCCAACCAACACTTTGGCACGCTCTGGGGTGATTTTCACATTTTCAAGACGATGAGCTTTAAAATGGAGGCAAAGATAAGAAGACTGTTTAAATGGTCAAGAAACAGAGAAATCAACACAAATCTAAGTCTGGCCTCAAAGACAACAGACTCACCCAGTTTTCTCGGGATGTACATTGACAGGAATGCACTACCGTTGACAACGGTGTTACAGGTGATGATACTATACTCAGTGCTGGAATCATAGGGCATCTTGAATCCAACCTTCGGATCCCATTCTATTTTCTTCATGTCCTTCTCTGAAAAAGGTCGAAGCTGTGATCAAAAGAGTAGAGCAGAGAAGGTTTGTCAGTACCATATACATATATTAGGGCGTCACACGTGACAGGTTGGTCAGTGGTGCTTCACTTCAAACTATGATGCTCTCAGTGGAGCAAAGGAGGAAGACAGATGATGTAGTATCAGAGCAATAAAGTCTACATGGGGAGGAGGTTGGGACAAACACAGGACTTTCATTCAGGACACCGCTGTTTGTGTCCTGTGTGAAACCAAAAGTCAGTGTTTATTTTTTAAGATTTTTTTTGGGCTTTTGCCTTTAATGAACAGGACAGATTGAAATGGGGTGAGAGAGAGAGCGGGGGGTGACACGCAGCAAATGGTTGCAAGCTGGAGTTGAACCTGTGACCGCTGCAGTGAGGCATCGCCTCTGTACATGGGGCGCTGGCACAATCCACTACGCTACTGACGCCCCACCAAAAGTCAGTGTTGACTCATTTTTAAATTACATTCGTAACGTAATGCACTTATGTATCAAACGTACTTATGCATACAGACACTGTATGCTTGTAACTACTAGAAACTCACACATGCAAAACTGACACTAGAGGGGAATCTAGAGCATCATGGTTTGTAGAAAAAGGCCACTGACCAGTTGCTTTACTTGATGAGTTGGGAGTGAGAGAATGTGTTGAGTACGTACATAGATACATAGACATTTGGTGATGTTCATTACAGATCACTGAGCCAGACAGACTGAAGAGTAATGCACTCAACTTCATTTAACATGTAACTCATGCTTTACTGGGCTCAGCTGGGGGACAGACATCTGTTAAAGCGAAGGTCTAATTAGTTTTTATTGTTTTGTGGAGTGTAACCTCTGCAATCATTTATGCAACGGAGCACAAAACATTGTTGACTCGGAAAAGGATGTACGTGCCTGCTGCTGTCTGTTCTCATGCCAGGAGTTGGGCTGGGAGAGGAGGCAAGGGAAGGGAAGGAAGGAAAGGGAGCAGGAAGGAGGAGTGCCATAGATTTACCAACAGCAGGAAGGTCACACAACCACTATCTGTGCCATCTGAGCATCTGAGTCACATGTGTTTGTCTATGGTAGACACTACGTCACATGGTCCTATGTCATTGATTCATTAACAAGAAGCATATACCTTTGTGGTTGGCGTGGTAACTTAATCAAGATGGCTTTCACAGTGTCTTCATTGACCTCAATCAGGTTCTTAGTTTTACATAAAGATGAAGAACACTGTGCAAACCACGTCACTGAGGGAGCTCTTCTCCACTGACATCTTTAGCTGCATTCTGGTATCACTCCTCATGATAAGTTACCTGTTGTTTCCTGTGACTGGACACAGTGTGTACTGTTTCTCTACTACATTTCCTGATGTTTGTAAGAGAAGGGGGGCTAAATTTAGTCTGAGAGTCTATTCCGAGAAAAACACTCTTGGACTACCTTCCTGCTCTTACAGGAAGCAGACAGAATGACTCCCAGCGCCGCCCCTGAGCTTCCCTCGGACAAGCCACTGTCCCTGGTCTGTTTCTGTGCGCTCGAGTGATTTAACACACAAAAGGGTGTGAGAACCAGTGAGACGCCTTAAACACAGAGTGGGAATGTTTTGTTTTTTTCCAAAGACGACAAGTAAGGATACCTCAATGTGGTATTGATAGCCATCTTGCTTTCTCAGATGATGAACTGTGGGATTTTCTTCAAAGTCCATGAACTATATATAGTACAATAAAACAACTTGGGCGGCATGGTGGTGTGGTGGCCTCACAGCAAGAGAGTTCCTGGTTCGATCCCAGGTGGGAGCCCTTCCGTGCGGAGTTTGCATGTTCTTCCCGTGTCAGCCTGGGTTTTCTCCAGGTACTGCGGCTTCCTCCCACAGTCCAAAGACATGCAGGTTAATTGGTGACTCTAAATTGTCCGTAGGTGTGAATGTGAGTGTGAATGGTTGTCTGTCTCTATGTGTCAGCTCTGTGATAGTCTGGTGACTTGTCCAGAGTGTACCCCGCCTCTCGCCCAGTGTCAGCTGGGACAGGCTCCAGCCCCCCCACGACCCTCAAGAGGATATGCGGTTACGAAAATGGATGGATGGATAAAACAACTTAACCTACAAGTGGAGGTCATGAGCAGAAGGTGTGAATTGATTGGCTGTGTTCGAAATAAACACAGAGAACCTGATTCGCTGGTGTCAGGACAACAACCTACTCCTGAACATCAGCAAAACTAGGGAGATGAAAGTGGACCTGGGAAGAAGCAGAAAAGGAGCGACGCCCCCTTAAGTATAAGGCTGGACAGCTTTAAGTACACTGGTGTCCACATCACTGGGAGCCTGATCTGGGCGCTGCATACTGACTCAGTGGTGAGGAAGGCAAGGCAGAGACTGTTTCACCTCAGACACCTGAGGAAATTCTGGGTATCACCTCAAATACGGAGGAATTTCTACTCCTGCACCACTGAGAGCATCACAGCCTGGTACAGAAACAGCATCGAACAGGGCCACGAGGCCCCGCAAAGAGTGGTTTGTTCAGCTTAACACACGATAGGTGCTTCTCTACCCTGAAAAAAGGATGTTTAAACCAGGCCAGCACAGAAAGGCTCAGGAGGAGCTTCTACCCTAAGATGATACCCCAATGTTATAATCTTATGTTCACTACTGCAGTCCTTTGTTTTAAATGCACAAATTAATGGAAATAACAGCGTTACGTTTCACTGAAATTATGTTTTATATAATTTCATGTGACAAATAAATAAATTGACTGACTGATTGACGTACTACTCATACTAAGTGTGACGTTAAATTGAGTTTGTAGTGCATTAAAACTGTGTATTATGTGGATGTTGTGTACATGAGAAAGGCCCAGATGCTTTCTAAATAAGGAGCTTACTGGACATACTCAACTGCCACACTTCAGACTGCACAAGAGATTTTGTGCCAGGCTACAAGCTGTTAATGTCACTTTATGAAGTTTTAATATTTTTTCAGTTAAAAACTATTTGGATTCACAAAATGTGGCCAGTTTATCTAAATAACGCTTGTTTGAAAATTTGCTATATAAAAATGATGACATAATTTTTGCCGGCGTCTAGAACAAACAAACATCTTCCCTAACGTGTTGATTATGATCTGTAGGCTGGGGCATCTCTGTGCCACCATAATGCTTCATTTCAAGTGGTATGTTGTGACATTTGATTGATTGTACAGCCCCACTTAATCATTCAATTAGTAGGCAGTATGGTGTACATACAGATCATGTGGTAGGCAGAACATTAGTATGTGATTCTGAACACAGCCATTATCTTTGTGAGGCCTCACCGATGTGAGTGTTACAGCAAAATCAGGAGAGGTTGTCCGGCAGGGGACCACGAGGCTGGTATAATACTCGTACGTGAACAAGATGCCAGGTGATTTAAGATGGGGCTCCACAAATGGTTGCTTGGGATCTGAGGGACAAAAACAATAACGACAAAATTAGTGAAATCTCAAATACAGGTCAGTTAAAGAATTGCATTTCAAAGCAGATGTGGTTCCTTAACATGTTGTCTTTTGGAATGTCAATGTTTTGTAGCAAATTTACATTAAAAAAACAAACAAAAATGTTATGCGAGAGCTGAGTTTAGCAGTGCAATTGAATCAGGGCAATGTCAGGGTGTCCATCACAGAGATCACATCTTGGATCAGTTCATTTCAACTGGATAAAGCAGGACAACACCGATAGAGCAATCAGGCTAGTGTGGTGTCCCTACTGGGCAGTCAGGCATTACACAACCGCTGTGGGAACTTCACGGCTACATAAAAAGTCTGCGATTGGTGTGAGGTCAAGCAGCAGTGGTGTGATAAAGGAACTCTTATTTGAAAAAATAAGCATGGAAAATGATGTAATAAACAGCTGAGGGGCTTTGAATGAAAGCATTAGACTAAACACACAGCAGGCTGCCTGATAGCCGAGCGAACTGGGAATCACATTCACAAAGCAACGGGAGGGGAACAAAGTGCACCCAGCATTTAGTTTAGTCTGCACTGTCTGCAACTATTTCACATCCCTTAGACCACAGTAACAAAGTGCAGCCCGTGGGCCAATGGCAGCCCTAGGAAACATTGTGTGCGGCCCCCAAGTTCTTGGGTGAGGAGCGCAAATGTAATGTAGACCACTTTCAAGAAGACTTACCCAACCAACAGTCTTGTGAAAAGTAGTGAAGGTGTAACACGGGCAAGCTATGTGGTGGCTCACAATTTTTTTAAGCATGGTAAGCAGTTCAGTGATTTCACTGAGTTCACTGCTTGATGATATTTCCCATCATGTCCTGAACCTGTGCAGCCCTTGATAAGATTATGGCTTTCGAAACTGGGACTCAGTCATCAATACTTTGAGCACCCCTGCCTTAGACTTTACCTGTATTTCATGTCTTTACACCAAGTGTTTTAATGTTTAAAAAGCATACAAGTCTTGGGAAAATGAGGCTGACCTAACACTTACAGTTCACTCTCCTCATGCTGCACAACACAATCTCCATTTCAGTGATACTGTAACTGTAACTGGTGCCATGTGATGCTTTAGGGTAGACTTAAGAAAACAGTAGTAGTAGCAGCAGCAGGAAATCACAGTCAATGACCACAGCTTCCCGTGCAATCACGCTCACCCTTCCACCTCCGGAAGAAACCACAGCTCCAAAGAAACAACTTCCTCTCTCTGTATCTCTCTGAGAAGGAAAGCCGTGTCACTTGAATCTGAGTGCATGTAGATTAAAGTCCACTTCCTGCATGTAAGGAATGACTGTAGTCATACATAAAGAATTCAGTTTCTTTATTTCCTTCCTTCCCTCTTTCTTTCTTTTTTTTGAGACCTTCTTCCTTTTTTTTCAACTTTTCTCTTTCGCTATTTCTCCTGTTCTCGCTGACTAATTCAGTACAGTAAGTGGATATTTTCCAGCTCTCGTATCTTGCGGGAAATATCAGATTGCTCATTAACCATTTCATTCAGTGCGACTGTTTGTGGGCTCAGTTCCACACCAGAATCTTCCACTGGCGTCAGCAGATGACAATCACCCTGTGAAAACCTCTATTTTATCAGGAGTCTGTGCTTTCACAAAAATAAGCAGTTAAATCCTGGATGGAAGAAAAACAACTCAATTCAAAAAGAAATAACTCTTATCAGCCTTTTAGTTCATGGACAATTCTTTGTGTTTCTAAACAACATTACAGTCAGTGTTTCTCATGCTGCAAAGTTACTCACATTCTGGACTGGAGGGGAAAATGTCATAAATCTACCAGAGACCGCACAGGTTTCTGCTCTCTTATTCTCACTGGTTCACTGACTGTGTTTGATAAAAAGGACCTTTAATCTGAACTGATTGTAGCGCTCTACAGGTCTCACCTTTGACAAAGACGTAGGTCGAGGCCATGTGCTGTGAGCCATTTCTGGAGCAGTTACAGCTGTACTTTCCAGTGTCATTGGCTCTCAGGTTTGTGACCGTCAGTCTGCTGCAGTGTGATTGTGAGTGACGTCTGGATTCACACGGCTCCACCTTCACCTCGTCTGAATCGATCGATCGACTGGGATCAGCAAGTGTCCACTGCAGCAGGCCATGACCCCTGGCAGGAGATAGAAATGGACAACATTTGATGAACACAAAGAATATATTGCTTAGTCGACTTACAGTTTGAGGCTACTTTGTGTAGTATTTTGTAAACAATATGTAATATTAAATAAGCTTTTCTGATTTGACACATCATTATTATTGATCTGTTCTCCTTTAAGGAATACTCCAACCCCCAAATGAGCATTTGTATATCAATAACTCTCCTCATGTTACGTTTAAGTTGGGAAGAAAACTTCATTTTTCTTTCACGCCTTCATGTTGACTGAAAAATCTATAAACGGACAAAATTCTTGATAAGCTGAAGTCATTGGGGGCCACGTTTTACAGCAGCAAAACTGTATCAAAGCATCTGTTTCCAAACTCTTACACAACTTATGCAGTATCATCCAAGTCTCATTTATCCAGTTGTATGCTCAGTACTTCCTTAACATGTACATTTTCACTAAACCTTTACTATTTAAAACGCAGATGTGTTTTAAATGGTAAGATTTTAGTAAAATTGCATGTGTTTGGGAAGTACTGAGCATACAACTGGATAAATGAGACTTAGATTTTACTGTATGAGTTGTGTGAGAGGTTGTAAATGAATATTTTGATATTGTTTTGGTGTTTAACGTAATCATCTGTGACTTTCATCAAAATTTTTCTCGGTTTTTGGGTTCCTTATTCACTGGAGGCATGTGAGAAAAACTATGTTGTCTTCGCAAATTCAACGTAACATAGGCGTGGAGGATTCCGAGTAAAACTTCTATTTAGAGTCTTTTTAGAGGAAATGTGTCACATGTGGCAATTCACAAGCTTTTTAGTTAAAGATGGCAGCGGTTGCTTCTCCCTTTGGGGCTTTTTGACTTGATGGTCATTTAAAGTTTATTTTAAGTTAATCTTGAGCCATTCAGTAACTTGAACTTTCACATGGGAACATGTTTCTCTCAAATGATGTGCTCAGCTAACACATTCTTTCCACATAGCATCCATTTTAAAACTCTCATTAAAGAGATCCCAGAGGAACATCAAACATGTCTTGCATACCACTGCCCTTGCCTGCAGAATTTTGGCTCAAGCAACCTCCAGCTCTCATCCAGTGACAGAAAACAAGACAGCACTGTATGGGCCAGACGTCTTAGCATATGGCCTTGTAGGGAAGCGTTACATTAGATAGACGTGAGTTCTTGAACATTCCTTGCAGGCTTTCAAAATGATGCAAGGCTCTCTAAATTCTTAACAAATGTGAAAGCAACACACTTGGGTCCCACCATCCCTGAAGGAAATGTGACGGACTGATAAATGTGGACCACCAGTGGGATTGTCCTGAGGCCCAGGCACGTCCCGTTTATTTCAACCTGACCTTTCCGTCATGTAATTAGACCAGGGTCTCAACTTTGAGGCTGCAGTGACAGTTCAGACCAAGAGCAAGAAAACTGGGGCCATAACCTTGTATAATTATCTAAAAATTGATGTTAAGGAATTCCTGCATGACATGATATTTACTTAATATATTCATCAATGCCTTAATTTGAAAATGTTAATAAAGCAAAAGTATTTCTTTGCTAAATGTAAATCAAGTGTCAAAGTACTTGATACAGAAAAATGCAGCTTGTGAGTGTTATACTATCATATATTATGCTATTGGATTTTTCTTACTGATACATAAACATGCATGGAACATTTTAAAGGGACAGTGAACCCCCTAATCAAAAATATATGTTTGTTTGTGGCAGGTGAAGTTTGGCAGAAAGAAAACAGTTCCTACACGAAACTGCTCACAACAAGGTCTGTGGATTATCTTGAGTAACTGTGTCATGATTTCTAGAAAAATACATTGCTGTTAAGTTAGAAAAAAAATTCTCTTGGATCAGCACAAGCCAGCTAGCTCCATTATATTCCAGAGACTAGAACAATCTAGATGTATAAATAGCATTAAAGGTAAGAGGAAAGATATGTATATGTAGTTTGATTTTGGGGGTGAACTGTCCCTTTAATGTAGCTGGTTGAAGTGGAGCCAGTTTTAATATCTTGTAGGTTATACTGCTACAGATTAAATTTAACACTGATCTAATGTTATTTAAACTTTGTTTTGGTTCACATGACATTTAAACAAATAGGTGTGTTGCATACTTGCATATGAGGGTTAATGAATCGTTCTTATGAAGAAGGTGTGGATTTTCAGCAGGCAGAATCCTGGGCGAGTGATCTCTCCCCACATGTCCTGTTGAACACACACAGAAACAGACACAGAAACATGAAGCACTGTGTGAGAAAGGCCAACAAACCTGCTAATTAACAGCATGTCATTCACTGTCATACTAAACAAAATGGAAAACATTCTAGGAAATTCCCATGAATCATTTCAGCACCGTGCATGTGGGTTCGTTTTTTGCTGATATGTTCTTTCCCTTTCATGCAAGTGATGGTCTGCTGTGAGAGCCCTGGGGGTGTTTCCGGTGCTTTGAGGGCAGGTTGTTGAATGAAAAGTGGTCAGGGATGAGCAGAAAGAAAGAGAGAAGGAGGAATAGAAGGAGGAAGAGAATGATATGGAGGGGAGCTGAGTCACGGCAAACCAAGGCGGACCATGATGAATGTCTCTGCGTGTGATTCCTCTAAATTAAATGCTCAGTGTCTTTTAGTGGGTGCTCCCTTCCTCTCTTTTAGGAACATTTTTTCAGTCGCGATTGACCTTGCACCTTAAGTGCTATTATTATATTATCACGGGGGGAAAATTCGAGGTTGAGATGTTTAATTCAAAGGTGGCTTCTAGCCAGCTGTATCTGTTGAGAGGCATGTATAACAGTGATCAACATAGGAAACACTGTGATTCTCACTGCTGTCCAGGAGGTGTCACAGTCCCATATGTGATTTCCTCCTTTTCACTGAGCTCCCCAAACAGCCTGTCATCATGGTCAGAAAACAAGTTTATTAAGTCGAGTCTCCAAATGTGACAGTCTTCAGGGAAACCATTATTCGCTGCACAGAATTGAGGAAGACAATGGAGTTGCACAACAGCCGGGCTGACATGTTGACACATGATGGATGCACGTGTATAAGCGCATGGAAAACCACACACATACACAAGTACACCTGCGTTTACGAATGCAAACACACACATACACGTTACTAGTATTTCTGTGTATCATTCAGAACAGCTGTTGTGCTAACAATGAGCTGACAGTGCCAGTGTTGGCAGTTGCACTCAATATTAACTTCCTCACAATATATTAGAACATCATTGTTTTATTTTCCAAGGTTATGCAGAGGGGAAGGGGTGTGGCTCATTCTCTTTCTTGCTGTGAAACCATGAGCTTTCAGCTGTGTATTAGATCAATAAAAATCATGGTTCCTGACCTCAATAAACAACCCCAGAGTCTACAATTCACAAGTTTATAACCAGCTTTTGTAAACTTCTCCTGAGATGTCACGGAAATTTTCTTGAGAATTTTCTAGCCCTACATTTGCAAACTGGCAGCAAGTCATGTAACTGAACTGCTGGACATTTGCAAATAATGAATCAAACTGAATTTGCCCCCCGGGGCCCATAAAATACAAATGGCAAAATAAAAAGCACAATACATCATGTGCTGTCTGCAGCACTAATTTCTGCATGTTCAACATGTCGGCTCTTTGACTTATGCTGTAATACAAAAGCAACACATGCAGGAAAGCTGGCATCTGCTCCCACACATAACAACAACAAACAAAAAAACATCTTCTTGGAAAACATCTTTTTGACCTTGAATCGCACTGGCAGGCAGCTCGTCTCTTAAAACTGGCCAATTTTTCCCCTATTCTTTTCAGTAACACACTACAGATGGATGCATCAGCAGGGGCCTCTAGCAACCCACTGAAAGAGAGAAAAAAAATATCCCGCGGTCGTCTCTCTACACCCACACCTTCAAAACTCCCACCTGCCCCAGTGTCTGCCCAACGCTGACCTCAGCAAGCGTCCCGACACCCCTAACCCCCCGTAACAGCTGTGTGCTGCATTCCTCCAGCAGAGTGCCTGAAAACTGCCAGAAATTGTGCTTATTGTGTTGGTTCAAAGAGCCCTGAAGCTGGTTCTCATTAGGAGCCATTAAGAAGAGGACAGCCATGGAACAAACACAGTGAGGGAGCGAGAGCGAAACGCTGAGTGACTTCTGGTTCAGTTTCAACTGATGATTGAGCCAGTCACACAGCATCAAACTTTTTATTGACACAGGGCCGCGTTAACTAAGACTACCCAGGATTACATTTGTACGTCCTTGTCCTGACTTGGCATAGATGGGGGGAAGTGCCACAGGACACAGTGTTTGGAAAACATTTGTGGTAGGTTCACGATCAGTCAGGAAATAAAAGACAAAAAATTCAAACAGTGTTGGATTCCAGGATCGACTCTACGCTACTCTGAAATGTTTGCAGCCCAGAAAATGACATTTAAATATTTAGTCTGAAAGAAAAGCCAAACATTGACAAAAACTGAAAGAGTTTTTCAATTAATCTAAACCAGAGGTTCAGCAGTGCAACTGAAACTGCTGACCCGTGACTAACCTAATTGCTTACCTTTCATTAAATATCTTTTGAGGATATGGGGTCAGTACAAATTAGTTTTTTTATTCATAATTTGAAAAATAGCATGAATTTGCTGTATTATAATGCAATGTGGTTGCAAGATATTTATTTTGAGCACAACTATGGTGAAATGAACTGAGAGTGAGGTGCTCTTGTTAGCTATTTTATTATTATACATCTTATTGGTATTAATTAAGCGGAATTCAGTACCACAAACAGAGTTGCCATCATATCACTCATTTAAGTTTAATGCCAAGAAATGGCTTGTTGACACCCAAAGTAACATGTGATAGTGGATTTTGTCTGTAACCGTATTATATGTGATGTGTTTTTGCTATAATGCAACATGTTTTGACCTGTTTTACATGCTGTGTTTTATTGTTTTTAATTCTTCTAGGACGCCTTTTTACAGCTGGCGAAGGGACTGCCGATGAAAACCAGCCTTTCAGCTAATCCGGGTGCATTTACATTTGTTAAAATGTTGATTAATGCACACTGTCCCTTTTCTTAAATGAATAAATAAAATAAAGTAGTAAAATAAAGTACCTGATTCCAATAACTGCATAAGAGATACTTCTTTGCAGAACTGAAGGTTGAGCATACATCTGAGTAATACGTGAACAACAATAAAGAAACTGGGGGGAAATGTCAGAGGAAAGGACATTTATGAGCTGGCATAACCACTGGCAAGATGTCAGCATCCTTACTGTTCATGTCTGATGTTGCGTAATAAAAACCACTGTTACAGTACGAGATGACTGTACCATCACAGAGTCAGACAGGAAACCCTAAGTCACAACCCTTCAAGTGCGGGGAATAATGTGCGGAATTCCCTTTTCTTTTGCAGAGAGTAGCCTTCATCTTCCCGTATTTCCTGTGCTTCACGAAACAACGCTACTGTCTTGAGATTTGATCTTTTTTGGTGTGTTCAAGGCAAAAGTAACAATATGATATAATGATGATTCCCTTGTTTAACCTTGCCAGTGGATTCCTTTTACTACTGTGACAACAAAAGCCATAGAAAGGGTGGAGAGTGAATTACACTTTAACAAAAGAGTGCAGGGTCACTCTGGGTGAGTCATCTTGGCTGTAATGTGTCCATGGCGACAGGAGCGAAACGGCGGCGAAAAGTCGCCAATCTGCGGCATGAGTTTCCTGTCCTTTAGTGCAAAGGGATAGCACGCAATGTATTACGCCTGGAGATCTCATAATTACACTTTTTGGAAACCAATGCAACAACCTACACATAAACGTAGTATAAAATTACATCTCAAGGATTCAAGTTATTATTTCAATGTGTCACTTGACTTAAAACTAGAAGAGCTGACAAACCCTAGCCAAGGTGTGATTAAAAAAATATCACTAGGTGTGGCAGCCTTTCCTGAGTTAGTTTAACAAATCCCCTGTGCCAGTACACTGAATAAAGCCTTTGTATACCCCCACCCCCCTCACCCCCCCACCCTTTATTATTATTATTGTATATTTTCTATTGTTATTATATATATTTATTTTATTTCATATTGTTCATTTTTTGCAATTTTTTTGTGTTGTTGTAATTGCTATTATTATTGATATTGCTATTAGTATCACTGACTTTTATTACTTACTTTAAAGATCAAGTGTGTGGGATTTACTGGCATCTAGCAGTGAGGTTGCAGAACTGAAACTTCTCCTGTGAGCCAAGTGCGTAGGAGAACTACAGGGGCTGACACAAAAATGCAAAATGCGAATGTCCCTATCTAGAGCCAGTGTCTTATTTGTCCATTCTGGGCTACTGTATCCACGACATGGTAAATGGACTTGCATTTGTATGGTGCCTTTCGTCTCCTGACCACAGCCACCAGGAGTAGTTTGGGGTTAAGTATCTTGCTCATGGACTTCGACATACAATGGAGGAGCCAGGGATTGAACAAATTAGTGAACAATCCACTCTACCTCCTGAGACATGGCGGCAACAGCCACAAACTGGCAGACTCAGTGGAAGAGGACTCTGTATGTGGATCTAAACCGCTCATTCTAGTGTGACCAAAAACAAGTCTTATATTCAGGCAATGATTAACTAATGAGAACATAGTTATGGATATTATATACAACTTCTGCCAATAGATGCCCCCAAATCCTACATACACATCTTTAATTGTTTGTATTTCCTTGATTCTCTGCATACTCATCATGTGCCTTGGTCTATCTGTTTGGTTTACACACCGTTCCTAGATTATTTTAACAAATTCCCCTGTGCCAGTCTGACTGAATACAACCTCTATACATCCAGCCTCTTCCCTCCCATTCCCCTTATCCTCTCCCTTTATTCTTATTATTATTACTGTCGATTTTGTATTATTAATATTTTTGTTTTCTTATTTTGTTATTGTTAATTTATTTTTTCAAAAATTTAATGTGTTGTTGCTGTTATTACCACTGATTTTTCTATTAGTATTATTGAATTTTAATACTTATTTTTCTTTATATCTCTGCATACTCATGTGCCTTGGTCTATTTGTTCAGTTTACATGCAAAATCATATTATAAACTGTTGAAATAGAGTTATGGGGATATGCTACTACTCTATCACCTGTTAAGAAAGTGGATGGTGTCTTGCACCAGTGATGGTAAACTGCCTTTAGGTTGAAATTTCAAGACAAACAAAGGAACTAAATTCACAAGAGGCTCAGCATACCAGTTGTGAAATTACAACACAAAGTTGAAACCTTGACAAGACTTAAGATCACCTGCCAAAATACAGAGTAGCTACCACTGCTCTGGCTGCGCTACATGGTCTGTATCCAGAAATATTCTCCCTCTCACACACATACACTCAGTCCTTCTGAAACCCATCCACTTTGCCAACTGCAAGGTTAAGACAACAGTTAGGGAGAGCGCCTTTTTTAAAAGCCGTATATTACCCAATGGAGATCTGGAGGCAAAAATGCCCCAGACTCCTCTTAAAAAAGGCAAAATAAAGGAACATCTGGCCATGATGGGTGGCCACTCTAGGTTATATAAAGTTGAGTAGAGCCAACAAACAGGAATCGCCCTGCATGAGAGTCCAAAATGGTAAACCCGGAGGATTCCTCTTCCATAACGTGTGATTAAGACTAGTAGGAAGACAGAAGCTCCTTGAAATTGAAATCTCATGAAGGATTCAAAGAAAATATACTGCTGGCTCAGGATGGATATGCCTCGTATGGGCCAGATGCTGCAATCATCCTATAAGAACAGCTCCACAAAGCAATTTGTTAAATTATATCCCTGTGTAAGGAAATGGCTTTTTCTGCTCTGCTGGTAAATCTCCCAATCCAGGTGAGTGTGTGCATGTGTGTGCGTGTGTGGATGTTTTTCTTGTGCTGCCTGCATGGACCCAGACACACTGCCAGTGAGCAATGAGCCCCCACTGCACTTGGTTGACCTCTCATCATTCCCATTTTCCACTTCATCTCAAGTGTCTAAGCAGGAAAGAATAAATGACTCCAAAACAAAATAGACACAACATCAACTCACTCTGCTCCAAAACTCTGTCCTTATTAAAACTCTGTCCATGAAGGGTTGAAAAAAAAGGAATTTATGACCAAAAAAATAACAAGGCAGAGTCCAGGTTCAAATTCAATCATCCCTTCAATCACTGTTTCAATCATCACTTTGCTGCACTTGTTTTTCCAGAATTTGGCTCGTGCCCTAAAACACCACTGACTGCAACTTTAAATCGACACATTGAACTTTTTACGTGGAGGAATTCACGGTCAATGCGAGCGTCTTGGTGCAGAGAGCTGCAGAAAGGGTTTCTCTTTCAGCCTGAGCCGTTATGCTTCATTTAAATTGGTGTCAAAGGGTCATGAAGCAACACACTTGACCTGTGTCCACTTTTCAATAGCTACAAGTGAAATATTGACAAAATCACAACTAGGTCAGACTATCTTTTAGATATAGTATTTACCAGTTTCCTCTTAATCCTTGATATAACTGCAGTAAAGGTGAAGTGAAAATGACAAAACCATCTCAATTTTGGTGGTCAAGCATGAGTTCATTGCTTCTGTGCAGCTCTGTGCTTTATTTGCTGAGGTACATCTGTTACACACCTCAGCATGAGCAGAAAGAAGCTGATGCACCATCAGTAACTAATGGCTCTACCAGTCAGCAAGTCCTCTGCAGAAACAATACCCTCCTTTCCTCCCTGCCATTGTCTTGTGGACGTAGTTTGACATTGCTCAATACGAGCGCAAGAAGCTCCAGGAAGAAATCTTTGCTCAGGTAGCGTGTCACATTTCCGTGACCTTTACTAGCCAGAACAATTCCAGGCTGCCTCTTGTCCCTACGTCCGCTTCCTCCTTGTGTCTTTCCCACGCTTTGTGTGTGGACAGTGAAGGAAATCTATACTTAAAAACATCGTAGACAAAGCTTCATGGGGCTAAAAGTGTGTACGAATGTGTGTGTGTGTGTGACAGGGAGGAGGGGGTGAACGTGAACGGTATTTCCTTTGTTTGGATAGGCTGTTTATTTGGAAATGATGAGGAAGGCTTAGAGTGTATCTCTGTGGCACACTGGACCTGGCACAAGGTGGAGGGACATCCACCTTTTATCTATCCATCTTGTTTTTGTGGAGTGACACTCAGACAATGAAGCTGATAGCACTGCCAGAAGAAACATACATTCTCCTCCCCGAGATGTTTAATCCTGTTCACTCACTGATAAGAACTGCTGGGATAAACATTTTCGTAAAATATAACAAAAGGTTTGGTTTGCAAAATCTTCAGAATGTCTATTGAAAGAAATTAAATTCAAAATGTCTTAGATAAAATCAGTCTGATATTGAAATATAAAGCCTCCACATCTGTTACAATCACCCCTCAGAATCAACACATTGTATTAACTTGTTAAAATAATCACCAGTTACAACGGGGTAAGGCTACCTCTACTGGCTTAAGTGAGAACTGCACGTCTAATGACAGCCTTCATCTTTTGACATAATTTTTACAGATCAGTTAAATATAGTAAGAATAAGACAAATATATTGAGATTAACAAAAAGAAGCCACTGTATGCTTCTCTAACAATTGATTGCGTGAATTGTCTGCAAAAACAACAAAAATTCAGCCATCCATTGAAACGAAACAAACAAATTGTGCCATGTTAAAACTCTTTCATGCATAACGCGTAAATAACTGATCTGTATCAGCATGAGTGCATTCTTACCATTTGTGAGTGATGAACAGCACAAGAAGACAACGACCAATTTGAAGCAGTCGGATGAGACCATCCTGCCAGCTCTTCTCCGAAATCCAAACCGTGCGTTAGAAATAAAGTAATAAGAGTCCTTGGCAGAGAGGCTTATTATTCCGAGTGACTGACAAAAGTTTCTTCTGAGAGCGAGTAAATCAAAAAATCTTGTTTTTTTTTTTTGTTTTGTTTTTTTTAAATAAACGTGTTGTAAATCCACACAAAGCTCAGGTGTACATGCAAAAAGCGGCAGTGATTGTGCCGTATCCCATGACGCGTTCCGCAGGGGAGCTCTCCTGCGCAGCTGGGGGAGTCCAACAACCGATCCGGCACTGAGAGGACGGATGTGCCGCTGTATCCTCGGGACAGGTGCCCTCGAACAAAAAAAAAAGTCAGATTAATTAAATTCAGTGGTGAGTGGAAAATAAAAAGTTGGATGAGTTGGGGTATCAGCCTCTGACTCTGCTGTCTGGTAAAGCGCTCAAAAGCCAATTCAATCAGCTCCTGCCTCTCATGCGCGCCTTGAACAATTTCCCCTCCCTCTCGCCTCTGTGCAACAAGCCAGTTCGTGCATGAGGAACGCTTTATGGAGACACAGAGGAAGGACGCAACGTCACAGGGTGGGAGTTTTGTGTGAATGCAGACTCCCTTCTGAAAAGGAGACCACTTCCAGAGAAATAATGATGGTACTAATGTGCAACTCATTTTGCGTCAGGGCAACATGATGGGTAACTAGACATGTTACAGGGATGTAACAAGAAAACATGCAATACCAACCATATTAATTATGCTAATTTCTAGTGGAAAACTCAACTTAGAGGCAACTGAAATGAACCTTAATGGGGTCTATCACAGCCTTCTTTTAATCATGATTAATGTCATTATCACCTTACTGATGTGTGGTCAGGATACATCTTTACATGACAGCTTGAATCTTGAATCTACTGGCCTTTGACAGCTTTCTGTGTCTTTTTAATGCTTGTCTAGTGTACAAAATGATTAATAATCTGTCTGCTCCTCAATTAAAAGAGTTCATACAACCGCACTCAGACAATGAGAGGACATCTAGGTCGACTAACAGAGGCGACTGTGTAGTACAACACAGATTTACTGTGTTTGGTAGATCAGTCTTTTCTGTTAGAGCTACAGACTATTGGAACTCAGTACCAAGTGAGATAAGACGGTGCAACAGCTTTGTTGCTTTTAAATTTAAGATGAAATCATGGCTAAAATCAACCCAATCATGCACCCATCACACTTGATCTAACACTGTGAAATCTTGTTATATCTTAATGTTATAGTTTCATTGTAGTTGTGTTGTCTTGCTGTTGTTATTGCTGAAGCTGTTGTGTCATGAATATGCTCTATTTTGTAATTGTGTTTTTTATACAAAAGTGTCTTTTAGCAGAGAAATTATCGTCTATTTCCTGCCCAGGGACTACAGATGAAAATTAGCTTATAGTTAACTGGTGCAGCTAAGTAGCTGTGCACTGCCCCTGTTCAATAAATAAATAAATCATTATCCTTTTTAATCTTACCTTTGTGTATAAAGCTGCCGTTGATAAAAGCAACCCACTGTGTAACTGAGGTTAAAGGTAACAGTAGTAATCTTGTCTCAAGAGGAAACAGAATAAAATGTAAACAGGCTTTGTGATAACAGATCGAATCTATCCGTTTGAGTGTTTAGAATAAATATTTGCTGGATTTATTTTTAACCGCAGAAACAGGACACACTGCTTTTTATATCAATGTAAATAATCCTCTTTTGTCGAGCAGAACCCTGCAGTGTGTGGATGTGCTGCAGACTGTTTTCTTTTATCACCGCAACAATCACTCTGCTTCTGTAGGTCACAGTAGCAGGCATTGTAAATAAGAACATCCTGCCCTCACCTTTCCAACCACGTCAGGACTGGACGGCCACCATTTCGGGGACTGGATCTCGGGCAGTGGCGTGGGTGAGGCACAGCACAAGTTGTGAAATATGATGAGCACCAGCCTTTCATATCTGTGGCAGGAAAAGATTGAAATGGCACATGAGAACATGGGAAACAATTCATAAAATCCCAGTTGTGGGAGTCCCTCTGCTTTGTGGGATCTGGAGACCAAGTAGTCGCAGGTCAAGAATTCAACTTGTTTTTTCATTAAATCACTTAAGGAAATCAAAAATTTCCATATTTGGGTGGCTGCAACAGGCGTACACAAAAAGTTAGAAATGTTCTACATGGTTAATTCCATAAACGGAGACATTATATACTTTTGTGTTGGATTACACTCACTATTACAATCTGATGGTGAAGCAACAGTAAATTCAGATATGAGAATTAAATCCACGTGGCATAACTTTCAAAAGACTGTAAAATAATAAGAGTGTAAAAAAATGACTATAAGACCTGGGCGTTCAAGTGTGAATGGTGACAAATTGGAAAAGATGATTTGCTGTAGACTTATACATTTGAAGAGAAAGACAGTAGCACACTAAATACACAAGGAAGAGGTGAGGTTTGCAAGAGACTGCCTTGTCCACTATAAGAATTTCCTTAGTGTGTGTTCACGTGTAAATCTTCAGTGAAGGAAACATTCCCACTGGGCCAAGTGAGCAGCAGATAAGTCTCTGGATGAACAATTACTGGAAGTCGCTGGCTGATAGGGGTGGGTTTAAAGTGTTTTATTTTAGAATCTGGTGTTCAAAACACTCTATAGGGGACTAAATGGTTCTACACACACACAGCATGCACTCTTCCTTTTGCCCCAAAAGCAAAGTCCTCTTGGGTAAATGAACCAGTAGAAATAAAGTCTTTCTTCAGCAGAGGGGTGGTGGGGGTCTGACTGCCTGCCCTGCTGATCAAATAACTGTAGTCAGTCTTGAGTGGAAACAATGCCACAGTCTCCAGACCCCACACACACTGCAGCTTTGGAAGCAAGGAATATAATTAACGAAATCATTTCTTGCATGACAACAATATTATAAATGGTCAATTTTCGAGCCAGGGTCATGGGCAAAAGCAATCACCCATCATATTTGACATGCAAGTGGCTGGCCAAGATCTGGTGCTCTCTGCAAATGATTATACAGCTATCTTATTTAAAAAATTCTTATTTAACATTTTGTGTGCAATATCCCCATCGCTGGATCAAGTACAAAAATACAACATATATCAACTCAAATTCAATCAAATGTAATAAAATGTACATAAGTAACATTAGTCGTCACCATATAGGTTCCTGTTTAAGAACAACAAAGCTCTCTTTTTGCCTTAATGCTTAATGTGCATGCCTGCTCTGATTACTCGGCCGTTTTAAAAGTGTAAAGGTCTCAAGTTTAGTCATGTTGACCAAAATATCTGGTTACTGTTGTTAAATGGGCCTGTTATGGTTGAATAAAAATAGAATATTGGTTTCCAAAAGTAGTGGAGTGCATGTAGTTCATGTTGTAAATGTAGACCTGCAATGCAGTGAGATGCACTTACAATGTATGCTGCATATATTCTTCTCCCAGAAATGCTGTATGTCTTAAGTTATTGTTTGTTTGGCACAGCATTAAAATGTTAAAGGTGAAATTAGCTCCACATTTTCAAGAGGAAACTTTATTATCTTGAAGACAATTAAATATCTCTGTGTTGATGTGTCATCGTCAGATAATATTTTGGCTCTTTTCATTTGTTCTAACTGAATAAAGCAAATGTGGACGCCAACATATTTTCATGGACAAAACTTTTCCATTACTTTTGAAGGACCCATACGGTGAGGCCGTGGTGGCTCAGTCCACAGGGACTTTGCTTGGGAACTGGTGGGTCACAGGCTCAAGTCCTCGTACGGCGCAAGTATGTAGCATGGACTGGTAGCTGAAGAGGTGCCAGTTTGCCTCATGGACACTGCCAAAGTGCCCTTGAGCAAGGCACTGAATCCCAAACTGCTCAAGGTGCCTGTCCAAAGCAGCCCCCGGCTCCAACATCTAGTGCATGTATAGGTCCTATTTGTGCATGTGTGTGTATTTTGGGCTTGTGTGTATTTGACAAGAGTCAAGAAGAGTAAAGAAAACTGAATTTCCCCATGGGGACCCTTCCCGTCGGGTAAATGACGGCGGCCTCGTAGGGACAAAAAGCCTTGCGCACAAGTTTTTCAGGAGTAGGTCTATCTAGCGATGAGGTGTATGTTTATTTAGAAATCTAAGCCATGTTACGATATTGTAATGAATCCCTCACGAGCAGGTGACCAGAGGAGCGTTCGGGAAAAAGGCCCGTTTATTTGAGCACTCCAGAAACTCTGGTAACACTCCACTCCGTCCCAAACTCTGACTCTTCTAGCGTAACACACACACACCATACACACATACTCGTTTACCATACCGAGTGGGGACCCCCCTCCCCTCTCTGCTCAATCTCCAGCCCGCACACTGACTGACAGCGTAGCCGGTAAACAGAGCTCAGCTGTTTATTTAGCCTAGCGATATCTCCGGACTATAGTAGCTGCAATGGACGACTTTGAACGTGATTTTGAAGAGTTTCTTGTAGCGGACACAGACCCAGAGCCATACCTGTTTGAGCCGGAGCACACAGATGAGGAACTCCATGTGTTTGATGCTGAGCGGGCGAGAAGAGAGGCTGAATGCACAGAATGGGATTCGGTGCTACTGCTACCATCGTTGGGGAGATATATCATCAGGAGGAAAAGCGCTGCAGAGAGTGCATCACAAGGAGTGAAGTTGCGTCTTCTTTTCCTCGCAGATGACGGTTCGGGTTCATTCTCTCCTGTTGCACGGTAAGTGTGGTCCATTCGCAAACTTTATAACTAAAAAAACTTTTCACTACTCTATCAACAAACTACTAACACTCTCTGCTGTTTCCTCCTCCTTCTTCCTTCCTTCCGCTGTCTTCGTTGGTTCATTTATACATGCGAAATGTGTTCTCTGGCTGGCTGGATTGTCCGCTCGGTCTGCCGTACATACATGGCGGCGCAAGATGGCGACCTCTCTAAAGCAAGGCCCTTGATATATATATATGTATAAAAGCATAACTATAAGGCTACAAAAACCAAACGAATTTTATTTTATAGCAATTATACACTTGTATAAACATATTAATGGGTAGAAGATTCAGATTCAGATTCAGATTGACAATAAACCATGCCAAATATTACACACTGGCCCTTTAAGTATTGTATGAAAGTTATCAGTCTGGCACTGGCTTTCTTTTTTTTTTAAAGATATTTTTTGGGCATTTTTGTCTTTAATGGATAGGACAGACAAGTGTGAGAGGGGGAGAGAGAGAGGGAGTGACATGCAGCAAAGGACCACAGGCTGGAGTTGAACCCGGGCCTTGTACATGGGGCGCCTGCTCTACCACTAAGCCACTGACACCCCGGCACTGGCTTTCAGGTATGAGGGAAAACAGAAGTGGTTACACTATCAGTGCATTCTTATTAAATTTGATTATAAACTCATTTCTGGATGCAAGTCTGAAAAACAGTGCTGCAACATAAGAATGTTGGCATATGCTTTTTAAGCCTTGGAACTGGACAAGGATGGTTATCTACAGATGAATACTGTAACAACTAATTTGATTACACTTTTTTTTTCAAAACTTAAAATGATTTTTACTAATTCAATGACTATTCCAGGCTTGGAAAATGAGATTGCAAAATTCAATGACTTTCCCAGGTTTTCCATGACTGTGGGGACCCTGTACAGCTGATTATGGTGGCACAGTTCCATTTACAGTTTATGGGTTCGCAACCATAATGTGGTGCAACTATGCTTACAAAGTCAAGGTGTTATGTGAAATAGGGCTATTTCTACAAAATGCCAATAGAAAACAAACAAACAAACAAACAAACAAACAATATACCATTGAGTTGTGCCTGACCACTTCCCTCTAACATAACCATCATGGTTGGGTGCCAGCGTTACATGTTAATATTACTAAATATTAGCCAACAGCTAACAGCTTTTTATATTGCCTATATCATAAACCAGTAACTGTAACGTACTTAAAACTGAGTATTAGCTAGCCTTAAATATTAAGGGCAATATAAACCAGTGTCAGCATAAAAGAAAGCTATGGAGGCATAAGAGTCTCACAATAAGATTTAGTTACTTTCAGGCTCTTCTTCTTTTTAACAAACCTAGCTTGCATTCGTGACAACTATCAAACAAGATGGCGCTGTGGTGAGGAGCTAACGTTCGCCTAAAATAAGTTATTTTTAGTGGTGAAACCTTAAAAATGGAGCTGTTTGTTTCAACTGTGAAAAGTAAGTAACTACCGCTACAGTTGGTCAAACAACAATTTGCTACACCAAGTATTGTTTAAGACAGTTTTAGCTAAATTACATTAACAGACTTCCAGGCTATCTGGGTCAGTAACCGTTAGCTAGTTAACCGGAAGAGTTCAACTGCCGTTAGCTTAGGCTAACTAGCTATGTTAGCTTATTTATGCTAACATCTGCATTGACTTCTTCTGATTGACGCCCTCTACTTAACTACCTTAGTCATGACCAAAATTAATAGAAGTAGATCTTATACTGGAATATAACAATATATAATATAAGGTATATTATTATGGCAAGCTAACATGCTTTTTTGACACAATTTTACTCCTGGATATTCAGAATAATTCTTAATTGACCCAGTTATGACGCAGTTATATGGCTGAACCTTAGTTAGCATTATGCTATAACATTACTTGGGATATAAATTAGTTAGTCAATGGGAATTCTAATAAACATTTGCTGAACAAAATGTTATTCATTAAGTAAAAATACCACATTTACTGGTTAAGGTTTTAACCTTTAAAGAGTTGTACACTTTTTTATATTTCATGTCCTTGAATACTTGGGGATTTGGATTTTTGTTATGCATTTGTGACTGATTTTAGACTGAATGACAAAGGAGTGTAAACTTAATTTGGTTCATGGGTTACATACAACCCAATTTGATCTTAAGTGGGCTGGGCCAGTAAAACCATAATTGCATAATAAGCAAGAAATAAGATCACCAAACTCTGTATTTTCCCCTTCTTTTTGTGTAAAGAAGTATGAAAACAGTCTGAAAACATTCATAACTAAGTAAGACTCCTTTTACAAAACAGATGAAGTACAGCCTAAGATGTCTAAATACAAAAAGGTGCAATTTTAGTCAACCTAGTACTTACTGTCATTACATGTTCATCTTCCCCATACATTTCCTCTCCTGTGTGGTAATGCTGGCATCACCACAACACCAGATGAAAGTGAAAGTTATTAAGGGAAGCAGGTTAAGTTATCCCCTGCCTTACAAATCATTTACAAGTTAAACATATTGGCAGTGCCTTATCAATACGGTTCAATCTGCATTGTTTTGCAATAGAAGTCTGACACAGATTCATTTGTACTGAAGCTGCAGATTGACATTTTTTGCATTATTTTCAATATCTTGAAATATGACCACAATAAGTATTGAATGCTCCCTCAGAAGATTTTCCACCCTGACCAGAAACATTTTACAGTACAGTACTTAATATTTAACCTGCACCTCTAACCTGGCACCTCTTAATCTTTACAAGTGCATCAATATTAGGTGTGCAAAGTCATCCAGGGGGCCAGTACGTGACTATAGACCATATGTTTGACACCCCTAGACTAAATAATCAAACAATCAATGGTCAACATTAACAGATGACTATAATATGTAATTTTAAAACATTTGTTAGCCCAACAATAAGCTACAACAAAATATCTTTTGACTTATTTAGGACAAAGGTTGAGTTTTGCGTCCTGTCAGCATGTAATGCTTTGTTCTTCTTTATACACAGGTCTCACAGAGAACCTGATGCAGAAACAGTCAACAGGTTATGATGAGGTGATAGAAAAACTATTCTCTGAAGTCTCTGGCCCAGAGGATTGCCCCAAAATACCAGACCCACAGGTAGATACAAGTGTGAGAGAGTTTTACTATAGTGTGAGTGTAATACGAAATAAAAAACAAAGCATACAAGTCATAAATGTAACATTTCATAGTGGTATTACACCTATAATGCAGGACTTACCATACAAATAAGCTTATTTCTACTTGGCAGTTTTTTTTCACTTGAAAAGTAATTTAATGGTTTAAAATCATCAGTCTTGTTCTACTACTACAGTAACCAAGTCATAGATACGATTATCTGGTGCAAGTCAAGGCTTGTTTGTTTTCCTAATATCATATTATGACCTTTATATGGCTGTAAGTTGGCAGAATTATTAAGTTGTATGCTTACTCATATTACAGCTTGAGGAGTGTGCCATCCAGCTGTGGAACTGGGCAGTTACCAAGAATGTGGGCACCACTATCAGTAAAAATCAGAAGGCCAAAGGTACACTTCTAGTTGCAGTATTTATTTACAAGATAATTCTAATGATCATCATGACACTTGAAAATATACAGACATGTCATCTGAAATGTTGGCACAGTGTAAGGGTTGCAAGCAGGGGTAGTCACGGTCGTGTCACGTCATATTCAAAAGTTCTCACCGTCCTCACAGTGCGTCATGTCGCATGCACTCTGCTGTACCGCTGTGAGCCTGAGAATCCAACAGAGGGCGTCATCCGCAAGCAGATCCTGGTAAGCAATACTGTAGGCACCCTCTGTGAGTGCTCATCGTTTCAGGAGGACAAGGTCTGTTTGTTTGTCAGTGTCTAATCTTTACAGATGGCCAGCAAAACAGGAAGAACCTGGCTGGAATGCAAAAATCCCCAGATGGCAGATAACTTCTTAAGGCTTGCTGTCAAGGTGAAAAAAAGGAACACTCAGACTGAGAGAGTTCCAATCTATTTAAGTTAAGAGCAAACAGAAATATGTTGTCTTTACAAATGATTCAACATTCAACATCCCTAGAGTCTGGAAACCCTCTATGGCCAACTGACGTCCAGAGGTGATGGAACCGCTGACATCACTTCATCAAAGGGGGATGTAGAGAAGGATTTGCTTCGAATTCTCTCATGCCAGGCAGAATCGGTGAGCTGTGGCGCATGTGATGTTCAACACCTTCAATGTGAATATTTGTTCTTGTGATATTTGGCAGCTGAGGAAGTGCTATTCTGACAGACTTGCAGTGTGAAGTGTGAGACAGCTAAAATGTGAACTGAGACACAATGAGAGGGGGAAATCTTATTCTGTGCTAGTAGAGAATGTTATATTGTTTGGTGACATTTAACAGGAGGTTAAAATCTCTTCTTTGCAGGCCATAAGTCAAGGGAATAACCATGAGGCTGTGGTCTATATGCAGCGCTGTAAAGACATGCTGCTGCGGCTACCAAAAGATGTAAAGAAGACCTCTGTTATCACTATAACAGCATATTGTTTCACATTTACAGTACATATTTCTGAAAGTGTAGAGGATGTTAACTCTGAACACATATATATATATATATATATATACATATATTTAATGCAGACTGCATACATCTCCCTCATGTGCTACAACTTTGGAGTGGACACTTACAATCTGGGAAGGTTGGAGGACAGTGCATTTTGGCTCAGGTAAATATTTTTAATTTCTGCAGAAATGCTCTAGGAAACAGTGCAGTTTGAAAGACATTTTTGTTCTTTTTTTTCAGCCAAAGCTATGACATCGGGAAAATGAATGTGAAATATGCCCCTGAATCTGAACTCCAGGTAAGACAATCCAATAAAAAACTTAGTACAAGTAACTGATACATGTTAAAATAGTATTTAACTGTATTTGTTTCACTTGTCTTTAACAGGCCAAGGTTTTGAGGCTCCTTGCCACTGTCTATTTAGAGTGGGACTGTCAGAGGTTTCAGGAGAAGGCGCTTAATGCTGTCAGCTTAGCCAATAAGGTGGGATATGCGAAATCATTTTCAAATTGTATTTTACATTATGCATTTTGAAGCATGCACCTACAAAATAGAAGATGCTCTGTTCCCAATTGCACTGTGCATTTTGACAGGAATGTGTGAGCGCCTCTGGGCTGTACTTAAAGATCAGAATACTCCTGAGATGTGGGGCCTCAGTCGATCATATCAGAGCAGGTTAGTTATTACCTGAACCACGCTGAATTATTTATACAGAGCTTCATTAACATAGGCAGCAGTGGGTGAAAGTTTAGACAGAAGCAGATTTAGGAAGGAAATATTGCTAGTGTGATTCTCTGAAGCAAAATTCTCTGACTCAAAAATGGCTACTGATGAGTTTAATTGCGCCAGAAATGTTCGAAGTATGTACTCCCTAGGCTTTTACCAGTCAGGTTAAGGTGTTCTAGTGGAGATGCTAGAAGATCGTGCTTGTACTGGAACCTTCCTAAGGGGCCATGTTTTGGGGCCAGCATATTTTTAGAATTATTTGCAATGGTAGCACCATGTATTTTCATGCAGTACTAAAAATGGCAGTGGTGTGACAAGGTGTTGAGCTTTTTTTTCTTGAGCACAGAGAGTTGAAAAATGTTCAACTTTGGGTAAAATGCTGCACACGTTAGTTTTTACCCAGCCGCCCAATCACAGATGAGGAGAAACAAATACCAGGAAGACAAACGTCACATCTTACATGTACAATACAACAGGGAAGAACAAATATATTAATATACTGCATATTTTAATATATGTTTTCTCTCATGAACCCTCCTCAAGAACAAGTACTCTACCTTGCGCCAACATTTTTACTACGGCAGGTATTTCATATCATAACAACCTGACGCAACCAAAGCATCTCAATTGAAAAAACATTGCGCCTCTAAAAGCACTCTCAAGCGCTCCGCCATGGCCCCTTAGTGTTCCTGTGTCTTTGGGTGTCTTGCATATTTAAAAGCACATCATAAAAATATGTTTTCAGGACTTAATGAGATGCTGGAATCTAAGGTGTCTCTTGAAGTGTGTCTGAGCACAGTGAAACTACTCATGTCTGAAGACAGGTAAAAACTAGTACTGTCACTTGGCTCCTTGTAGAAACACACACATAGCCTAACATGAACATGTGCACAACATGTACACATTGTCTTTTAAGGAATGCCCAGAGGCATGCTCGTCAACTCTGAATGATATCTGTTTTGATTTTCCAGAGAAGTGCTGGCATTTGAGTATTTGAAACGTGTGTGTCAGCACTTTGAGTCGTCGCCTGACTTGGGAACTGCTCTCGTCTTGCACATTGAGCTACTGCTGCAGAGAGGCAAGGAGCTGCTGGGCAAACAGAAGATAGAGGATATCATCACTGGTATTAAGTTTTGCATTCCAGTCCTAGAATAAGTCGAAAATTAATAAAAATATAACCATATATGCATAATGATATAACAACTTGGTTAATTTTATATTAAAGCAGGCACTGTAGATGTACCTCTGTATTAGTATTGCCATTTTTCACACCCACACAGGCCACTACACAGGAAAACAGCTGACACCACAGGCCCTCACAAGTCTACATGTCATGCTGTGGGACAAAGCGTCCCAACACTTTGAGGTATGTTAAACATAGCCTTGTTTTTCCTTAAGTCACAAGATATTTTTACAGTGTACATACACAGATGTATACTTATCAGCAGGGTGGCTTAGTTATCAGCACTGTTGCCTCGTAGGAAGAAAGCTAGTGGGCTGCTGTCAGCCCACACACTGCCCACTGCTCCTAAATAGTTAAGATAGGTCCAGTGCAGAGGTTTAATTTCCACACGGGGATAAATAAAGGATAACATGATGTTCTGTGTTTCTTCCCAGGCCAAGAACTATTCTGAGGCTCTTCAGTGGTATAACTACTCACTGAGTTTCTTCAAGGCAGGTCAAATGGAGCCCAACTCAGCCAAACTGCAGAGGAACAGAGCTTCCTGTTTCCTGCAACTGAAGCAACTGGAAAAGGTAGGAGAGCAGCAATCCATTTATTGTCCAGTGGTTGCAGTGGATGGTATGTCTCAGAACTCACCATATTTTCTACAGTTTATATGTGATGTATGTTTGCATGTTAACACTTGTTTTTTTTATCAGGCGAAAGAAGCAATTAAAGAAGCAGAGAGATGTGATCCTGACAACATTTTCACTCAGTTCAGTGTTTACAAGATTGCAGTGCAGGAGAACAATGTGGAGAAAGGTATCTACAAAATGTTAGCTGTGTGCTACATGTAGAATAAAAGCAGTTATGGTATCAATGTCGCAGTTTCATTGCAGCCACATTTTCAGCATATTCTCTGTGGTGATGAGGCTGTTGATTTATACCAGCTGCAGAGGCAGTGAATGCGATGGGACTTCTGTCCAAGAGTCCTGCTGCTAGTGAGGACGGACTGCTGGTATCTGAGAATGCTGCTTCCAGTCTCCTCAGTCTGGCTGCACAGATTGCTTTGGAGGTAGGACTCATTGCAGGACTCATTACTCAGCTCTGTACAGCCATCATAAAATATTGTGGATTTAATGAGAAAGGAATTTGTTTGGTCTGGTGGAATAATTGTCACATTCCACATTTTATGGTGTTGTTATGATGTTAAAGGCTTCAAAAACCTGGCATCAGTCCTCAACAGTGCAGCTTGGAGTTGTGGGCTGGTGAGGGATCATGTCTATGTCTCTGCATGTTAAACCCTCTAGGAACAGCACCTCAAATTGGTTAAACATAGACTGTATCAAAGATGCGGACATAGCCACAGTGACATCACCCATTGGTTTGTGGACTACTGTTTTGAAGCCTTGAGTCTGCCACTTCGACTATCACCATCTTGGTTTTTGGGAGCCAGAAATGACTGCATTTGGATAAGAGACTGATGCTTTGGAGGAGCAAGGGGTGAATCTGACTGAGAAGCTAGGACAGTATCAGCAGACAGGCTGTCACTCAGAGAGGCCTTGCCCTTAAATTTGTGTAACTTTAAGCTTTAATAAAATGTAAATGTTGTCATGGACTGTGTCATGACAGTCATGATTGTAAACATGTTTATTTCTGCTGTAAAGTTGGACATTTTAACATGGGGGTGTGTGGGTATTGATTGTCCTTTGGAGCCAGCCTCAAGTGGCCGTTCAAAGAACTACAGTTTTTGGCACTTGTTGGCTTCATTTTTCAGCCCCAGAGGTCGCCACTTGTTACCCTGGTTTGTAATGTGAAATTGCTGTATTCAGTGTTTTTGGTGGTTTACATCAACGGGTTTGTTTGTTTTGAAGAGGAAAAGACCTCTGCAGCTAATTCGGCTCCTGCTAAAAACCCTCTGAACATCTGGATCTTAAATTATGTGGGGAAAAAAAACAAAAAAATGTGAGCACAGATTAGCAGGTGGTGGACGAGCTGCCCACACCGACATGCTAGAGAAACACCAACTTGTAATGTGAAACTATTTTATGAAGAGTTTTTAACAGTTCAAATCACCGGTTCACTTTTGCTCAGAGAAGAGGCGACCTCAATGGTAGCTTGGCTCCCGGTAAATTCAAGCTGCAGAAAAAGACATAGCTGGTTGCTAGATGCCACCAAATCTCCATATAGCTTACACACTTTACCTTTAAGGCTTAAAATTACACATATTTAAAGGGGGCAACTCGAGTGACAAGTTGTCTGCAAGACGTCACTACAGTCTGTGAGACGGATCCACCCCTGACTCCACAGCTCCACCCTCTCATCTAAATATGGTCACTTCTTGTCACTTCTGACTCCAAATTAACAAGAAGGCAAAGCCAACATCAAGGCTTAAAAGTGGGAGTCCACAAACCATTGGGTGAAGTTAAGGTAGCTACTTCCATTATTTTATACAGTGTATGTTTGCAACCAGTGGAGTCGCCCCCTGCTGTCCATTAGCAATAATGCAGGTTTAAGGCACTTCTTCATTGGCTTCACTTTTCAGACCCAGAGGCAACTCCCACTTTTTTATACAGTCTATGTATAGAACATTCCTGTCTACCACCTCCTACAAATATATATAAGCACAGAGAAAATGTTGATGTTCAGCTTTTAGAGTTCATGCTTTTGTAAGAATAGATAAAATGACACTTAATTGTGATATTTTTAAGATATTAAAAAAAAAGAAAAAAAAAACTGCAACAGCTCGGTGGACATTCCCGTCCGGAAGCTACTATCAGGAAACAAACTGGAAAGCGATGAGCCAGTAGCAAGTTGGAAGGGTAAAGTCTAGAAAATGAATTTTATAAATAGAAAATGTGAGGCAACTCTATTTTTATATCACTGTATGATTGTGATGAGTATGAATGGTGGGTGGTGGTATTAATGAGGAGGATGTTTGTTCCCCTGTGACAGAATGAACAACAGGAAACTGCGATGAAGGCTCTGGAGAGGTTGTGTGACAACTCCAAAGATGAAGCTCAAGTGCTGACTGCTCTCAGGTCTGTGACTGCAGTGTACAAATTAAGTGTTTTAATACAGTGGAAACGGCTTATAGTGATCACGTCTGTCTGAGTCAAATTGGATCTTTATTTCTCATGCAGCTTTCTTTTGAATTGACATTTGTATATTTATTAATATATGGCAATGAAACAGACAGCTTTCTCATTTACTGATTTTTTTTCTATTTCAAAATAAAATTCAGCTGTGACATTATGAGGGCTTTACATGATTGGACATTATCAATCTGCCTGACAAGGGCTGCTTCAACCTCAGGTGCATTCAATCCCCGTCTCCATCACTAGTAGCCATGACTGTACCAATAAATTTAACTGCAATATCTTGTTGGCTTGTTTTTGGCAGCTTATCATAAGCTTGATGGAGACTATGTTTTTCATTGAGAGAAAATGACTTTCTTTAACTGTCATGATTTCATTGTGCATGTAGCACTGTCTGGTAACCAGTTGGAAGCAGATGGGTTACTACTTGACTACTATGAGCAAGTTATTTTAACAGCACTTGCATAGGAATGATTTTGTCCCAATTTTGTACATCAATTTAAGCGGTTGATCACCGTAACCATAATCACTATGAGCAGCTTCCACTGCACCAAAATATGTAATTTGCCTGTATGAAAATTACATATATTCTGATATCTCTTCACCTTTACATTTGCACTGATGATGATTTTATAAGGATGATTTTATACCTAATATTTATAATTATGATTTTTGTTGCCTAGTCATTTGATTAACTTTTATTGCATATTACGGAATTGTTGGATTTTATGATCTCTGGATATATTGCTGCTTGGTTTTTTCCCCCACTGTATCTTGTAAGGTGTCCTTGAGTGCTCTGAAAGGGGCCTATAAATAAAATGCATTAATATTATTAAGATTATAAAGGAGCAGGAAGCCAGACCCTCGCACACATATTTCAGAAAGCCCTATAGACATGGCTGTGAAAGACACATATGGACATTTTAATAATCAATGTGTTCCACCAAGGCAGCTTTTTCATTTATACATGTAGGTTGCTTTCCTTCTCCTTTTTTGCAGACATTTTTGCCTTACTTTTTGTTTTACGTGCTGCTGCCTTGAACTAAAACAACACTTTTTTTGGTGAAGTTTTCTTCCAGAACAGAAATACCAAATTTAAGATGCCAAATTTCTGTATTTCGCTCACTTTGAAGCACTTGGCGTTCATGTGTTGAGACTGAGTGAACAGAGCATGATGGTGAAGTTTCACACATAAAGTGACAACATTTAGGAGAGATGGCTCATGTGCTGGGAGATTGCAGTGAGTGTGTTAGTCTTCCATACACCTCTATGATCCACTGACCTATATTCCCTTGCTTCTCCACTGAAAGTGTGTCTCTGTATAATACAGTTAGTAGGTGAAAGAAAGGAGGTCAACACCAGTTTCTCCATTCATCTTTTTATAGGTGTTTGGTTCGACTTGTGCTCTCCACAATAGAAAAATCAAGTGATGAGACAAGGTGAGGGGGAAGGGAAACCACCTATTAAAATGTGATTATATAGTGTTATTGATGCTGCTGTTTATTTAATCAAAACAGATTTACTACTTTATATTTCTGCATGTAGGGATGTGAATCTGGATGTCCTGCTGCCATATCTAAAAATGGGTGAGTACATATGCAACAAGGGTTGAATTGCATTTTAACAAGAAATGCGTCATAACTCACAAATGTTTTGTTTGTATCTCTGCAGCTCTGCAGAAACTTTCACACCAAGCTCACATGACTGTGGAGCAACGCACAGAGGAAGCTAACTGGTTCAGGAAGATTGGTACTAAGACTCTCTCTCTCTTCAATCTGACATGGTATGCTATCGCTTAAAATCTTGCAGCACCTTCATTTTTTCCGTGTGTGTGTGCTTGTGTGTGTCCTTGTTACAGCGTGGAACTCGGCTCTGCAGTGCGAGAGCCGCCCTGACAGAATGAGGGATTTCTTTGTGCTCTCTTACCAGGCAAGTGCTCTTATTAGCTTTGTCAGGTGGATTAATCAATATCTACAGTGCGCGGGTGGAGATCAATAACACCTGAACAGGGATTTAACATTGCTTTAGACAGATAAAGATATCAGTTTAAGATAAAGAATCACAGTGACCCACGATGATCCCATCCTGTTGGTTCAGTGACAATTTGTGTATCAATTACTCACCTCGTGTTACGCTGTGAGAACATTTTGATTTAAAACACTTTCGAGCAGCGCGCCCTGAGCATGCTTGAGCATGTGTGTGCATATGACTTCCACCCAGGCACGCTACTCAGTCATGCATGAGACTGTTTTTACTGACATGTTATAAATTGTAATGTTTAGTGAAAACATGTGTGTTTGGGAAATTTCTAATAAAGGACTGAATAAAAGAGACTTTGGGAACTGATCAGTCGGTCAGCTATTTGTCACATGAAATTATGCCAGGTAAAACCCCAGTGAAATATGATCCCATCAGCTCCTTTAACTAGTGTGCTGTTGCATCTTCTTACATTGTTGGCTGCTACTTTACATTTGCCAATGTTTTAGATGGTTCTGGTGATCCATGGTTTCTGGTTGTTGAATGATTTAACTGTCCACACATCTTGACCTCAACAAGGTAGCCACATGGTTGCTCCTGAACATTGGCAGCGCCACTCTGCAGCCACCTCTAAACAGCATATAACACATCCACAACAGGAACGGGACAGCGCCTGACATTTCCACCATCACATCAGTCCTTATTCACTGTGAAGCACACGCCTCCTCTCCTTTTCTCACCCGAGTCCTCTGCTCTGTCAAACTGGCATATAGAAAAAGAGCCTCCTGGCGCTGTCCATGATTTAGCCAGTTTTCAAGGGGAATCAAAGAATGTTACAGCTCCTGATATCCTGTTGGAAACTGATGCAGCAGAGGTCCAGTTCATTGACTATTGAGACATGCTAGAAATTTTTGTTGTTTTTTTTTTCCCCCACAAATTTAATATAACATGCAGTAAGTAATTGATACACAAGTGCTTATTTTGCAGGTGAAGTATTCCTGTAACTCTCGCTAATGATTTTCTGTCCTTACCTTTACCAGAATACCTCTAATTGCTCATTTTAACCTTTATATCTCAGTGAAATGTTGACTGTGTGCACATACATGATTTACGTGCATGCAGTCATGTCTGAAAACACCTCTTTACAATTAGAGGCTTCAGCCATTGGATGATGAGTAGATGTTTCAGAGAAAGAGGGATACTAGATCAGCAGAGAATGTTTTTCCACTTCTTTCGTACAACACATTTTCCACTGTAGCAGTGTCTTTCTCTTGTTCTGAACTAGCTGGCTTACTTTTTGTTCATTGCAATCAAAATGGAGATTTGACATCTGCATGACCCCGCAGCTCTCCCAGTTGTGCCCTCCTGATCGCACACTGCTCATGGGTCAGAAGACGTGTCTGCTAATGGCTGCTGCTGCATCTCTGGAGCTCTGCAGGAAGTCTCTTCACTCTGTCCAGGTGTGCCACCCACTCCCTCTGCCCATCTCCTACATTTAGCACGCTCTCCATCCACATGGATGGAAATTTACCAAGACCAGTGGAGAAGAGAGGTGACTAACCACATTATTGGTGCTGGCGTAGGCGTTTCATTTTAATCTCTCTCTCTCTCTCTCTCTGCCTTTGAAGAGGAAGTGAACACTAGATGGCAACGATGAATCCAGAATGCTTGTTTTGTGTTTCTGTTTGGTTCACAGACTGAGGAGCTCACTCAGGCTCTGGAGCACATTCAGATCTGCTGCGAGGTGTGGAAAACCCTGAAAGCATCAGGTACCTTAACTAGCTTCACTAGCCGAATAATAACAGGCATGTTCACTTACCTGCACGTCATTCATGAATGGAAATGGAGCTAAATGAGGTAGGGATGAACTATTCAACAATTTGATTGAAGGAGCCTGAATTGACCACCAGTCTCACAGTTGCAAATGAAAATGTGGTTATGAAACATGATCATTTGAGGGTGCTGAGTGTCTGATTTTACATAGAACTGCTTGTTTTCTTCCAATAAATCATGATGTATATGTGGTGCATTTCATCAAAGCTCTCACATAACAACATAGCGCTGTCAAAATCAGCAGGAAGAGGTGTGTAGAAACAGCTTCTTGTGGCTGTCTCTCTTTCTCTTAGAGGAAATCAAAACGTCTGTTTATAACCACAGATAGCAAGCAGGAACCAAACTACGTGATGTGTTCTCTGTCTGTCTTTCTATCTATAATCTCCACTACTTTCAGTACTGTGGACAGCGCCGTTGCCGCACTTACACATCCAACCCCAAACACACACACACACACCAAACAGTGCTGGATTGTATATGTCCTATTATAAAATAAGTTAATATGCCATGTGAAGAAGACAAATTGTTTAACTGGGTGTTTTAGGGTTTTTTTAACGTGGAAAAATGGAAACTAATGTTGCAATGAGAACATGGATCAATGACCAAAAAAAGGAAACAATAACATAGTTTGACTATCAGTCAACAATAGGCAAGACTTGATGAATCAGATCTAACTATTTAAATTCTGATACTAGTCTTAAAACAGACTCCAAGTGTTTTTCAGTGTTGTGGACAAATTTCCAAGTCTTAAAAAATCAAGAGAGTTTTACATCACTTGGTGAACTCTTCCGTGATCTCAATGGTTTGGTTAAAGGTGGTCATACAGCTCAGTCCGATCTGTTTTAAGTCAAGTCTTTTTCTCGTCTTGATGTTCCAACAAAATCAAACGTTTAATATTATCATAAGTATCTAGTCTTGCCTCATGCAAGTAGTGAAGAATAAGAGCATTCTCTCCAGCACCAGACAAGAGGCTGTTTGCTGTGTACACAGCACAGAAAACATGGATGAGACACTGGGGTGGCAAGAATGTGAACAAGTCCCAATTCTCTTGTACTGTGGTAAAGGAGGAGAAACTAGTGGAGCTGTGGAAGTGAGCAGGAGTTAGTGTTTAATTTGGCATGTATCTGATCTGTTATTTTGCTCATAAATCTTATTTTTGAGAAGCTTCACCTCTCATTCCTACCGTCTCCTCCTACTGAAATAGCACAGCTAACCAATGGTGGCTGGTAGAGAGTTGACAAAATCCACAATGTAAAGTTTGTGCGCAAATACAGTTTACCTTAAGGATAATATCGATGCCGAATAGACAAGAATATGGTCAGCATATGATGCCTTTTGTCTTTTACTTGCAGAGTTATGTGTTTTTGCGAACATGTTATCGTTAATATGTCATATTTCTTGAGGGGAGTTTGGTGTAGTATTTTCCACCAGGAGCAGGACGGCAAATAATCTTAGAAGTAAGCTAGTTGTAGCAAATAGTGACCCTGCAAGATCCCCAGTCTTTACAAAATCTAAGAGTCTTTGACTTAAAATTTACAGTGTCTTTAGATGTGAGAGGGTGTCAGACTGAAGTCTTTTAAAAATCTTGTCAAAGTCTTCTAGTGTAGTGGTTCCCAACAAGTCCAGCCACAGGATCCAGATTTCTCTGTAGTCATTGGTTTAAGGTCCACACAGTTGAATACAGCACGTCTCTGTCAAGTATCTGTCCATTATTCACTCATTCTTCAGCAGGAAACAGCACTTCAAAGTAAAAGTTTGGTGTGTGAAATTCATCATACTTCAAAATGTGTTTTTTACAAACCTGACACGTATGCATGTCACTTGCAGTCCATTCATAATGGACCTGCGATCCACTTTTTGGACCACGACCCGCCACATGAGAACCACTGTTCAAGTGTTTGGTAGGCAATAGTCAGGGACACCCCTAATTCTCATCGTGTACTTGCAGGAGGCTTCCCAACGGACCCAACAGACACGCTGCTGCTGTTGTATGAGTTTGAAGCTCGAGCGAAGCTGAATGACCCAAAGGTTGAGACGGTTCTGGAGTCTGTCTTGGAGCTTGAAAATGTTGAAACCAAGGTGCTAGAAACCATTGCAGGTAAAAAGAAAAACATTTGGTGTATTGTTTCTCTCGTCTCTGCTGACATGCCTAAAGAAACAGACACGTTCTAGTATTTGCAGTATGATGCTGGTGTCTTTTTTCTTTTCTATTTGTAGCCTTAGCCATGGAGCCTCCAGCCCACTTCCCTCTGCTGTGTAAAAAGGCCTTGAGGGTTGCTCTCTCCCTGCACAGGAAACAACCACAGGCCGACCTGGCCCGCTGCAGGCATGCCCGTCACTACTCTGCATGAAAACACCCTTGACATTTCATTAACGATCCGTCCTCGCAGAGCGCTTATTGGGGATGAAAGGGTTTGTGATTGTGTGCCTGTTTTTGTGTCGCCGTCTCAGCAAGTGTGTTCACAGCCTGATCAAGCTGTCCCTCCCAAGCGGTGTGTCAGAGGTGGAGGCCCATGTGCTGGAGGAGGTGTGGGACTACTACGAGGAGGCCCTGTCCATCATCGCAGCCGCAGTGAGTCAGCACCAATCACACATCGCCATCCCTTGGCACCCACCTCCTGTTCCCTCCAACAGAACAGCTCCCTGCTATATAATTAACCCCCTCTCTTCCACTCCATGCCTGCCTGCTGTTCTAGAAGCCTCTTTTTTTTCTTTTTTTTTTTATCAATGGGCTTTCAGCCGCACTTCAATTAGCAGATGCTTCCATTCACCACCCCCTTCCTGCCAATTTGAATGTTAATGTGCAGTACAAGCCATCATACTGCCGGTGAGCTGCAGCTCTGAAAGAGGCATCAAATTATTGAGACATTACACTGCTTTAGAGGCAGCGCATATTTCCCCTCTCATACTGAGTTATTACTCGAAAGCTGTAGAAATCTTTGGATCAAAGTGAAAGCCCAAGATTAAAGTGGTGTGAAAAACCAATGAAACTTTAGAAATGATAGACCTCGGAGTTTGTTTACGGTCTGTTTAAGGCTCCAAAGCATTAGTAAAGGTTAACATACAGTAGAACAGGATTGGATAAAAGTTACTCACAGGCTTCACCCACTAAACTAAACAGATTTCCTCCCATACACTTGGCTCAAGTGAGTCACCCAGGTGGCCTTCGTTAAATGGCCTTTTGAACATCTTCCTGTTCTCCTCCGCAGCCGGACGACTTCCCAGAGATGGAGACCCTGTGGCTGCTGACTCGGGCTTGGAACACGGGGATACTGCTGTACAGCCTGGCGCAGTACCCCGAGGCTGAGAAGTGGTGTGGCCTCGCCATGAGCTTCATCCGCCACCTTGGATCACTGCAGGAGAGCTACGAGACACAGGTACAGGACTGGTGGAGGGGAAGAAGCAGAATGGGGTGGTTGTAGCAGTGGAGCATGACAGAGAATGATTCACCCTGCTGGTTAGGCAAATGTGACAACGGCTTTGGCCCCAGAAACACACAGGTCTTATGCAGAGTTAATGAATATAACCATCACTGTAGAGCTCTGAGAGTTATACAGTTGCTTCTTGTGCCCACAGATGTCTGGTCTGTACAGTGAGATCCTGGACAGGCTGGACAAAGCCAAGAAGAACCTCATCATGGAGGAGTAACTGAACAGGGACATGTCAGCCCGTTTACCAGAGGTGTGAACTTGAGTCACAAAGTTGATGACTTCAGACTCGACAAAATCACAAGACTTGCAACTTGACCTAGACTTTAACACCAATGACTCACTTGGACTTGAGCCTTTTGACTTGAAAACAATTGATACCTTCCTCCAAGCCCAAAGATTAATAATTGTGTCACTTGTCAATTTATTTCCCTTCATTTTAACTTATTCCCAGCAAGTCGACACCAGATCCACTTGGTCTGGACCAATCTGACAGCATCCAGTCAAGCTGCAGGAGAGAACCACATGAACTAATGTGACATTACTGAGTGCCAGCTGGAAAAAAATTATCCCAAAGATAATTTTGTTTGTGTACTAGAACGCAGTGGTCTGTTAAAAGTGAAAGTCGCAACTTACAGCTTTGTTTGACACTTGAAGTTGGACAACGAGCCGTAAGATGACTAATATTAAGAGTTAGCCAGCTAATGCTAAAATAATATTAACTAAGCACAGCTAAGTAACTTTTAAACAGTTATTTAAAAAAATAAATACAAATAATAAGAAAAATATATGGACAAAAAATATTATTTTGAAGTTAAAATGGCATTACATTTGGCGAGGAGCGCTTTATGATTTGACTCAAAACTCAAAGTTAGGGACTTCAGACTTGTTTTTTTAAACATTTTTTTAAAACCGGTTTTGCAAAACATGGAAAAAAAAAAAAAAAAGACGACTTGGGACTTGAGTGTTAAGACCTGAGACTTAATTGTGACTTTCAAAACTATGATTTGGTCCCACCTCTGCTGTTTGCCGCCTGTTCTGCAGTTGAACATGTTTGACTTTGTTCCAACAGTTTGTTGCGGCTAAATGTTATAAATGCTGTGGTTCAACATTCATCAGATATTACAGTTCGATAAATGATGCTGTAAATCTGTTAACTGTGGAGCATCCTGGGAGGAGAGTGTGTCAGACACATACATTCATTCCTATTTTGATTTTGGTGTCTCCTGTCAATAAAGCTAACATGCTAACAATCTAGGGGAAAAAAAGTCTAATTGTATTAATTAAATACCTTTCAACGCCACTGATTTTTGAAGTGCAAAAACAAGCAGGTCAAATCATAACTGAGTCACATATTTTATTTTCAAACAAATAAACTCTTGTCAAGTCCCAAAATAAAACCCAAAACAAAAGTTGCAGGACTGTGTTCCCTCATGACTAGGACAGGGAAGACCATGAGGCCAAGTGTCCTGATAGGCTGTACCACCTGCAGTGACAGGAAGGAAACTACTGTACAATCAAAGGGTTCATGTTTGCAAGCACTTACTGCACAGATGTGCTATAACATAAACATCATCACCCAAAAGTACAAACAAGAACCCTGACCCCCCCAACCCCAAAAAATAAAAGCATATATGTCATCATTTCTCTCATCAGAACAAAGACCCTCATCAATTATACACACACAGAGGCATTCAGGTTCCATCTTGTTATATACCACAACCTCAATGGAAAGAGTAAAATGAAATCAAGTTCTTTGGGCTTTGACATGGCTGACTGAGGTATGAATACCACACACATTGTTAACAGTCAGCTGTATTTCAACTAAACACCAGAGAGGACCAATTCTAAACTTCTAATGATGTATTGATCAATGCTCCTGGTTTCTGTGATACCGTGTAGGTTTCTGCCTGCATCTCTTTAATTATTTTACAATATATTTTTTAAAATCTATACACCCAGACACGTTCCACAAGAAATCACATGTAGACAGGCCCTACGTGAGGGAACCGAATTCCCAAACTGACTAGTTAAGTTTTCCAATAGGCATTTGAAGAGAAATAACCAACAATACAGCACATTTGTATGGAAATTATATCTCAAGAGTAGCTCAAACTTTACTTACCTGACATTTGTGGTCTATAAAACATGTTTGTCCCAGTTTGATTCACACATGCATGAAGCACAGGTGAGGGGGATCTGCTGGGGGCTTATTTACATTGTACAGCTACCACACCCTTTGAAACAGTCTGCAAGCAGTTTATAAATGGCTCTGTTCCCTTCGGTTATTCCCTGAACTCTGGTTTTGACACAGGTAATGACAGCTGGTTTAGCAGTGGTGCCTGGCAGGTGGGCACACCTGTTCAGAAAATGCCTGCAGGTACAGGTGCTCTGTGGGTGGGAGAGAGCAGAGGGGGGAGGGGGGGACCCAGAGGTCTAGGTTACCACTTCCTGTCGGGTCTGGCTCTCTTGAGAGGAAAACAAAAAAAAACAAAACAACTCCTTTGCACTCTTCAAAAAGCTGAGGAGGGAAAAGCGTTTTCACAGCATCAGGCGCCACGGACAGTATTCCTTCTTCGGACGTGCTCTCTCGCATGCACACATTAACATACAGTGCCAAGATCTGCATGGGAGGGCGGAGCAGGTCATTTCAATCCTGGTGATGCCGACTCAAAGGTTACCGTGCCGACAGCCTTGAAGACACACAATACAGCCTGATTACACTGTTAGGTTGAAAACGCTTTTAACGAAGCACTTTTAGTACTTGCTCGTTCACATTTGACAGCTACGAACTCTCGGTGTCATCGCCCAAACGTGGCCTTTCGGTCGAAGGGGAAATGGTATCTGTACGTTAAAGATTCCTGAGCTGGTCTAGCTCACCCCAGACACACTAAGAGCTCAACACAGTGGTTCAGCACCTGCCAACAACAGATTAGGAATTCATTATAGATACACAAAGCATGTAGGTTTTAATCAAACCCAACTTTAGTGTTATTTTTGGTAGGGGGACAGGGGGACAATCCAAAACAGGTTATATTGACTTTTAATTGTTAGGACATCCAATACAATTATTGTCTTGTTCTACCCGTTTTAAGGCCGCCGTCATGGCGGCAGATAGGACAGTACCATGTGACCATTCAATCAGAAGAGAATCCTCTTGGAAGGCAGAGAGTGTAATAGGGTGGTCTGCTGCTCAACATGAGTTAGGAGGCTCTGGCTGTCCAAATTGTAATCCAATGGCCAAATTATTTAATTATGCAGGAAGGAAGGTTGAAATACGGGGGGAAGGGAGAAAAGGCGCCCACAGAGGTGAGACTTTAGTTTTATCTATTGCACTCGAGTCAGGCCTCCTGGCAGCTGGAGGACACAAAAAAACGTGAGAAAAAGATGAGAGCGTTCCCTCTCTTTTCCTCGTTAAATTGTGTGCAGCCTCCCTCACAGACAACAGGTAGTCACAAAACAGAATTTGTATTTGATGTAAGGCAGTTTGGTGTTTTGCAGAGAGCCCAGTTACACTTCTCTACCCCCGTCCTTTACACAGAGCAGCTAAAAACCACAAGCAAAAAATCCCACAAAGAAAGAAAACAAAAAAGAAAGAAAAAACAAAAATGAAATCTAACAGCCCTCCAAATTGACAATTCTAGTGAAGTGTAAAATGTGTAGTTTTTAATATGTAGTAAAATCTCAGTGGGATTTTATCATTTATCTTGTGATTTCATAATATAAATGTAGAGATTCACAACGCACTTCTTCCTCTTGATCTGCCTCCCGAGATGTCTTTATCAGCTGCAGCACAGACAACTGGCAGACGACCAAACAGCAAGCTGGTTTGTGATAAATAGATCACCAGTTTGTAGGCTCCACTAATTTCCTCAGTCATTATAAACAAGAGAGATGACTCCTTGAACAGTACCATCAGCAGGGCTCGATTTTATCCAGTCTTTTTAGAAAAAGAAAAAAAAAAAACAACCCTTAATTGGTCTTCACTTCTCATCTTGCGCGTCTTTTTAAATGTGATTTGATGAACATTTACAAAGTGTTCCAACTTGGTATGATTTGTCTCTGTTTCCCTGCAACTTCTTTTTGAATCCCAACTCCTCTATCTCTCCAGATTTCTGTAAAACATTCTGATCTTCAGTCAGTCCCAGTTCACAAAAGGATTTATTCCTCTTCCCTTTTGTTTTTCATTTGACAAATTCCTTTGGAATGGCATTTCCAGTCTTGAATGGATTTGTTGAGAAACTCATGCAGGGGTGTGCACAGTCACAGTAATGGTGATAAGACTTCTTTTTCATTTAGAGAGTAACATAATGATGACACTAAAACTTGATATGAAACATATCTGCAAAAAGGAGGTGAGGAGGGGGGAGGGGGGGGGGGGGGGGGGTTGGGGGGGGGGGGGGGGGGGGGGGGGGGGGGGGGGGGGGGCTATTTGGACTTGGGTGGGGTCTCTGGGAGGCAGGAGGGGAGCTCTGCACCGACGCAGAGGGGACGGCAGGGAGCTCAGAGCTTCTCTGAGGAGGGGATCCAGATGTAGGGACCAGACTGCTCCTCGATGATTAGCTTGATTTTGTTGTAGATCTCCTCTAGTGAGTCACCCTGTACAATAGCTGGAGACACAGACACAGAGGCAGATATACGTTGGCTGCATCAGACGTAGAGAGGAAACAATGGGTTGACTCACCAGATAATTAACACACAACAATTCTGATCATCTAAATAAAGCAAAAGTGACAAACATTTGCTTCTCAGATGTGAGAATTTGCTGATTTTCTGTGTTTTTGTGTTACAAATTTAATATACGAGTGCAGCGCCTGTTCAAAATGTGCTCATCCACACAACTTCACACTTGACAGTACGCTTCCTTGAGTCCTGAGCAATACACCTGCCATGACATAGTCCCTTGTAATACTTAAACATATGCCTCATGTGGGGTACAGAAGCTCACATGAACATTTTCCATTTTCCCTCAGTTTAAGTAAAGCCTTCATCCTTTCCTCATCTGCTCTTGAATGTACTGTCAGGAGCGACGGCGAGTGAGCAGTATCCAGCCCGCTGTTTGCATGTATCCTCAGTTGTAGCTGACAACTACAGAATTATCTTAATCAGATCTAACAACCAAAATATTTTCACATGGAGGTCCCTGAGCCAGATCTTATCACATGGGGGTCTGTGTCCACCCTCTGGACTTGCACATTGAGCCCTCGCTGACTTCAGTCGTACGTACTGTGACGAGTTCACTGTCATCTCGTAAAATCTGCGAGGGCAGAGACCGCAAGCTGCTGATAGACAGGCCTCAAGTCTGTTTGACTCATTGCCATGGAAACGTTCTAGGGACGATTACAATCATTTGCATGCTGATCGCTACTGTCATATTCTGTCAGCTCATCTGTCCCTGCACATAACAAGATATGAATCCTGTCTAGAGTTGTTTTGTGAATATATCTAAAGGTTTTTCTTCAGTTTTCTTTTATTAACCAATTAATCGAGAAAATAATTGACAGATCAAATATAAATCTTGATAAATCATCAGCTACAGCTCAAATCAGAACTACATATATTGATCAGTAAAGTTAAAGGGCAGTGAGACCAACCTGTGAAATACTCTCCAAAGTCTTGCTCCAGCTTAACTGCCTTGTCAAAGACTTTATTGGCCTGCTCGTACGTCTGCCTCTTATTCATTTCCCTGAAAAACACAGGAAGTTACCGTTAGTATCACAGAAACACTTAAATTCACTTACACATCAACTACAGTATCTATAAAAAGCTCAAACTTACATTAGGGCTTCAATGGATTTTGGTTTAATAAAGATGGCGATCGGATAAAGTTGTGCTTGCTGCAGTCGTTTTATGGCATTGCCGGACACGTCCAGGATGCAGTGCTTCCCCTGCTGGGACACAAAGAGACATATGTTTGGTTAAGAGCATGTATCATGTAAGTAGGTCACATATTCATGAAGGATTGATTGTGGTTTTTAGCCTGGCAAATAGGCAAATCTGCAAACTCATGTTTTATTTGCTCTGGCAGCGTCTACATCCTCTTCCGGTTTGCACAGATTACCAGGTGACCCGGCCCTGCTTAGGCCAATCACAACCATTTATCTAAAATGAGTTGGGTTTCAGAGGATGGCTAACAACTTGCTCAGCCTTCGAGCTTTGCACAAAATACGTGATGATGTGATTTTTGGCTTGTGCACCCTTGTGTGAAGAACACTGCAGTGAGCATAAACCTGACTTAAGAAAACGAGTGCTGTCAATGCATTTTTGACAACAATCAAGATGTCTTCAGCTGATGTGGAACTATCTCTTGAAGCACTATTTCATAGCAAACACTTGTTCACAGATATATTGATGCTACACCATCACGGCTCATCTCTGCATGCTGGGGTCTGTTTACATTAGTTCATCACTCAGCACTACATCGAGCGTTTTATTGCTGAGACGTTCCGAACTTTGCATTTGTAGTTTGGTCTGATTACGTCAGGCTATGTGGGTCTTGTAATGTTACAAAAATGAAGACTGCATATTAACATTTGCAAGTTGGTGGTGGAACATTTACCACAAATGTGGTTTTCTGATTTAGCAGGACACCTGTCGAGGTGGGGGAAAAATTGATTCTTAGATATGTTGTGATTTTGTCTTGAAAGACTATGTCTCAAAGCAGAAAAGTAAATAAATGGAAATTTGAAACTCAATTCTGGGGCTTTTTTTTTTTGCCTTTAACTGACAGGACAGTTTATTGGCGTGAAAGGGGAAGAGAGAGAGAGAGAGAGAGAGAGAGAGAGAGAGAGAGAGAGAGAGAGAGAGAGAGAGAGAGGAAATGGTGTGCAGCAAAGGGCTGTGGGTTAGAATTGAACCACTGCAGCAAGGACACAGCCTTTTCTACATGGGGTGCCCGTGCTACCAGATGAGCTAATAGATGCCACAGCCACAAACTAATTTGATAATCGATTTTATAATATAATAATAAGCGGTTTAAATATCTTGTAAAAAAAAAAAAAAGAAAGTCAAAATTCTCTGATTCCAGCTACTTCAATGTGAATATTTTCTGGTTTAATAAACTGAATATCTTTGGGTTGTGGATAAAACAAGATATTTGAGGACATCATCTTGGGCTTTGGGAAACACTGACGTTTTTCATCATTTTCTGACATTTTATAGACCAAACAACTAATTGATTAATCAACAAAATAATCAACAGTGATAATAATCGTTAGTTGCTGCCATATTATAAGTACGCAATGTTTTAGATGTAGCAAGTAGCCACACAATGAGAAAACATATAATGTATAGCAATCACAAATTTATGCATTGCATTGTAGCCCTCTCAGTCTGAATCAAATCACGAGGTGCTTAGAGATTCTCAGTCCTAGAAACCAAACATGCCTCTGGTTAAATCCCATAAACACCAAACCCAATCTGGTAACCACATCATACAGAGAAACACCAGCTTTGATGCTTACCCTCTCAGCCACAGTTCTGACAGACAAGATGCTCGTCCCATAGAGGTTCTCATTGAACTGGCCAGCCTCAATGAATTTATTATCCTGAATGTCTTTCTCCATTTGCTCTCGCGAGCCCACAAAGTGGTAGTCTTGGCCGTCCATCTCGTTCTCTCGCCTTGGACGAGTCGTATCTGCAGAGGGGGAACGGAACCAGTTCAGTTTTATCGCTGGTGTTATTTTTAGTTGTGCTGTGTCTGGATGCGTTTGCTGCTGTAAACTCACGGGGTACACAGGAGCCAAACTTGTGGGGGAACTCAGAGATGAGGTCATCATTTACTCTGTCCTTCATTGGACCCAGTATGATCACAGGCCTTGTGTAGTGAACTGAAGTGGAGATGAAGAGGACAGGTGAGGACAAATGTAGATACAGCTTAGTTAATGCTGTGAGTTCTGATAAATTGTGTTGCGGTGATTCACTCACTTTCCTGTCGAATGACTGGCTCATAGGAAAGAATCGTGTCCTCCTGGCCCTCTGCAATGACACAGAACAAAATCATCAGACAGTCTGCATCTGATTTCAAGACATATAATAAAGTTGTCATGGCTTATGAAACACTGAGAGGAATATTAATTTACAGATGTCATTTCACAGGTAAATTTCAGGACATCGACCATATTATTCATCTATGTGGGCAGTGTAAAAGAAACCATGAGAAATTAAGGTGACTCACTCGAACTGCTTTCACTGTCACTTGTGTTGGATGTCAGGCATTCTGCAAAAGCACAAGAGAGCAAGTTGCAGATCATTTAAAAAAACAGCCACAGTTAAATTCATATATATTCTTTTATGGGTGAAAATTATTTTCACCTGTCTCAAACAGCCATAGGGGGGGAAAAAGCACCCTGTTTCTCAACATCTAGGCCATTTAAAAAAATGGGATAAAGAAAGCAGAAGTCTTGCTTGGCACGGAAGCCATGCTCTCACAATATTAGGGAAGTGGTTTTTAGGTGCAAGCAATAGGAAATTAAGTGTTTCCTGTGACAGTATCCCAAATGACCCGCAATTCCCTGGCCAATGTTTCCTATTGCTAGATCTGTGCCTGTGGCGGCGGATCTCATATCAAGGAAAAGACAAAGAAAACATACAGGCGTTAGGCCGTCCACAGGAGGGAGGCAGGAGCTGGCTGACTCGGGGGAACTGGAGGGAAAAAGTGTTTGCAACCAGGCATAGCGACACTCTGCTCTGGTGACAGATATATTCCAGCTCTGTGTGACCTTATCTGACAAAACTGTGCTAAACATTTATCGTAAAGACCCCATGAGATGTTCAGAATAAGTGTAACGCTCACTCACCCTCCCTTGGGAATGCATATTTTATATGTGAATCTGAGGAGGTGTGTGTGTGTGTGTGTGTGTGTGTGTGTGTGTGTGTGTGTGTGTGTGTGTCACATACTGTAGGCCTGTGTGTGACTCTAAATGTGTGTGGTTTAGCATTCCCAGCTGGGTCTGCAGTGACAAAGCATTTTTCTCTGAGCTCAGGGGACAGCTGCTTGACACAGTACAACCACACACTTACTCAAACTCTTTGATCCATAAAAGTCATCGCTTAACCCTGGGAAGTCCTAGGTGTCCCGACAGGTGAGAGCAGAAACCAAGAGAAGAGAGCAGACAGGAAGAAGAAGAGGTTAGTGAGAGTCGGGGCAGAGAGGGAGAGGAGTGCTGCATCGTGCTCGCCAGGCCCACTGACACATGGCGCCGTGCTGTACTCATTAAGCCTGAGCCCCACTTTGTTCATAGTAAGCCACGGCCTTTCAATTACACAAGCCCAATCCCATTAAAATGGGATTTTGACCTGTTAAGTGTTAAAGCTTCAGTCCAGTTAATGAGATTCTTCTTGTTGTGGGTCAGTGACTGACTGGAATTGATCAGGACTTATACAAGGAGTAGCATCACGGTGTTAGAAGTGCCCGTGTGTGTTAATGCAGCCGAGCACATACACACACACACACGCAGCTGGCGGCACGCACTCCTCTGGAGCCCGTAGACAGATGCACAGACACACCAGAGAGAACCCCACATCTCCAGCCTGATGCCGGCTCTGCGTGTGGGGCGTCTCTCCGGGACAGTGAGAAAGGGATGAGAGTGGTGCCGTCACACAAACCATCCCTGGAGGTGAGCGGAAAGATGAAAGTTTGAGAGACAGAACTGAAGCATGAAGGGGGGAGAGGACGAAAAAACACCACCACCACCACCACCACCACCACCACCACCCCCGCCGCCTCGATCACACAGCTGGTACTCACGTTCAGACTCCACCAACTCCTGCACAATATTCTCCTTGCTCTTGTAAAACGGGAACTTGCGTGAGAGGTTGAAGCTTTTTTTGCGCTTTACTTTGACTGGCTGCTTGTCGATGTGTGGGTGAGAAGGGTGGGGAGGAAGGGAGGGGGGGCAACGAGAGGGTGAAAACAAAAACAGAATGGGTTTCAATGAGGGTACTCAACACCCATGCAAAAAAAAAACAAATGAAATGCAAACAATACACATCAAATAATGGAAATGAGAAGCAGGTAATGGGTGGAGATGAATGGCATATCAATGTGAAGGAAACAGGCTCCTGTTTACCAACTTAAACATGTACCATTTGCATTATAGATGATACAGACAAAACATTACAGCTGATTTATACTTGTGCAAATTACATCTGACAGATCAGCCTCTGACAAACGTTTTTACAAGTGCACATTTCTTAATATCACTGCAGTGCACGAGCTGTGGAGGTTACGGGGACCTCTCATCTCCAGGGAGCTTCTGTGTAATCTATACAGTAATACGAGCGCTTTTTGTGCTCGCTTCAGTGAGCAGGTGCTGGTCTCTTTCCCACACTCAGGGGGAAGTAGGCCATCTCCCTGGGAGCCCAGCAGCAGCTCTGAAGACAGCCTCTCTGGCACCAGGGCAGGGAGCAGCTGGCCCTCTACACTTACCCTGTTGGAGTCAATCATGCCTGTCCTGGCGTGGAACTTGACTGTTTTTAACCTGGCCCGCTCTTTCTTCTCCACTCTGAGGGGTGGGAAAAAAGAGGACTAAGTTTAAGCTGGGCACGAATGCTTGACGTCACATTAGCTTTGTCTGGCATCGGCGGAGTGAGCGTACCTTTTCTTGCTGGGAATGACCCCGATCTGCTCGCTCTCTCCATGTGGTGTGACCAGCCTCGCCTGCCACCACTCGTCGTCAGAAGCATTTATGACATGGAGGATGTCCCCATAAGAGAAGCTCAGTCCTTGGCTGGGCAGGCAGCTGTCCCTCGTTCGATCGTAGTCAAACAAAGCTCTGCGAAAACAAAAGGCTTTGGTTACACACCTTACTTCCTTTTATCTTGAATATGTGTGCAGAGATTACACACACAGCAAGATCAAATTACTCTGTCCGCACTTGGCACAAAATGGCAGCTATGAATTTCCTGCATTACATTATTGGCTACTTTTTCCTATTATTTCACAGTCCTCATGTGGGCAGTGACTTGACATACTGACAACATGTTAATACGTCTAATGTCTAAGTTGCATTGTGATTCATTATGATTCAGAGCCATCTCACTGCAGTTGTACCTTGTATGATTTCATGTGACAAATAAATTGACTGATATTAAATGTTTCAATTTTTGTGCCCTCAGTTCCGGATGTGAGTGGGTCTGTTTGCTCAAAAGATGCTTTGTCTCATAATGGTGCTTCACAGTGCCGCTCTTAATAACTGCCATAGTCTCTGAAACATATGATGAGATGTACTGGTTTTGAAGGGCCTGGCAGCCCATGGGAAGAGTGACCATGTCAGAGTCTGTCCATTCTTGATTAAAAGCTGTTTTCACTGTCTACTTTCTGTGTTCTCTTTATACAACACACCGTGTGAAATTACTTTTCTTTGACTCACTTGTTTCTCTGACTGTTGTCTCTCGTCTTGTCTCTCTTGTGTGTGTGTATCTCACCCACTCAGTCATAATGCTTATCAGAATGCACAGATCTGATAGGCTGAGCAGGATAATGTGAGATCATTTAATGCATGTAATTAGTCTATGTGTGTCCTGGTTGCTTGATCACCTCACTGTCACCTCATTAGCCCTTTCAACACTAAGGGGACTTTCACACCTGCCCTGTTTGGTTTGGTTCAATCGAACTCAAGTTGATTTGCTCCCTAAGTGTGGTTTGTTTGGGACCCTAATCCGAACCAACTGCAGTCACATGACACACTGTTTGGGTTAAACATGAGCATGTTACAGTCCTGGAGGATTATTAATGTGCACCTCCTCCTGTACTGCCTTCAACACATTGTTTTCTAGTTGGAGCTGCGCCTCGTTTTCAAACTGTATGGTTTGACTAAAGTGAACAATGACAGCAATATAGTCCACGATGACCAGCACTAAAATCAACCTGTTTAGTTGTCCCTCCATTGTGACATTAGAAAGTGTCACATTTATCTTGCAAGTGTACTCTTCTTCAACGTTTTGTTTATTTCCTGGATTTTTCCTGCATGGAAATTCTGACCAATCAAGAGCAGCTTTCTCACACCAGGCATTTGATCTGGTCTGCTTGTAAATGCTGCCGTGAGTACACGAACCAAGTCTCGGCAACTATGCAACTTTGTAACACCATTAATCCCTGATTTTGACCCCAGTGTGTGATTTTAGATAGCATGCTGGTGTTTCGGAAGCAAAGAGGCATGACGGATGTGATATGTAACACAACCCCATCTGCCTCTAGTGTGACATATAACATGTACTGTGTGTCAGGCAGCACTTTCTAAACATTAACAAAAGCATAACACAGCAATATCAATCATTTACCCTCCCTGTTAAAAGACAATAAGGAATCTCGTCCTCTGCTCAGAGGGTAAGGAGCTCCACGACCGTATTGGTTTGCTTGCGGACATTTTTGGTTGCCGTTCTTTTTCTGCGTTTTAAATCTTCTGGCAGTGGGTCGCACACAAACCATGTCTTTAAAACATCACACCTGTCCTGTTTAGCTGGCTGTCCGTTTTATACAGTCAATTTTGAGCAGTTACTACCTTCACTGCCAGCCACACATTCTGTGATCCGTGACCTTTTATACAGAACGATGAGGCAGAATATCGGCGCAACATTGCTGCTTTGAACAGGCAGCGTTAAAGGGGATACAGAAATGCTCTGTCAAATTTTTTATTATATTTATTGGGTATAGGTCTGGGTCGAAAAAGGACGATGTGTGGATCCAGACCCTGGGAATGGAGAGGGATGGCAGGGTAACGAGGGGGATGCATTCTGCTCATTTTGCTCAGGGACATGGCGCCCTGCCTAAAATTGCTGTTGTATGTAACCATATGAAAATAAGGTGGAAAGCAATGCCACATCCTCTTCTGAAGGACCTGTATATTACAGCCTTCCATTCATAAGTTTCCACTTGGCATTTTAAACCGCTGTTGCCACATAGTTTCCACTACAGACAAATACTGTTTATTGTCTGTCTGAGGGTGTCACTTTCTTGTCCAACAGGTAGACCCACAGTAATTTCTGAAATACCTGCTTTACAGGTTTTAACTTCCCTTGACCTACAAGCCTATATCTACAGGTCATATCTACAGGTCATGTACACCATGGTCCAGTGGACAGATACGATGAGGCCAAAAATACATTTTCACTCCCCGGATAAGATTTTGGCTGAGGTATTCCTGCTGAGTGAAACTGCAGCAATAAGTAAACAGTGCTGCAGAAACTGTCATGATGCAATCTAGTGGGAGCTTATCTGCCTGTGTGCTTAACGAGGAAACAAGTGCAGCATTAAAACAAGGAAACTGGTGCACTTATAATACAGGTGATAATCAAATTCCTAGCCTTATAGCGCCTTGACACACTTACAGAGAGTTTGGGAGAGAGTGTGAGTACATGTGACACTGTTTTTTTTTTTTTGAAAACACCTTAGAGGTTTAACGCCTCCACATTCCTGAGGCTGGGCTGGGAGGACATGGCGGCTCCTGCATCAGCCGGCTAGCTAGACAGCTTTTCCTACATAACTGTGGGCTTAGTCACCCGCACAGGAGCAGGCTAGGCTCTACATGCCTCATAGGAGCCTGTCTATAAGAGAGGCATGAGTCAGACTGGTTAACACTCCTCTCTGTATAGCGGGCGTCCAATGAGATAACACCTGTATACTTTTGATATATCCGAGTAAGGTCCATTGCTGTTGAACTTAAGCTAAATCAATCTAGTAATGTAGCTATTAGGCTTAGGTTAAGTGAAGCGCATTAGTGCTTTAGCAGAAATATGGCGAAGCACTTGGACTATGGAGTTACATCACACAGTCCTTTCACCTTGAACCCATGTGAATCCTTTGTGACTCGCCTGCTTTTATGTGAGCAGAAGGATGCCACCTGTTTTAATTCCTAAATGAGCCTCCATCCAGTTTGGCGACTGGCCCAAAGTGTCATAACGCAGGTCACTTCGACAAGCCCCACTGTCAATTGACATTACACAAAGCAGAGTCAATGTCATACGTGGTAGCACAACAACAACAGCGAATGTCTGTCCATCAACTTTATGATGATGATGAACTGTATCAGCCCAATGCCCTAAATTAAATGTTACCCTGTGTGAAGCATCATGTTTTATCCTACGATCTATGAGATACACGTCACGCTGCTGTGCTCTGACATCGTGGCTGCTCGTTGACGACACGTGCTTCCAGGCTTAATTTTCCCCCACAGGCAGGTAGAGGTTTATTATGCAAGAGAGGCTATTTTGACAACATATCTTAGAATCTGATGTTGTGAGTGTAAGCATTACTGTGTGTGTGTGTGTGTGTGTTCCAGCTTTACCTGACATAGAGGGAGCGTTTCTCACTGGTGCGAAGGGAGCCTGATCCAGAGCTCATGCTGCTATTCATCATCTGCTCCCTCAGGTCGTGGATCTTGGACTCGAAGCGACTATACTCTGCGGGGAGCAAACACAACAAACTGTGTCAAAAATAGGTCCTGGAGCATATGTTACCACTTTGGGCTTTAAAGTTTGTACACCCAAAGTTAAGGTGATGTTATTTAATAGTAGTGTTGGGTACCAAACTTGGTACTTTTAAGGGTCCAGATGGAATTAGGTCGGTACTACTGAGTACAGGTTCAGTTAAATCAATCAGAGCCAAATTTCGGTACCTCAGAGTGCACCTGGGTGAGAGCGCCAGGTTCAGAAAGGAGGCTGAAGCACCACAAAGTGCCCTGAAGCTGAGAGGCTGGCCACGGACCTCTGCTGGCTTCCCAGCGAGCTGAAACTAACACTGAAGTACTGTTTTGATCTATGTGGTCTGTCTTATTTTCTATTTTATTTTAGAAATAGCCTAGCATCACTGCTGCTCCTGACTGTGTTTAAATATCGTACTCATTCCGCATATTTGTAAGTCAAGTCTAAACAGAGCGAGAAACAGGAAAAGAAAAATTGCTTGTTGAGTGATGCTTGTTTTAATATTACAATTTCTTTATTAGCCTACACAAATAGTTAAGTACAGAAAAAAGGTACGGCTGGGTATCTGCCAAATTTGAGGTACTGCTATTGGTTAAAACATGAAGAGTAGCCCATCCTATCTAACAGGGGCCAAAAGTCTGTTAGACCCTGCTCTCTTGTTCCACTGGAGATCTGCTGGAGATCTGTGTGCCTCAGTTGACGCTGCAGTGAGCCGGAGTGAACAGAGGAAAGGGTTCAGCGAATCCTTAGGCTTAGATTAATGACCCCAGGAACAGATGGTTTATCACAGATCTGCCTTACACATCCAGTAATGTCTCATGTCAGGTAATTAATTACACAGATTAATTAAGTTCAACATGGGCTCTTTAGTGTGGTTAAAAAAAGGGAAGGCCTCCAACAATTTCAAATGCATGACCATTTGTCATAGGTGTGTAAATCCAGTTGCTGCTCAGGAGCACAGGGATGATATATGAATCCACCTGGACGTCCTCATTAAGAATGCTCTCATTAGCCCGCTGTGCGCAGCGAGCTCTGTGCCCAGGCTGCTGGAACAAGCTAGGCCACCGCACCACACAGCACACGGCTAGATAAACAGAGCGGCAGATGCAGCTAGAAAAACAAGTAGGCTAGGTAGCTCATGTGATCACACAAAGGAGGCGTTGGGACCACATAAAGAAGCAGCGTGAGCAACCAAATTTGACATATGGCATGTTTTTACAATTTGAAAGGAAAGTAACCACAGTAGAATTAAGTGTTAATGTTTCAATATTGTACTCAGGATTTCAGCTTCACATCATTAATGGCATGTGATAACAAATGCTTTTGCTCTAGTGACATATCTATGTCTTAATCATAATTAGCGAGAGAATATTGTCCACCTTTATTCCCCTTATCTCTTTTACTGCTTGCCCTTAGAGGTTGACTCCTACCTTACGGTTTAATCATCCAGAGCTGGCAACACTTCCTGTAATGTGAACGACAAGAGATCAAAGTCCAGACTCTATTGAGCAAACCTACAACAAGTAGCCTTGAAAAACAAACACCCATGCCTACAAAGATGATTTAGCCGAAGTTAGTCCGAGCTCCCGGAAAATTCTGGGCAGGTGCAAAAACAAGCCTCAGGTCGCTGAACTCAAACCCCCCGCCGAAACCTAAAGGGGATTCAAAGCAAACACACATCCTGCCCGAGGCCTCGTGCCAGCTCTCCACCCTGCTCTCTGCTCAAAGGGTTAAAAATACAACAGGGTGACGCTGCAAGGTGAGGTAACCAGACACCGCCTGACTGCCTGTAACCAAGAGCAACGTCCCAGCACTCCTAGAACGGGGACAGCACATGCGGAAACAGCCATTCAGACGAGTCCACTTGGCTCTCAGAGACAGGAGACATAAAAGAATGGCGGCCTGGGAGAGGAGGGGTTTGAGGGACAAGACAAAGAGTAGCTGAGGAGAGGGAGCAGTCTTAATGCCCTGCTTCACAATAACACCGACCCGAAGGGCCAGCTGAGAGCTGCGTCAGTAAGATAGTACTATGAGTAGCACAGGTGGAAGAGCTAAACGCTTTGCTTGTTCACATTCCTGACGTCCAAGTGACTCATCTGAACACTGTGGACATTCAGGAGGAGCAGGAGGAGCACTGATCTGCAACCAGCATTAAGCCTGTGTTGGGAGTTAGGGTGGGAATCATAAGCTAAACCATAAATTGCTGCCGCGCCTCGTTGTTAATGACGTCATCAGAATACAGGCAATTCTGCAACACAATCATCCTCTTACAGCACAGTACAGTGCATTACAGTATCTGTGTAACAGGGCAGGGAAACACGCTGTCATCTCTCATCAATCTGCCGCATGTACTTCCTTTAAGAGCTTTCAGTTGCCAGTAAACTGGATATGAAACAGTAAAGGAAGTGTACACCTGTTACACAGAAAAGGAAGGATACAGAAAGCACTGTGGTACTGGAGAGAGAGTATCACAACAGTGCCACAAGACAACTATACATTACACTGAAACCTGAGTACTGTATCGACTGTTAGTCCGACCTCAAATATCAAGCACATGGACGAACAGCGATGGGAATAAATCTCTCAAGTGTGCCAGCATTGTGAGGAAAGTAGATATAAACTAACATAAATCCAAGTCACAGCTGTAACAGCAGCATTCAGCCCTCAGATCGCTCACAAGTAAGGACACAAACGTAAGCAGTTTCTTTAACCAACTGCTGGCCACATGAATGATTAGACTGATTAATGATTAAAAGCCCAGTAGAAACGGGTGTCCTCGTGACATAGGGATTTAAGTGCTGACCATGAACTGAATTATCCTCAGGCTTCATCCGGCCTGGGACCTTTAATGCATGTCATTCCTCCTTTCGTTCTTGCTTCATTTCCTTTCAGCTAAAATGCAGTAAACATGTTTCCTTCATGGAAATTTTGAAGTTGACATGGGTCCATTTTTGCAGTAGAAGGGTAACGCCATCAATCCAAATTGCTGCTCACTCTGCCGGCCATTATTTAACACACAGCCGAACAAAACTGAAAAGATAAAATATAACTTGCCATTTGTATAGGATAGAACAACCATCTTTATTCATTACCGACAGTTATGGCTGTAGCCTACAGCAGCACATGCTTATATAACATAGAAACAGGCTAAATTATCTGATGACACTTAAGGCACAGACACGCCAAACTGACACCGAAGAACAACGTGGAGACTGTCACCTCACTTCACCTGTGTCTTTGATCTCACTCCCTCTTGACTTTAGTCATTTGATCGCTGTCCTCACTTCTGTTTCTCTTCTCGTGCATGGAGCAGAACTACCAGTCAGAGTGATTTCATTCACGGACGGGCTCTGGCGTCTCCGACAATTATTCAACAGGCTGAATCAGCTGACTGGTGCCAACAAGACGTTCATGAATGGCCAACGTCAGCTTGGTGTTTCAGGGCCCTTACAGCAAGTGTTACTGGTTCTAGATCAATATATCGATTCAGTGATCACCAATCCAATATCATTGATGCAAAGTAAAAATATCGATACATATTGTCATCTTAAGATTTATCTTTTTGACTCGTCTTTGTCACCATTTCCATCTAAGCACACCTCTTTCCGAAACATTCACACAGTGCTAGTGGCCTTGCAGATAATGGGAAGCAGCCAAGAAAAAGACGAGGATATTTAATCTATCACAGGCCCCTGAATTAAACTGAATCATATCATGTAAGTCTTTGGGATATCAGCAAATATCATACTGTTATCAAAAGAACTGATCTACTGTATCATGATGAAACTTGTCATTTTCACCCCCAATAATCACATTCACCTGGTTAAAACTGAGTCATAATAGAAAAATAAGACCTCCTTGCCTACTCCAACTCTATACAGTCATCAATCCAAAATCACTTATTCATTAACATCACTACTCACAAGAGCGCCACTGAAATGCTGGGAAACGGGAGTCCACAATTATTAACTTTAAAACTCTGTCCCTTAAAGCACAATACACAAGAGCTAGCCTATATTTTTAGGAGTGACCCACAGGAAGAAAAGACAGCTAATAGAAACTGGGACTATTCTGTATCTCTCACTCCCACTGCGTGTCCTCATTAGTTGTACAGCTTTTTATTTTGGGGGGACGGTCGCTTCTCTTTTGATCCAGTTATGCAACACAGCAGGCATGTACTTGTAATGTGAGAGTGTGTTATGTTCTCGAGTCAGTGCAGACACACCCCCCCTCCCCAATAATATACTACAGGAGGGACATTAAGACCACGGCTTAACTATTTCTGCAAACCTCTGTTATGCACACTGGTGGGCTGAGGGGCCATTGAGTTTAACATTTCCTCTACAGCCCTCCTCCCATTTCCTACATGCAAAGCTTTTTGTGTAATTACACTCCTTGATGGTGGGGCAAGGCAGCGCGTGGCTATACACCCCTTACTTCCATTCCTCCCAGCTGAATGTGAGTTAAAGACTTGGTGATGCTCCAGTAAGTCACTGAGAGTCACAAGAGAGGGGGGAGGGCTCCTGCTGCAGCTCCGTTGTGGCTTTTTGTAGTCTTCAGTGCTGGCCTTCCATCAGAGATCTGTGGACGCCCGGGCCCCGGCCCCCGAGAATACTCTCCAGGCAGTTTGCCCTGCATAAACCAGCATTCACCCTCCACTTCCTCCCCCTGACTGACTGTCCTTGTACATCTCACTGGGGGTTCCTCCTTCTCCATACTCAAACTCAACGACATGTCACACACCACTTTAGGATGCCAGCAGAATTAGTGGCGACAGATCTCAGGTCTCCAGTGGGGATGCAGGAAGTCAATCATTTGCCAGCACTCGGCTCGTGCGTTTTGAGTAGTTAAGCATTGTACACAAACAGATAAGTGTCCTCCACTGGGTTACAAAGGGGGCGCAGAGCTGAAAGCAGGATTTGGTATGGAAGACAAAGGTTCCCTTCAATGAACCACATCGTTATTCAAGATGCTGCCTGATTGGTCTGGCATGCGAGACAACATGAACTCACATGGACAAGAATGAAGCATTATAATCGGTATTTGGTAGCAGATGGAAAAACTACACTGCCATTCTGTCAGTTTTTATCTCAGCCTGTGTCTGTCTTTAGTCTACCCCCGTGCCCATTCACTGATCCCGTTCCATCTTAATTTCAATGATCTTGGAGAGTTATTGGACATTTGAGGCTTGGCTTTTATTCAAAGAGAAAGGAATATGGAGTGAAAGCATGCTACAACTCATGCCCCTTCACATTCCTGTCATAGTCCAACCTGAGAACTCAGCCTGCATCTAAAGCTCACAATATCCTTCCCATTGTTGTTACAGCATTACTGCAGCATGCTCAAGTACACATGCAAAGAATTACCAAAACACCGGGAAGAATGCGGCTGCCAAAGTAGCCTGCGATGCACGGCCAACCTACAATTTACTATTACAAAGAAAGCGCGGTGCCATTTTGTGAACTGGAGTCTGTGTAAATTAGAAAATAGCTCACAGGGCAGCCAACACATAAATTCTGCTCAAGTCAGCATGAACATGGACTTGTGGTCAGAGAGTCCAAAGAGTGGTGTGGCTCACAGATGTGATGTAAAGGTAAAGATGTGAGTTCACAGGTGAGGTCAGTGTCTGAAACCACCACCACTGAGCTGACAAACACCTGTCTGACCACACCTCTGTGTCCCCACCTAAGGGTTTGGGTTACATAAGAACAGTAAAGCAACTGTTTGAAGTACCTGAATGGATCCTGCTGCATATCAGTTACAGCATAAATCTACTTCAACTTGCTTTAAGCAGGAACTCTGAATAAGAAATGACAAACAAGAAGTCATTAAACCAAATAAACGCGGTTTCCAGGTAATGGAGTGGTTAAGTACAGTAGGGGTGAGGCTATCACATGTCTCCCACGGTGACTTATTAATGTCAAGCCTGATTAGAAGACTCTTCAACTCTTTCTGTGTAGTGTCTCAACCATTAAGGGGAGCATACAGTCTGTATGTAGTGTAAGGTTAACGTGACTACAGGAGTAAAACAACAGGTTACAGCTAGGAAGAGCAACACACACCACCTCGGTACAGTTACAGTAGCAGTCAAAATAAACCTGTTACCTCGCTCCGCTTGTTCCTGTTTCAATGTGTCAATATATTCCGCGACGGTCCTTCCTCTTCCCACCTCAACCAAACCAAACTGTGGCTATTATTTCGCCGGTTTCTTCATCCACTCACTAGGGAGTTCATGCGGCTTCTGCTCTGCTGCTGCTGCTGTTGTAGTCGAGCCCATCCCCCATCCACACAGGCTGGTAGACAGATAAAAGTTGGAAGTTTTTCCGTTTTCCACCTTCTGTCTAAAGTCTCCTTTTCTAAACTTTCCTCTGGTGTCTCAGCTCGCACTTTCCGCTCAGTGTCCTATTTCCTTCGCTGTCCGGGGTTTGTGCGCACGAACAGCGGGGCTCGGGGGTTTGAACAGGGAAGGACAACAGCGGCTCAGTTTGCCCGCCTTGTAGTTGGCTCACTTCAGCCTGCTGCTAACACAAGTGCCGCCCCTAAACCTGAATACTTCCTGCAGCCTTTCAGGAAGAGCGCTGGCCTCATTAGCAGACTGAGATATCACGCATCCACCGCCAAACGAGGTGGACCTGATGTTTCTTTGCAACCTTAAAGGAGCATTCCTGCGATTTAGTGCTGCATGTTCTTGAAGTCAGGGGGATTTTTACAAGTGGGTTGAAAAATGGCTTAAATAAAAGCAACAGAAGCGGAGATATCCTAACTGTTTCCCTAGTATGTTCCAACTAGGTTTCAAAATCATTGCATCCTACATTTCCCACAATGCAACTTACTACCTTTCACTACCTGGTGAATGCCCACAGCTTTTAAAGGGGAAGTGCGCATATTTGCTTTATGGCCCGAGAGTTGTGGTGCTTTCAATTTGCCCCGGGAAGTTGGAATTGTCGAATTCCTAGCTGGGAATTTTGGCTGAAACGCCCCCAGAAGTTGTATTTCCTGTTAAGAACATCAGAGAAACTTCACAAACCCTAACCTCAAAATCCAATATGGCTGCTCCGCACATCACCAGTAGTGAAAGATGCTGTAATGTACTGTTTATTAGCACGTCTTTCTTAATAGTGTCTCATTAAAACAGTTGTACACAACATAGTCCAACGTCTGAGGACATATGCAGTGTCTGTATGCGCAAAAATGCAGTGTAATATGTTGTTATCAACTGGTATTGCTAACAATGAACTGGTACTGCTAACCACATCTTGGTTTTCCAACTTGTTCTACTGGAGCAAGATCAACTCAGGTGTGACATAATTTCCAGCTCCAACCTCCAACTTCCAAGGTAGATGGAGCGCAGCATCATCAGTCCAAGCCTCCAAGAACAGTGCCAGACGGAATTGAATTTTACACAGTGGCAAAAAGCAAAATTACACTGTCTGGGGCCCAAAAATACATTTCCCCTTAGACTTATATTGTGAAAGAGATGTCGGTAAATCAGTGGATATATTTTTTGAGTGCATAACTCCCACAAAGTGACGTGTTTTACCACCAGTATTTGATCCATTTGGTCAAGTAACATTTCAAAAGTCTAGAAGAGCTGCAAGATTTAATAATTTTATCACCATTCAAGTTAGCGGAGCGCTAAAGCAGAAGTTAGCTGTTCGTCTGGCAGAAGTAAGCCACCAGTGCGCCTACTCTGTGGGCCTCATAATGTGGAAGATCTGGGTAATTTCAAACTGCAGAAAAAGAGCATTTCTGGCTTCATGAGCAGCTTTCATTGGAATGAAGGGGGGCCTGCCTCCGACACTGTATCCAGGTCTCTTAATACATCCATGCATCACTCCTGACTTCAAAATCCAATATGGCTGCTCCACACAACAAAAGTAATGAATGCTGCAGTTATATACTGTTAATTAGCACTTCTGTCTTATTTGTGTCTCATTAAAAAATACTGCGTTTTTATCAATTGGTATTGCTAGCAATGGCTAACCTGGCTAAAACTGGTATTATTAACATCTTGGTTTTCCATATCGTTGTATTGGAACGTTGTCAACTCAGGTGTGACATCACTACCAGCTCTGACCTCTTACTTCCGAAGTAAATGGAACACAGCTTTAGATGAGATACCAGTCTCTATGATGAATAAAGCTACCATCAGCAGACGGTTAGCTTTGCTTAGCACAACGACTGGGAACAGAGGGGAACAGCTGTACTGGCTCCGGTCAATGGGGAAAAACAAGCCAAATGGCACCTTGGAATGTAACACATGGTGTCTTGTGTGTTAAATCTGTACAAAAAATGAAGTGTAAAAACCAACATGTGTGATTTTGCAGGGGGTTATGTGCCAGACTAATTCCTGGAGTGTGGTCATCAATGTGAGTTTGCCAGGCAACCAGTGGAGACGCCAAAGTGACTCAATGTTTTTACACTGTGGTTTTTGTCTGAATTAAACAAACAATAAACAACCTTTGAATAAAGCCAGGCCTTCTGTTTCCTGTCTTTGTACTAAGCTAAGCTAACCTGCTGTTGGCGTTGCCTTTGTGTTTACTGTACAGACATAAGAGTGCCACTGATGTACTCAAAACCTGTATTTTCTCCAAATATCAAACTATTCCTTTAAAGTTGTTGCCTCTAGTTTATTGTGTAGGTGTTCTGTTATATATTTATAGACAAGTGAGATAATCTTGATGACATTAACAAGATAATTTCCTCAGACTTCAGAGAGCTACCTCCAGAGATACAAAATACATTCTAGAAACTTTTTTGAACTGATTATGATGTGTAAAATCAGTGCAGTGTCCCTTTAATTGTAAATTTAATAGAAAATTTGCATTCCTAAAATACAATGTCAACTAATAATATTTTAGCTGATATTGTGCTCATATTCTAATAAAATTGTGTTTAATCAAATTTCCACAAACTTAAAATAAATTAAGCATGACTCAAGCGTATCAGTACAGGTTGGAATTTGGAGGCAACATTGCGCAGACATTGATTCATGGGGGTCAGCAGGGGCTGGACAATAAACAATCAATACTTATCAGCCTTATCTGGCTCAAAATACTTTTGGTTGTTTGATCATAAATCTTTCCAACACAGCCCATCAATACTGTGAGCAAAAGAAGCCCTGGTTTGGCACAATATCGTGAAGTATTCATGTGTGATGTGAGACAGTATGGCCTCACCTTCAGGCCTGTACTGAGCTATGATGGTAACAGTCTGACCAGCTCTCTTCAGTGCTGCAGCCGCCTGCTCATGTGTGGCGTTTCTTAGGTTCACTCCATTCACCTGCAACAACCCAGGCAAACAAAAGAAATCTTTTAGCAAGAAAACCCAGAACAGATCCTACAGGTGTGCCGCTCGTCTAATTGTGAGGATGTGTAGAGGAAACAAGTCTAGCTGGATGGATCAGAGCTTAGATAAAATAAGATCTGCTCCCATCATGTAAAGGCTTGACCTTGAGTATGTTTCAAAATTATATGACTTTTACTGATTATAAATGACCTTGGCAATCACAAAAGGCATTACAATAAAGATGTTATTCACCATTAGATTGAATATTTTCAGGCTAAAGCAGCGCTGAAATAACACGGGTGTATATCAAGAGCAACACTGGATTCTGAAAAGGTTAAGAGTTATGAAATATAAGTCAAGGGGTTTAAATATGTAATTTATTGAATACTTTATTGATTCTCAAAATTCTCGTCTGGCAAAGCACAGCCAAGCTCCCTCGAAGTTACTGTGGATTTTATGTCTTGCTCAAGGACATTTCAGCAGGGCAGATGTTTGCAGGCTGTCTAAACACTGGGCCAACTCAATTCTATCATCATTATTCTGACAACGGGAGTTGGCTCAAACTTTTTGTTGATGTGGGCGAACAGAAACCATGAGATACTGCTTGAGATACTGACCGATAGAATCCGGTCGCCCCTCCTCAGCTCGCCACTCAGGTCAGCTGGCCCTCCCGCCAGGATAAAGGAGACGAAGATGCCTTCTCCATCTTCTCCGCCGACGATGTTGAAGCCCAGGCCTGTGGAGCCCTTGTGCAGCAACACCTTCCTCGGCTCCCTGCCAAACAGAGTAACAGGGTCAGGGTGAAGGGCAGGACAGATAGCATAGAGGAGATGGGCTTAGAGAGAGATATGACCATAACTAAAATAGAAACAGCATAAACAGAGGGGTACACAGAGGCTGTTTCAAACAACAGCCATCTTCTAGTGCATGATCCCAAAATGTTGAGTGCTGCAAGCCATAGGCCTGCAGATCTTTCTGTAGATCCACTCTGTATATACAGTTTTTGAAAGTTAGTGCCATGAATGATTTATCCACAGGACCGCTCACCAGTAGAACACAATGATTAACCATGTAGTAATCATGTACTAATCACACTGCTGATGATGTGGATTACACTGATAACACTGCAAACAGTTTTGCAATAGTATCTATTGCAATAAAACAAGCAGCAACACGTTTGACTCTGAATGCATATTATCTCCTGGCTATAAGACTTTCTGCTTTGCATGGCAATCTCATGGAAATGTACACACGTGTACACATTTAAACACCCACTCACTTTAACGTACGCAGACACAACGAGCCACCTCCTGCTCGACAGGCCCCGCTCTGCTTTAGCTTTAGCCACTATGACTCATCCTCCAGCAGGCTATTCAGACTGCCTCAGTTTTAAGATGCGATAGAGGCCAAACCGCTGCTATGGTCCAGCAAAAGCCCTCTGAGAACACACTTCACACAAGTGCAAACACACACACTCTAGGAAGCCCAGCGTTGGCCTCACACACACACACACGCATATTTTATACACAAATGCACACACAGACATACACGCATGCACGTACACACACACACACACACAGACGCACAGAGTTTCCTCTCTTAACAGAAAACACTGCATGGTTCCCATTAGTGGTCTTCTCTTGCAGTACTCAGCCTGCGGTCTACAGGAACAATTCCTACTCAATCCCTAATGGCTGCGCTCTAACTTGCTGTTAAGGCCATTTTCCCATCGATGGCAGCCGAGGCAGCATTCCAGACTTTCAGAATCATACCCATGACTGGAAAAAGCGTTGATTACTCCACTAAAAGAAATTAGGAGCATCGGAAAGTCCTAGACTATAAAACAGTGCCTACAGACAGACTTAACCAGACTGTTAAAGTGTAGTTGTTTGAAATGAACTGAACTCAGATGCAGATGATATTTTGTAAGGCCACTGAATAAGATCAATAGCAACATAGTGAGTCTGGGTCTGCAGGATTCCTTACAAGCAGTGTCTCTACAAGGCAGAATCAGGGACAGATTTAATTTACGTGTGCTGACAAAGCTTAAAACATTCTTGCTTTTTAGATCTTTTTAGTACCAGAGATAAAAAGTAAAATAAAAAACGAAATGTAACAAATGCCTTTGAATGTGCTAAAACAACTGACTTTCCTTCAAACAAGTCAAGCTTAAAATAACCTCACTTTCCATCTTGAGCTTTTCATCCCAGCTCGATGAGGCACACAGATCTCCATGGTTACCTTAGGATCCGGAAACGGTGCTTGCTTCTGAAAGAGCATTTCCTAACCGTGCGTTCAGGCAGGCTCCTCACCAGTGACATGGAGGATGAGATGTTGACTGTGAACATGGTGGCTACAGCACATCGGCCTCACTCCTCGACCCCTCTTCCTGTCTGGCCCTCCGCTGAGAGAGGGGCTGCACTTGTAGAAGCTCCTGCGTGTTCCCTATCTCATCCTTGTGTGCTGTGATGGGAAGCAGCTCCTCTTTGTGCTGTCACAAACGCTCTCTCCCCATCATCACCAGCAAGGCAAGACTTAACACTTAACCCTAGCGCTCCCACGCAAATCATCTTCGAGCAGTTCTGCAAGAGGAGGCCAAAGTCCCCCCTCACTGACATCTGGACTGACCAGGACTGCATTACATCACTAGCATCAGGGCTCGGCGGATGTGTCGAATTGGAGGTTATCCAAGTTTGATATCCTTTCACACCCTGCTGTCCCCGCGTCTCTACTCTGATGCTGCTTTGGGTCCAGCCCCCATCTCCAATGCAGCACACCAGCATTCCTGTCTGTCAGCCCAGGCCCTCTGGAGAATAGGCAGACAGATTCCCAGAAGCTCCTTGCTAATTTGTCAGAGTGTAAACAAACTGAGGAGCTCATGAACTGACTTTCATGACTTTCGGGCCTTTCATTCGCCCCCGTATTCTGTGACCTGGCTGCACGCTGGAAGCTAGACTTCCTCACAGGAAAATAATGTGCAGACTACTGTGGAACATTTGGACAACAAGGCCAGCGTCTCTTTATTATGTTACAGTCACTGGAGTATGCATGTGCGTGTCCGCATGTACTGTTTGCCCGTAGGATGTGCACCGGCTGGACATTGTCACAGAAAATGGGAGTGAATTCCTACAGTTTTACATACAGGGATCATGTCCTCCCCTCCTATCACAAGACCTGCCTACCCTCCCTTCCCCCCTTTGCCTTTTCATCCATGCCAGGAATGTAAACAGTTACAGAGCGGTAAAAACCCTTTCTCTCTGCCCAGCCATTTCTCCTGCGACTTCTTTTCTCTAAATCAGAACCCCCCCGCCTCACCCTGCCACCGCTGTATTCTCCCTGTCTGCTTCAGTGTTTTGGCTGAGGCAGTCGCAGCTCAGTCCTAAAGCTGTGAATGGATATCTGGGCTGCAGGGTTCAGCGGGTCATGCTGCCCTGGACTCAGCCCAGTAATTGGCTCTGCTTGGCTGATTAATGGTGGACGCTGCAGATGGACGCCATTTTCCACAGACAGACACTACCTCTTGCAGCACTTTTATCTCCCCCCCCGTTCCCCCGCATGGATCAGCTTATGTATAGAGGCGTGTACTGATAAAATTAAAATGCTGCTTTGTCTCTGTCTTCCTTTTCACTGCTTAAATTTCACCCTCACATTTTCTGCCTCTTCTTCATGGCCTGCTATTTTCTTCTCATTTGACATAGGGAAAAATTTATTCACTGCTAAGGTGATAGACAGTTTAAGATATTCCATGCCTCTGACTGTGACTAAGAATAAAATTGGAGCGATGAATGATTAACACCTAAGACAAGTGCTCAGCTGAATCTGCTGTCTTTCATTTCAAACTCCCCTTTGTGATTCTGCAGCTCTAAAAAGCACTTCATAAAAGTAAAAGCATTCCTCGTTATTGATGACTGAATTCTTGCGCTGACCAGTCAAAGGTTTTGTTTGTGTGTGTGCATGAGACACATAAGGTTACTGATTAGCTCACCTGCTGCAGTCCACAGGCTTCTGTATTTACATAAGCTGTGCCTGAACAAAGCAGCCTCACTGGAAGCATTGTCGTGTATATCTAACAACTGCAGCCCTGATAGGACCAGCAGACGGGAGCTGCTTGTTTAGTGATTCTGCACACTGTCACTACTGTACACAAGTATGTTTACACCAAACATGCATATTTAAACACAAAGGTTTTTATCTCTGATCGAGCCCAACGTGGACAGAGACAAGGATGCATGCCACTGACATATCTCCAGAAGAAGGGGGTAATATCAGATGACATATCTCCAGAAGAAGGGGGTAATATCAGATGGAGAAGGGGGAGGATGTGTCTGCGATGACACCACTGAGGGGGATGTGCAGATGGGCAGAGGGCCGATACAAGCTCTGACTCATTCCTCACAACCAGCCTGCTCCACTTCTGCGGAAGCCTGCGCTTACTACAGCATCCATCTAAAATAACCACTCCCGGATCAAGCCAATGGGGAAGCTGCTGGTGCTGGAGGGAGGTGTCTGCTATGTGTCTGTCAGTGTGATGGAGCTGGATGCTCATCTGCTGTGATTGGGATCAAGTCGGTTGTCTGCCATGACGTCCTCCGAGACACTCTTTTCTGATTATGCGGCGGACATGACACATAAACCCACTAGGGGCGAACAGGTGCACGTATGGTCACAGTATGTAGGCCGTTCTCATTTGCACCGCTGATTTACGAGTTGTCTGGCATGCGGGATGTATACCCACAGGTATGTGCCCGTGTGGTAATTGTGCACTGCACAATTTAAAGCGTGTGTATCTGTGCGTGTATGTGTCAGCACATTATGAGGAAATATTGCAGCGTACAGTATGTGTGTGTGTGATTGGTGCTGGCAGCATGGGTGATGAGAGGGGTAAGACCTGAGTGCATGGCCTGGTTTTCCCAATGTGCAGATGAATCATGACAGCTGCAGGACTGTCTACTGCTACTGGTCCGCTGGCCTGCACCGGATCAGGCTCTTACTCCCCCGTTACATTTATGGTAACAGCAAGGCTCAGTGTTTATATTTACATACATAGAGCAGCAGGCAAAACATTCCAATGCTGCAAAGCAGAATATTTGAGTTGGGCGGCTCCAGTTAGCCCTTTCATCCTCCTGTACTGTCCACAGCAACCTGCCTTGAGTTACAGCCACACCACAATCTGTTCTTTCCCCTTTCAAACACACACACTCACACGGTAAAACACATATTGGCAACAATACATGGCATATATGGCAGACAATGTAAGCTACGTTCAGCACAAGCACATTCCATAAAAGCAATGGTTCACACACACACAGAGACACCAGGGCATTCATCCATGAGGTGAAGCACGATGGGCAAGACTGTGGATGTTAATGTAATAAATAAGAGCAAATAAGTGAAACTAAATCAACAAACAAGAGGCCTTCTGCACATTTGGTGATGCCAAACACATTGCCATAAATATCATGTATATAATTGTCCTCACTCAGCAGTAGCCACCAGTGAAAGTAGCTTGGCCCGAGATGGAGGCTTAGTTTTGTCGATGCCTCCTGACAGATGGAATTGAGCAGCTTGTGGGAGCGTGAAGCCCTTTCGGCTGCACTCCCGTGGAGATGTGTTTGTGAAGAGCAGGTACGACTCCATTTTAAACTGTGATAAACAGGGCCCTATTGTTTTAGATTCAAAGATGCGAGCAGATTAGTAGAAAATTGATGGACAAATAATGACTGTGGGGTAGACCTTTGAAATGATGAAAAGTAGAGCAAAAAAAACAAAACAAACACACAAAGGGCAAGAAATAATAAGCTAATTTCCGATAAAACATTTCAGCTCTGCAGTCAATTTGCTTTGATAGTGTTTCGTTTTGCAGCACAGTTTGTGTGAAATCATGAAAGATTAAGTAGCCGCATATGAGTCAAACACTGAGTGTGTCACACAAACATAAAAAGCAGCAACATACAGCATACAAAGCAGTAAAGTAGACATAAAATGGGGAAACACTTACATGCAAAGCTAGAGACAGAAAGTGCAAAGAGGTCGCCATATTTCTCCTCTCAATCTTTTTCTTCTACTTGTGTAATTTGTGTAAAAATGTGTCGCAACATACTCCTGCTGAGGCAGTAGTCGCCCACTGGCCCTTCCCTGTCTGACGCCAGATCCACATGCTAAGCTATACAGAGGAGGGTTAGCTAAGCAAGGCGTGATGGACTAGGTTAGTACCTGCCAGAGAAGGGGAGTGGACCTTGGCACAAGGGAGCAGGGGAAGGACAGAAGCCTCTGTAGAGGGCCTGGGGCACCTTCATGTCCCCAGGTTTGTGGATGACACTGTAAATAGGTTCAGCCCTGCTGTGGGGTACAGGAATCACAGTGAACGGGACAAGTGTAGGACACAAATAAAGCACACACACCAACAAGGATGCGACAAATGCACATACAAGTCATGTAGACAGCTTGTACAAGGACATTACAGGGCCACATAACGAACACTCATCCAGTAACACATTCGCTCCACGACACACGGACACGCATACAACGCCTGCATGCAGTCACGCACACACAGGGGGAATACAGCCCCCCCCCCCCCCCCCCCCCCCCCCCCCCAAGCTGTGGGTTAAGATGACTCAAGGCCTTGTGGGGCACTCCAATCAAGCCTCTATGAATGCTACTTCTGATCCAGTACTTGGATAGGAGGTCAAAGGTTAAAACACAGTCATAACAAGTACAAGAAGTGACAAGAGGCCTCTCTGCAAAGTATTTGGTCAGCACACAGCCACCACACACTGTCAAGCTATAATACAGTCTGCACCACCCAGGTCCTGATGAGCTAAGATTGTAGACAAAGCATTGTTTTTGCTTCATGAAACACTTCATAAGGGCAATTTAAATTTCTGTACGTACAGGTGTTATTAAAATAAACCACACCACCTTATAGAACACCTAAAACAGCAACAAAATGGAGGCAAAGAGAAACCCATGCAAAACTAAAAAATAATATTCAAAGACTGTAATTTAATCCTATGCAATTTAGCTCCACACCCATTCGCCTTTACTTACAACTACAACAGCAAAAACACAATACGGCCTTTGGCTGATATCCACAAGCAGTCTACTGTATGTGCTACGATCATTCAAGTCTACACTCATAGAGCCTGTATGAGTGTAATGTATGAGAGCAGAGTCATTCATGGAGGAACCGGTCTGTAACCTACCTCGTGAAGTCTTCCTCCCCCAGCATATGACGGGGAACTGGCGAGTACCTGGACGGGGTGACCTGGGGTGGCGGGTACACTGGCTTGGGCTCCATCGCCCCCATGTAGTTGTGGCTGACGTGGTTGTCCGCCATGGTGGGGAAGGCTGGAGGGAGGGCCAGGCCAGTAGGGGGAAAGAAAGAATGATTACAACACAGGCACAACAGGAACGCTGCATAAGACGCAGGCAAACTGTGAATGAGGCAACAGTTTAGCCAGGTTATCTAAACCACTTTGGACAGAAGAAAGCTATAAATGAGTGCACCTGATGTCAGTAACAGTCCCTTTCAGTGCATGGAAATCTATACACACACAACTATGGCAAGTACAGCAGGTCAGAGTTGAACCAGGGAAGTCAGTGTGTGAGTTGTAAATGTTTAGACCTGACAGTCTGGGTAATAATTGTAACATTCGCCTTCTTCTTCTCTTCCAAAAAATTTTTAATAAGATCACTGCAGTTAACTTGAACAATTAATATTATTAGCAATATAAATGGTGGCCAAAACTACAAAATTAGGACCCAGGTTGTATGAAACCAAAATCTCCCAAAATGGCATTTAGGAAATTGGCTTCTTATACACACAAGATCATCTGTTGTATGTATGAACAAAGATGTTTCAGTGATCTGGACCTGATGTTGTTTTGAATCTGTCTATCTTCTTATCACCTCTTCTAAAAAGTTGGTTTAGTCTTTGTGCATGCACGCAAAAGACACAATTGCAAGCATGAAAAACACTCTTTCCCTCTGAATTTACATTCTTGATGGAGGCCGCGATTTGAAACAAGCGTTTCAAATCCAGATCATCTGACCATGGGGTTATACTGTCAGAGCGGGGTTAAGTCTGTATTAAGGGTTCACTTAAAACCCTTACGACTGCAAACATTCAGAACATACAAAAAAGCCCTCAGTAGCCCCCCTCTAATACTAAATCACTGTTCTGTGGAAATTTGAGAAGCTGCAGCTCAAGATCGTGGGCTCTCATGAGCAGGTGGGATGTGAGAAACCATCCACACTCAGTGGGAGGCAGAGAACTGCGCTTGTTGTTGCTGTGGGTAGGATTTGTGTGTGTGTGTGTGTGTGTGTGTGTGTGTGTGTGCAAGCATTCACTACATTCAGTATGTGGGTGTCTGGGCATAGCAGTTTTGGGGAGAGAACAGTGATCCAACACTAACATTCAACATCTCTGATAAAGATGAAAAGATTATTCCCAGTGCAAAACGCTCTAACATGGACACCGGCTTATAAATCACCCTTTACCTTACGTCAAACATTTCATATAAATAAACCTGATCTAGTTTGGAAGCTGGCTGCTATGTGGGAAAGCGCAGTGATTCCCTACCTAGGGGTTACTTCTGCAGTTGCCTGGGGGTACGTGGAAAGATTGTAACTCAACTAATTTGATAAGATATAAATTATGATTTGATTAAAATAATATTTCAACATATTAAGTCAGCTATAACACAGACACACTACATATTACAGTTGTGTAAGAGTGCATTAAAACTAGTTAGCAAGCACATAAGTTTAAACAGGTAGCTTAAAGTAATAAATAACAAATAGACTAAACAGTTCAAATGATGAGATAAAAGTACAGTCCCTCCAAGATTTTGCAGGCTGTTTTGCAACCTGAAATGCCTGATTTCATGGCAGCTTTTCTCAAATATTGCCATGCAATGAATGTTGCGATGTTTATAGGTGTTTTTTCTTTTTCTGCAATGAAATTGTTGGGGAAAGTGAAAAATGCAAAACTGGTTATGATGCTGTCCAGGATTAGGAGCATATTATTATAAGCATTCAGTGTTAACCATAGAATTAGAGGGGTTGGGGGGGTGTAAGGCAGCAACAGTGGATTGCTGCTGATCAGCTGTTAATGCTGATCAATGCAGTGCTGAAGGACCATTCCCGTGAAAAGCTCTCCTCCTGCTCTCTCTGCCCGGTTAGCATGATCTAACAAAGCACAATGTGATCTCATCACTACATGTCATATTTTGCCAATTGGGCAGAAGCCCCACAGCAGAGGTTAACATCTGACACCAAGCTGTTAATCACACACCGACACTGAAACGGCTTGACTCTGTTGCTAAACCTGTTAACAACTGTTGAGTAATGTTAGCTTTGTTAGCTTTCTGTGCTAACAGCTAGCCCTGTCACTGTGTGTGATTGATTCTGTCTCGGCAAAGAGCTCTGTTCCCACGACAGAAATAGCTAAAAGTAATGGATAAATGGTTGAAATAGCTAGAAGTAATGAAGAGACAGTTGATTTGGCTAAAAGTAATGTTGAAAGGTTGACGGCTAACTGTTAAGTCATGGATAAATGGTTTAAATAGTTAACTTAAAGTAATCGATAGAGGGTTGAAGTTAGCTAAAAGTGACGCCTAAGGGTTAAGTCATTAATAAAGAGTTGAAACAGTTAGCTAACGGTAACAGCTAACGGTTAAGTCATGAATAAAGGGTTGAAACAGTGAGCTAAAAGTGACGCTAACGGTTAAGTCATGGATAAAGAGTTGAAACAGTTAGCTAATGGTAACAGCTAACGGTTAAGTCATGAATAAAGTGTTGAAAGAGTTAGCTTAAAGTGACGGCTAACAGGTAAGTCATGGAAAAAGGGTTGAAACAGTTAGCTTAAAGTAACGGCTAACGGTTAAGTCATGGAAAAAGGGTGAAAACAGTTAGCTAAAAGTGACGGCTAATAGTTGAGTCATGGATAAAGGGTTGAAACAGTTAGCTAAAAGTAACGGCTAATGGTTAAGTCATGGATAAAGGGTTAAAACAGTTAGCTTAAAGTAACGGCTAATAGTTGAGTCATGGATAAAGGGTTTAAACAGTTGGCTAAAAGTTACGGCTAACGGTTAAGTCATGGATACAGGGTTCAAACAGTTAGCTTAAAGCCATGGATAACTATTAGGTCATGGATAAAGGGTCGAAACAGTTAGCTAAAAGTGACGGCTAATAGTTGAGTCATGGATAAAGGGTTGAAACAGTTAGATAAAAGTAACATCTCCTGGTTAAGTCATGAATAAATGGTTGAAATAGTTAGCTAAAAGTAATGAACAAATGGTTGACACAGTTATCTTAAAACAATGGACAACTGTTAGGCCATGGATAAAGGGTTGAAACAGTTAGCTTAAAGTAATGGATAAATGGTTTAAACTCCAAGTAGTAGTTGTGTTAGCAGCCGACCAACCAAACTAAATATTGTCTGTTAAATTGATTTTTTTCAACAGTATCCCCTATTTTATATTGAATAGTGTTCTACATTTGGAACATACATTGGTAATCTGGGAAGGGGTATGTGATTTCATCTGACAGGGCTGTGGGGGTACCTGGGTGGGAACCAATGGATCAGTGAATATAAATTGTAGTTTCTGACTTAGGCAGTGTGTGAACAGTGTTTGCATCACGACCAGGATGAATGGAACAACAAGAAGAGGTAGATACGTACTGCTGGAGTAGTCTGGAGGGGCGTACATGTCATTGAGATGCACAGGCCCAGGCTTGGCCACCTTGAGGTAAACCATATCAGAGGTGTTCTTCAGCGCAGCCACTGCCTCCTCATGACGCACATCCTGTAGCACGATGTTGTTCACCTGAATGTGATGATTGTCGAGAAAAGATAGGAGGAAAGAAAAAAAAAAACCTTGTATCAACACTTGAACACCTCGTGTCTTTGCTGCACTGTGACAACATCACGCATCACAGCAGCCATCACACCAGCCAACACAATAATGAATCATAGCTTGAAGGTATTATGAGATTTCAGTACATTTCAACAGCAGAGTGAAAGGTTGGTGTGCTGCGCAGCGTTAACAGAGGTCAAAAGCAGTAGGTAGAGGTTCTAAAGATGCTCTGAATTTCTGCAGTTTCTCTTTTAAGATCCAATTCCCTGGAAATATACTGTCAGTCAAAAGTTTTTAAACACCTCATATATTATATCAGCATTTAGTTAAATCTGAAGCAACGTCCTCTTTGTAAATAACTCACAGTGCAGTGAGAATTGGTTGAGATTTTAGATAACTGCAAATATCCTGGATCTTGATCACTCTAATTAGACACCTGGTGTACATTAAAGTTGAAGCTATACTGTAGATTTGTGACTGTCAATTGTCTCTCTGTGGTCTTTTCAGCATCTAGATGCCTTTTTGTAATGTAAGGTACAACAAATATCTCAGGCAGCTTTTCATTTCTCAGAGGAGCAACAGCTTGCCTTTTCTGTTGTAAACTGATTCTTAACTGCCAAAACGATGCCTGAGATTGTATTTTATCAGCTGTCACTTGTCTAATGGGATATTTTAGTGCTTTTTAAAAATTATTTTCAATTAACTCTTAGCAGTTTGTGATAAGGATCTTGTGCAGCTGCAGAAATAAAACTTAAAAAAGCCATTAGAGGAAAGTCATTGAAAAACAAAGAAAAGGTAAAGAAATAATGAGGGTGGCTTCCATTATTATTTATGTTTTGTATTCTAATTTGTGCTTTACTATGAGCTGCTGCACTGGAGAGGTCAAGCCGATACACAGGGTGTTAAAAACATGTTGTACGCTGGTTAAAACTACTTAATTTAAGATGCAGTGTTTGCCCAACCAGCTGGAAGTCGTTTCCAATAAAATGAAAAGTCACATATATGTGTCTCAAAGATTTATTTAAAGTTAAAAGTGATTAAAAACTTTTGACTGGTGTTGTATTTGTATTTTAGGTGTAAAATATTCAGTAAAGCAACGTGTCTGTTTATGTATTCTGTAATAATGAGAGCTAAGTGATGCAGCCTTAAACTAATATAATTTCTTACTTGTATGTCTAACTAATGGGCCATTTTATTGTCTCACCTCATGACCCAAATGGCAAATGATCAATCACGCACAGTGTCATAAATGTTGATGTGTGTTGTCTGTCTTGCTAAGCTCAATATGACGGGATGGGGCAACCAACCACATAATGTACTGCAGTGTACCTAACATGTCCCATAAACGTGTTTGTAATTACTTCTAACAACTTAATTTGCCAGTGAACTACATGACCACCTAAAATGAGTTTATTTTGGTTTGAACACTGAATATGTGAGTGAGTCACAGGGAGGCTCGTACAGCTAGCAGGCGGTCTCCAGTCTGCAGCCGTCCATCTTTCTGGGCAGCTCCTCCCTCTATGATCTTGGTAATATAGATGCTGTTGTCTCCTGGGATATGTTGGTTGCCGATCCCTCCGGCGATACTGAATCCAAGCCCTGGTTGAGTAACACACACAGTCAGACAGTCAATACGTGCACTTAAGAATTGCCTCTGATTTTACACATTTTTAGACACATATTCCATGTCTGGAGCTGCTTCCTCTCTGCTGCATACTTCACTACTGAGTAAATGTTGCTCTCAAAGTGCAGTCTTTGTCTATGTTTCCAAATTTAATGCTCATTTATTCTGAGAAAGCAAGTTAAACCCTCACCTGTATTAACAAATGTGTCTTTAATGATTCTAGACAATGTATAACTTCATCTTCAAGCAGCTCGCATGACAATGGACTAATATATTTCCATCTTAGTAAGGATGCACCGATACTGATATCAGATATCTGGCCGATACTGACTCAAACAGCTGTGTTGGATATTGGTGACAATTTGCACTGCACTCATACGTTGAAACGCTTCACCTACTGTCTGTTCCCCCCTGGTTAAGATCATTAGCTCTGTCAGCACTGTTGCAGTTATCTAGCAACATAGAGTGAGCACAGTTAGCTGCTAGCTGTCGTCTCAGCCACCTCCATGTTGAGAACCCTGTTCAGACGGCTCATATGCTCTGACTTTTGCACAGAGCTCTTTAATAATGAATAACAGTTAAGTAAATTTAAATCAGTGTATTTATTTGTCACATTTTGTTTTACAAAATTAGGAGAGCGGTGTTTTGAGTTAAGCCTGATGTTGCCTTACACATAAAAAAAAAAAGATCCCAGTCACTTCCACACACTGAGGCATACAGCTTATTAATCAAACACTGGTATCAGACTGGTACTCGGTATCAGCAGACACCCAAAGCCCAGGTATCGAGACTCAAAAAGTCAGATTGGTGCATTCCTTCATCTACGTGTGTGATAAGTGGGATGTGTCCCTGACCTTTGGGTCCTTTCAGCAGGTTGACCTCCAGAATCGTCTCGGGTGGTGCCTGCCTCCGTCGGACCAGCAGCCTCACCACGGGCCCTGCCTCCTTCAGGGCTTCCACTGCCCGACTGTGAACCACCTCAGACACGTCCACATCGTTCACCCGCAGCACACAGTCATTCACCCTGTGGAAGGGGGAAAAAAAGCTTTAATATATATATCACACACACCACCCTGTCAGTCAACAGATAAGAGCGCTGCACAAAGGCAGGGAGAGACCCAAGCATGGCCAATGTAATCAGAAACCTCCAAAGCACATAAAAAAGCACTCCACATCATAATTTTTGCATGTTTCAGGCTTTGGTTTTTCCAGTGAATCATAACTTTGAGGAAACACACAGAGCCTGGGGGCAGAGGGCTGTAGAAACTCTGCCTCCCACACAGCACTGCCTGGCGGGACATGGCGGTGCTGAGCTTTAAAGAAAGAGTAGGGAGGTTAGAGTAGAGAGAGGACAGAGGGTGCACAGGAGCTTGAAAGGAGTGGAAGGAAAGAGCGAGGTGAGGAGGAGGAGGAGGAGGAGAGGGAGGGTGACATGGTGAGGGGAACTTACCCCAGCCTTCCATCCATAGCAGCTGCTCCTCCTGGGATGATCTTGGTGATGAAGATCCCCGGATCATCAGGAATGTGGGGATTGTCTATTCCTCCAGCAATGCTAAAGCCCAGGCCAGAGTTCCCCTGCACACAGGTTATGATTGGCATTTTCAGTTGGGTACAATAAACAGCACGTACACTTAGATGTAAGTGATAGACCCAATGAGGGCTCAGGATCAGAGCAATGTAGCTCTTAAGTGTATTAGTATCTCAGTGGAACACGTGATCGATGCAAACTGCTGCGGGGATTTCTCCACACGCTTCTGATGTCCATTTTCATGAATATCTGTGTGTGTGTGTCCTTGCATGTGACAAAAAATAATGCCATGTATTTCATTAGAAGAGGGCACTTCATTCAAAATGTCACGCTTATTCCATCAACCCACACAGAAGCGTCAGTGTTAGAACTGTCAACAGAGAAGTGGATTTATGATCTAAAGTAAAGATGTGTCGAGAAGCGTCATTTCCATCGCATGATACAGAGCTTCTTGCTCTCTGCGGGAGACAGACACTACCACCTCCCGTCTCTCCTGTCCGTGAAATGACAGAGGACCCATTTGGATCCAGTGGGTCAAGGCCGCACTGCTGCATCTGACAGCCGTGGCCACAGAGACAGGCAGCAAACAAGACAGCTGAGAAAGACTTCACTTTATTATTTTCTATAATTAATGAGCAACAGTCGCAACAAATTAGGACAGAGGGAGGCTGAGGCCTCCCAGTGTGCTGCTCTGGAGCCGAGAGGAGTACACTGGGCCTTACCACCAAATGTTACACACCCACAGACCTTTTAAAGTGTGACTTCGCATAGCTTATTTAAGCTTTCCGCATGCAGAAATGCCACTTAGAGCGGAAGGGCCAGAGAGGTAGTGTGCATCTATCATGGGATCGGAGGTGCATCTATATGTGGGTGGAATAATGAGAGCAGAAGCATATAGCTCTACCACTACAAGCTGAACCGCCACTGACAAGTGCAGCGGTGCCTGCTGAACAATTGAACAGGAGAGCACTTTACATTTCTGGCGTCTGCTGATGACATGTGCATTAGGATTATGTAAAAAGCGGTGCCTCGCTGGCGTTATTCTGCGCTCATACTCACATGAGGCATTCTTACTGCAGTGATGTAACAGCTGCAACTTCTCTTACACACATCATATCGCATTTGATTCTCAGAAATGTACAGAAATTAAGATTTTTGTTTGGTTTTCATGTTCTTTGAGCTCAATGAGTGAAGACTGAGTGGCTTACTACCACCTAGTGGGGAGAAATCCATCCATCATCCTAAATATAAAGAGGAATGTGTAAACTGTGGAAATAAATGGTGCAACTCACCCTCTCTAGAATGATCTCTTCATATTTATACATCCCATCACTGCCATTTACCTGTCAAAATAAAGAGCACAATGGTTAGTTTCATCGCTGAGCCTAAAAATATAGTAAGAGACAAGGGAGGCATGCAAATGTTTCAGCTAAATCCTTCGCCATATGATACAGAGTGGACATATGTACAGATTGGATACAGAGAGCCATGGAGAATGGGATTACTGACAAAATACACAGAATATACGTTCAACTAAATTAAAATAACACCATGAATTTCTGATTTGTTGCAATTAAAAGTGTCTTTCTTTTCTTAGAATGCGCATGCACTGTGAAACTAAATGTGCAACTGCAGAATGCACATTCACTACAAACAGGCAGGGTCAATAGGATAATGGATGTCGGTCCACATGGCAAACAGCATGTTGCTACCAGGAGGAGGCCTTTTCATCCACACACACACACGCGCGCGCGCACACACACACACGCTCATGCGCTGACACAGAGGGAGTGTGAATGAGGGAGATATATACTGTACAGAGAGAGAGAACAGATACTTACATAAGGGCCTGCATCTAGTGAGTCTGCGTTGACGATGATGGGGGGAGGGTTGGCCTGTGAATATGAAAAGATACACATTATCTCAGTGTGTGAGGCTGGCAGCACGCAGACGTAATGCGGTACACACACTATCACTTGGGAGCAAAGTGAACGGATGCCATGGGAACAGTGGGTGAATCTCCTTGGGGATGAGGCTGTGTGTTTGCGTGTGTAGGTGGGCATGTTGGCAAAGGTGTGAGGACTGAGAATGAGGACTGGGGCAGAGAGACCACTGCTTATTAACCGTCACAGCCGGACGTCCTGCGGTCACCTCATAACAGAAGCCGCTGTGTGGTTCTGGCTGTTGGGACAATACGTTTATCCCACACATCCTTTTCACTTTCATTTCACACGCAGAAATAACACCATGTAGTATCACATACAAAATAACCATTCAGGAACATGACGAGAATTCAAGACCAAATATTTTATTCTATAATTCAGGGTGTCAGGTTTAATTTATATGTGTAATGCTGAAATGATTCGTTGATTAATTGGTTTGACAACTAACAGAGAAGTATTTTAAATTGTCAGTAATTGTTTAAGCAAGAATACCAAACATTTACTGTCTCCAGTGTCTCAAATATAAGCTTTTTTCTGATTAATATCTTTGTGAAATAAATCCTGTCTCTGTTTGGATTCTTGGTTGAATAAAACAAACAATTTAAAGATATCACCTTGTGCTCTGGGAAATTTTCGCTGGGCTATTTTTTTTTTACTATATTCTGATATCTTTTAGGCTAAAAGTGCTCATTAGTTACAGCCCTAGATATGCGCTAAATATCTGTTTAATGTAGAATTAATGTGTTATTTTAGCAAATAGAGCTGAAAAAAAAGTCAATTAATCATTAAATTAATCGAAAGAAAATCAGTTGTGAATCATTCTGATGATCGATTCATCGTTGAAGTAATTTCTCAAGGAAAAAAAAGGTGCCTTCAGCTTCTTGAAACGTGAGCACTTGCTGCTTCTCTTGATTTTATACCATTGCAAACTGAAAATCTTTGATTTCTGTTCAAACAGAACAAGACATATGAAGGTGTCATATTGGGTTCTGGAAAATTGTGTTGAATTGTGTCACTGATTTCTTAAAAAAGAATCAATTAATTGTCAAAAATAATCACTAGATAAATCAATAATGATTGCAAATAATTCTGAATGTCTAAGCTAATTTATCCTGCTCTTTCTCCTGCCATTTAATAGCTTAGTAGACAACTTAACAATGTAATTAATATGGACCCTAAATGCTATGTTAGATGCACCCCTCTGTAGCATGAACACTGCTTCACTGAAAACACTGATTACTCTTGAAAAGGGTCAAATAGATATTGGTAATATTGATGCACAGTATCAGTGTCTCCCTTTAAAACCCAGTTAGACCTAACTACAGGTGCTACAAATTAAGTGTCACAGTTCAATTAACTTCCCAGCTCGGCTCTATTGTGCCACCTGGTGTTTCTTTTTCCATCTGAGGCCTGCAGAGCGACGAAGACGCTGAGAGGAAAAGCTGCCCGAGTGGAAACAGAGAAGCAGAGGAGTGAAGGAGGAGACGCTGGTTGGTTTAGGAGCAGCTTGATGGCCGTCCTCTAGTTCAGCACACCGGCTGTCTACCTTTTATTGATTTGATTGAGCTGTGTGGGTGAGGGGATGCTGACGGCGCTGCTCGGGGACCTTGCACTTCCTGAGGTCCGACGCTGAGGAGAAAATCACTAGCTGCCTATCTTAGCCCTCCTCTCAACCACCTCCCCCTCCTCCACCCTCTCAGCTCTGTCTTAATATATGCAGATACTGGCTGTGTCCAAGCAGCTGATTTTGATCTTCCTCCTGATTCATCATGTGCCATTTGCTTGTGTATTGTGAAACTGCCCGCAGTGATATCTGTGAAAGATTGACAGTCTGTGGCTCTCATACAATATTAGATGTACACTAATCTCTGTGAAGAGATATCTGCATATGTGTCCAGAGTCTGTAGGCAATGGTACAAGATTTTGGAATCAAAGGCATTCTGGTTTCAATTTGTAGTCCGTTTGTAGTCCAGGTAGTATTGACCAATCACGTTTGAGCAGCAGATATACAGTCCATGTGGAGAAGCAGAACGCATGGGCCGAAATGCAATCTGGTACCCTTCGATTTAGCTTTATATTTTTTATTTACTTATCTGCATCCATATGCAGATATATGTTTACAGAGATAAGACAAAATGACTAGCACTGGAACACTCGAATGGATGGATGTATATTGAGTTAGAGTAGGTAAAAAAACAATGAGATTTAAATGTAATTTGGGATTTGGTTATGGTAACATCACAATATATCTTATTTTTTAAGGGCTTAAAGTCTGCTTTATAGTTTACTGATTGAATATTTTTTATTATTTATTATTTGAGTGTTTTATCTTAATAAAATGCAGAGAATAATTATACTTGATACATTCACATTACAAACTATTCTGTAGGTGTTTCAAAAGCTCCCGTGGTGAGTCCCACATTATATTATCAAATGTTGATATTTGTTTTATGATATCACTGTAACTGTCAATATCACTCTGCACACAATCCCATCTGGTTCTTTTTTCATAGGTGTAAAATTCTCATCTGAATTTCCAGAAAATGTTCTATATCACAATAAATATAAATATATACACTACACTCTATAGTGAGCACTATAAACCCAGTCAGCTATCATGGTGTCTATAGTTTTTTATTGTGCCGCTGACACATATTAAAAAAAAACAAAGATTCAGAGACAATTTTCAGTTAAAATAAAAAGACTGGGACGTCTGGCAAGTCAGGTTATTTCATCATATTGATCACATAAACATCCAAAAGCCAGGCCTTATCAGTGAATTACAAAATTTATCATGATGTCATAATAAATCCAGAGATATTAATGATATAGTATGCAGGATTTTCCTATTACACTCATATACACTCGTACAAAATAATTACTCTCAACCATCACTTATGACCCAGTGGAAGTGTGTGGCGGTTTTTCTGCCTATATTTTCTTGTTTTGTTTCAGATGTTCCTAGACACAGTGCGCAGGTGTGATCGGGACTTTATAAAAAGGTGCCAGACTGTAAGCATCAGGTATCCAAGAGGAAGCTACGAAAATTGTGGACACAATGTAGAAAAAAACAACCAAAAAGATAAAAATTCCATTAAAAGCCTAGTCCAAATTAAATGCCCAGTCCATTTAATTACCCTGGTGTGGCTACACATTTTGACAAATAAAGGTCTGTCTCAATTAGACACCTGGTCTGGTTGCCAAGCAATTCTTTTTAATAGAATTTCTTTGGATGCATAAAACCGGGTTGTTGGCTACCCACTTGAGCTAATGTTACTTAGCTGCTTAGATCGCACATACAAGGGCATGCCCAGTGCTGTAACCCTAGGGTGTCGTAAAACAAGTGTTGTAACTAACTCTCCCTCTCTGATGCGCTATCTGTCTGCAGCCTAAGTTTTATACAAGTATTGTTCATACTGGTTCAAATAAACAATTTGATTGTATTCCCTCATCTTTGGTGAGCAACAGCTTTGTGTGAAAGGAATTAAAGGCCTGTCCCCTACAGACGCCTGTTCTAAATATAGGCCCACTGAGTTCAGTTATTTAAGCAAATAATAGCCCAAGCTACTAATTGAAGTTTTACAGTATACATATAGCAAGGTGAATAGTATATATCATCATATGACCCAATCCTAACTACCTAATGATCATATTGCCAACCTCTATTTGTTCCATGAACTATTTATTTTCAGCCCTTTAAATATGAACTCTATGAAAACCATCTAAGATTACACTACTTGAGCAGTATTTAAAAAGCACTGAAGGGTTTTCAAGTTGCATGAGGCTGCAACACGAGACAGAGGCTTGAAAACACGCCCTTAAAAGGATCTGATCCTTTGATCAACATCATCCATCACGTCACAAGCTGTGTGCAGGTGTCATTTCATTTCTCCGATTCTTCACACGTCTCATCAAGTGAGTTCCCTGGTAATGAAGGTTGCTCTCCAGATAAACAGGAGCTGTAGATTTGACCCGCTCTGCTTGGCGGTGATGCGCTATGACTCTGGACAGCTGTGGCTGCAACCCCCCTCTCCCTCCCTCCCAGTCAGCACAATCAGGCCTCCGTTGTAATCTGCATATGGACTAACAGATGCTCGCGTCTGTGCTTGTGTTTGCACATTTCTCATGAATGCGCTGCGCTTTTTCCCTCCCTTTATCGCAGACCCCTACTCATGACACACATGCCCTAAATCCAGCAGAAGGTTTGATAGTAAAAACATCTGTATTATGGGTGCAGAGTCCACAGCAGCCATGTTAGTGACAGGCTATTGTGAATGAAACCAAAGCACACACAGCAAAAAGTGATGAAACACAGCCTGAGGGCAACACTGGGGAATACACTGGCTACCATTGTCCCTCGGTGACTGACAGACTTAGCTAGTGAATCCACTACTGAGACCGCATGTGACGAAACACACCTGTTACAGTATAATGCCTGCAGTGCTTATCGTAAGTATCACAGAGGACCAACGCTGCCCAATGGGATCACTGAACCTACAAGTCCATCTGAAAGACAATAAACCCATCAGTGGTAGAAAACAGCAGTATTATCCCGGCCTGGGATTGCTGCGTAATCCCGCTATCTGAATCTCACATAACAAGCAAACAAAAAGGAATAATGGAAGATAATCTCAACATGAGTAATCTCAACATGAGTTTGTTTAACATTTAGCAATTTACCCAGGTAACTCGGATTAGGCTGGATTACCCCTCCCTCTTTGGGACTCTTGGTAACCTGCTGTTACCTGTGAGCTAACCTGCTGCCCACAAGAGGGGGGCGTCTGATTAAAACCGCAAGATTTGACCATGACTATGACACACACTGGAGGTACAGTATGTGGATTTTTTGAACCATGGGAGGCAGGGTGAAGATCATAGAGGTGAAGACAAGAGCAGCCTCATACAGACTGATGTCAGCCCAGGAGGGGATGGGAATATCTGTCAGTGTGTTACAGCCAGGTGAATGTGGGTCAGATAACTTGAAGAGATTCAATAGGGGAGGTGGTTAAAAAAAAGGTAGCAGATGTGGTACAGTGCCAGAGCTGGAGACTTGAGCCTGGAGTCAGACTTAAGTTTCAAAAATGAGGATTTGACCTGGTATAATCCCGGAACAACCAAAA